GTTTCCCCCCAAGGCACAATCTTGGTAGCCTTTCCTCACCGAGCTGGCACGCCGCTACATCTGGCTGCCCTCTGATACACATCATCTCTTCAACCCATTCTCTGCGTGCCACCAACGCAGCGCTCATGTCTGGCTCACAGCTCTGAGCCCACGCTACCCTGTTGAGCCGCACTCACACCTAGAGTTGCAAACAGGGCATGAAGCCATATGGGCTATTTTTACATACACTATCAAATTTGCCCTTTCATTGCAGCGCCTCGGATTTCTGCTGGTGTTCTACTTTACTTGAATCAGTGTGTATGCGCCACCAGCATTAACACGCCCAGTCATGGCGCCCAGATCCCACATTGCCAGCGGCACCGATGATCTACCAGATCCTGCATCATCCTCCGCAAAGAACACCCCGGATGCAGGTACACCAAAGTTGGACTCTTCCACCACCAACACAAACACCGCGCAACCAACCGCACAAGACACCAACGAAAATGCTACACCATCCGATTCCATGACCAAAAACAGCATGGCGGCTTCCGACCCATCTAACAAGGACGCCATGTCCGGACCATCACCTTACGGCACGCGATCGCGAAATCGCGGCCAGCCGCGGCCAAATTATGCAGAGGACAAGGATGTAGACACTGAAATGTTTGACGTCTATCCCGAGAAAAAGGAGCAAGAGTCGAAGAAGCAGTCACGACAAGCGGCAAACGGAAGCGCGGATGCACCACGCGCGGGTGGTCCCAACGGCCGCAAGAACGCTGCTGCTGCTGCTGCTGCTGCCACAGACGAGCACAAGGCGGCAAATCCTCAGGTCGAAACTGAGGACAGCAAGAGCGGCGTTTCTGTCACCACTTCCACTGCTGCAACCCCGACCGCGAACACCCCCGCGACTGCGACTATTACCTCGAAAAAGCGAAAGGCGGCAGCACAAGCGACTGCAAATGGCACTTCGGCGCATTCAACTCCTGCCAATGTACAGAGCTCCGCGACGCGACGCACCACTGCTACGATTGTGACAGGCACAGGGTTCAAAGAGTCAAACATGCTTAGTTTTGAACAACACGGCGCAAAACCAAAGGATGGAAAACTTATTGCCGATGATGGCACAACGATTGAAAAGAATGGTAGGTCTTAATTTTGCAATTGCTATGGGTGCGCGCTGGTGGCTGCGATGCGATGGATTGCAGCGCGAGCCTCTAGGATCGGTGTGCGCTATTGCGGAAGTTTGGTGCTGACGCTCGGGAACAGATCATGTCTACTTGGTGTGCGAGCCGCCCGGAGAGCCGTACTACCTGGGCCGTATCATGGAATTCCTGCACATGCAAAATGACGCGTCCAAACCAGTAGATGCGCTGCGCGTCAATTGGTACTACAGACCAAAAGACATTGGCAAAAGGGTCAATGACACCAGAGTTGTATTTGCGACGATGCACTCGGATATCAGCCCATTGACGGCATTGCGCGGCAAATGCGAGATCCGCCACAAGGCCGAGATCCCAAACATGGAGGAGTATCGAAAGACGTCAGACTGTTTCTGGTTTGAGAAACTCTACGACCGCTACATTCAAAAACACTACGATGTAATTCCATGTGCACAGATTGTCAACGTGCCGACAAAGGTCAAGAAGGTTTTGGACGAGCGCTGGAAATACATCTTGGTGGAACAGGGCCGCTCCAAGGAATTCACAAGTGCAGTCAAGTCGTGCAAGAGGTGTAGTGGATACTGTGCCAAGTAAGTCGGTCGGATTGGGTCGCGCTAACGAGCCACCCAACCAGAGTCACCCTCCTCCTTCCCCATAGCGTAATAGTGTGGTGAGCTGACATCCGAGAAGCAATGATTCGGTCGACTGCGCCGTCTGTAAGCAGACATATCACATGAACTGTGTGAGACCTCCCTTGCTCAAGAAGCCCTCTCGTGGTTTTGCCTGGGCCTGTGCCGCGTGCAGTCGCGCACAAGAGAGAAAACTTGAAGCTAGGCACACTCCGAGTTTGGCAGACTCGCATCCCGAGGCAGAAGAAGAGGAGCTTTGGGACGAAGAGGATGATGACCATGGTGCCGACACGAATCGCACCAGCCCTGCCGACGGCATAGATGACACCCACCAGCCGGCAACTGCCGAGCAGATCTACCAAGCAAGTCTTTGGCCGTGGCGATATCTAGGACAACACTGCAAGCCCGAAGATGCGCTCGATTACGATGATCGCATCTATCCCAGAGCCGGATCTCGATTAGGTCCCAAACATCAAGCAATTGTTTCCCCATGGCCGGGTCGCCCAGTGGAATTGGTCAAACCACTCGAGATCAAAAAGAGTGGTCGCAACAATAAGCCCAGCAAGGAGCTCCAGGCTGCCATTGAGGCCGAGAAACTGGCCCGAGAGACGAGGCCCAAATGGGTCCAGGATGAACCCCCGGGATATGTGGCACGAGGTGAAGACTTTGATAATGACGATCCGCGGTGCACAGCGCAGTTGCTGTGGAAGCCTGCCGAGGCCGCCGGTGCAGATATCACGGACCCTGAGATCGATGCATACATGAAGAAGGCTCTAGCACTGGCACCATCGCTCAATGTTCCGGTCCACTCCACGAATCTCATGGATGTGGCGAGAGACATGCTCTTCAAGAGTGATTTCAAGCCTAACGCGGCGCTGAAGCTGATACCCAATGTGGAACGCGCCGATTTCAAGGAACCCAACTTGACTCCGGCAGAGCAGAAGAAGTTTGAAGAGGCTGTGTCCAAATTCGGATCAGAGCTGTATCCCGTGAGGAAGTACGTCAAGAGTCTGGACTACAGGACAATAGTGAGATACTATTATACTTGGAAAAAGACGCCAAAAGGAGTTCAAATCTGGGGCAGCTTCTCGGGAAGAAAAGGCAAGAAAGAACTCAAAAAGGCCGAGGCCACTGCCAACAAACTTCAAGATGACGTGGCCGACGACCATGACGATTCGGCATTCGATACGGACAAGGCCTTGGAGCGCAAGCGGAACTTCATTTGCAAATTTTGCAACACAAAAGCCTGTAGGCAATGGAGACGAGCTCCCAACGTTTCAGCTGCACTCATCACAGAGGGATCGGGCAAGAACAAGGAGAAAGGCGCGCAGTATATTGTCGCGCTTTGCAGGCGATGTGCTGAGCTGTGGCGACGATATGCCATACAATGGGAGGATGTGGATGAGCTTGCCAAGAAGATCACCTCCACCAGCGGACGAGCCTGGAGACGCAAAGTGGATGAAGAACTTCTCAAGGAACTCCATGCCGCAAATGAGATGATGAGCGCCACAATTTATACCTCGCCGAGCCCTGAGGTACAAAATGCTGTGGCGGCACCCGAACCCGTTGCCACTGAACCTCCCCCTCGAAAGAAGCTCAAAACGCTTGCCGACAAGGAGGCAGAGGCTCAAGCATCAGACACCGGCAGTGGGAGCGGAGTTGCGGTCCCCAAGAAGAAGGAGAAGGTTGCGGAGAAGCCGGCACCTCCGCCCCCGGCGCCCGAGGTCCCTAAGCCTCGCGTACTTCCGTGTGCGATCTGCGGGCAGATGGGTCTCAATGGTGAACAGCAACTGCTCTCATGTAAGGAGTGTCGGCTCAGTGTTCATCGCAAGTGCTATGGCGTGGTCGACAATCGTAATCCTGGCAAGTGGACTTGTGACATGTGCCTGAACGATAAGAACCCGCAGCTGTCTCTGGTAAGTGATAGTCCAGTTCTTTACCACAGACCTCAATTGCTCACCTATTTGCAGGAATACCGATGCGTCTTGTGTCCCGTTGAGTACACCGAACATGACTTTGTTGAGCCATCCAAGAATACACTGAAGAAGAAAACGTCCGAAAAGGACAAGGAGAAAGAACGTCAAGAGCGTGAGGCTGCGCAAAAGGCGGCCGATCATTTCCGGAAGAAGCAAGAAGAGATGAACCGACCCGTCAACCCAAGAGAGCCGCTGAAGAGGACCGCTGACAACAATTGGGTTCATGTTACCTGTGCGATTTGGACAGCCGAAGTCAAATTTGGCAGTGCCAAAGCGCTCAGCCCATCTGAGGGTATCCCATCGATACCTAGGGCGCGATATGACGAGGTTTGCAAAGCCTGTAAGAAGCAAGGCGGCGCATGTGTTGCTTGCCATCATTGCAAGACACCCATCCACGTCGAGTGTGCTCACCAAAACGGTTACTTGTTGGGATTCGAGGTCACTCCGGTCAAGGGCTCACGGCGAGACCAATTCAACATTGTTACCATCAACGGCGAGACTGGTACCATGTCTGCCGCAATATGGTGCAAGGAGCACATTCCAGCCAAGACAATGGTCCACAGAATGTATGATATCGTGGAGCAACCTGAAGGACAAAGTACAGGTCCTGTTGCCTCCAATGCACTGCAATTCTATGTCCAGAATTTCAAACAGGCAGACCTCACCCTCACAGGAACTGTACGAAAGGCCAACCTCATCGCCATGGCGACCAAGACACCCACTGCTGCGTTGCCATCCGGGCCAAACCGCCGATCATCGACCACGACTGGCCTTACGAATGGCACGGGCGCTCAGCGCTCAGCCTCGATCGACAACTCAAACGATGGATCGATCTCATTGGCTCAGGTTGGGGACAAGATTTGCATTACCTGTGGTATCGACGTCAGTCCCAAATGGTGGCCAATTGCCAAGGATCAGGAAAAGGCACTTATCAACGGCCATTCCGGGGTTATGCGCAGCGAGGCACAGAAGTTTGTCCAGCAAAGGAATGTCCAGTGTCATAAGTGCAGAAAGGCCGGCAAGAAACCAGAGGCACGTGTCGTTCCACCGCCGCCTGCTGAAGAGATATCACGGCCTGAACCTATTCGGGTAGCACCTGTGATAACCCCCCTGAGAACCCCAGCGCCAGCCGTAACGGAACCAAGACCAGCACCGCAGCCATTCTCCTGGGCACCTCCGAGCCAGACGCCCATTGTGTCAGCGGCGCCGCCTCCCGTTGCGCCTCCCCCCATCCAGGCACCTCTTACAGGGCCACCACCTCTTCCGCTGAACCCTCCACATGCCGTACTTGGCGGACCGAGTCCGATAGCTGCACCTGGACCACCATCAGCCACTCTCAGCTATCCGCAAGCCGGGCCACCTTATGGCGACTGGCACCGCAACACGACTCAGCGCTCTCCTACTCTGCATCAGCACAATAGCGGCGGTCCAGCCAATCCGATGCATTTGAACCACCTGCGTGATCTTCGTCCGCCTCCCATCGCGCCGATGGCGCATCATCATCAGGGACCACCTCCCCTCCGACCCGGTTCTATGGGACAGCCTTTGATGAACGGCTTACCCCCATCGCCCCGGCGGGACACGCATCTCTCCAATGGCACGGGTCCATACCATCCTTACCATCACCAGACCCATCATTCGCTCCATAACCTGACGAATGGTGGCCCACCGCCCAGGGCGACTGAGCATTCGTTTTCCCAGGGCCTCCTCACACAGAGACCCCCATTCCCAACCTCTCATGGCAGTCCGCCCATTGCTAGAGGAGGAATTCCCTTAAGTCGTGAGTCGAGTCTGTCAAACAACCCACCGCCGCGTCCAAGTGAGCCTCGACCTGCCAGCGGAGCTAGCGCTAGTCCGTCACTCCGCAACCTGTTGTCATAAATCGGCATGCTGGAAACAAGAAGAATCTTGTTGGCATCACGCAATTGTGTCTTTAGTCCTTTGTTGTCTCATTTGGCGTTCACGGGCATTGGGGAAAGCAAAGCATAGTGACCATTGCCGTGCACGGCTAGGTCAAGGAGTACTGATCTTGATTTTTTTTATTTTTTTTTTTTTTGGAACTGTATCATAAACTTTGTGGATGCGGCCGATTATGTGCTCTGCACCAGCAACTTGATAGATGAGCGCAGGATGAGGCGCTAGACTAGACAGAGTGGCTCATGAGTTGTGAAAAGAACAATGATAGGAACTAGTCAGAAAAAAAGAATCATCTTACCATAATGTGCTAGAAGTGAAAACCATGATTATGTTGTACTCAGAGGTCGTGGCAAACACAAGTCATCAGACACGACACTAAAGATCCACTGATTTATCGACCGTCTCCTGCAGATACACCTATTACATAGTATGCTGGAGTAATTGAGTGGGGCACACGAGCTCAAACCTGACATATTCTTATCTTGGATTGCCTCACTCGGACACTCGAATGTCCATAGTCTTCTCACGCTCAGAATTGTGCACCGAAACATCAGAGACAATCACATAAACCATAGAGGAGCTCGACTTCATTCCACAAGACACAATGACACTGGACGACGCAAAGTTCCTCGCCCTCGCATTCGAGGAGGCGAAAGCTGGCTATGAGGAGGGTGGCATCCCTGTACGTATTTTTGCCCCCAATATTCCGCAAGCAAGCCCACGATGCCGAAAACACCACAGGCATCTTTGAACGCCGGTTTTTATTATTATTAGTCTTCATGGCTGGCAAACATGACTAATCGTGAAATTAGATTGGCGCCGTCCTCGTGTCGAAAGATGGCAAGGTCCTCGGTCGTGGACGCAATAAGCGGGTTCAAGAGGGCAACAACATTCTCCATGTAAGATTCTCTATTATGCCCCTTCTTTTTTTTTTTCAACTATGGAATAATGGACTGAGCTCATGAATTCTTGATGTTCTCTTTTGTAGGGTGAGACGTCAGCACTCCAGAACGCGGGCCGGCTGGCCCCCGAAGCCTACAAGGGCGCAACTATGTACACGACGCTGTCTCCCTGTGACATGTGTAAGTTTCATGAGCCTGGCAACGTGGAATACATAACTCATGGATATCCTCTAGGCACTGGTGCTTGTCTCCTATTTGGCATCCCACGCGTCGTGGTCGGTGAAAATAAGAGCTGGCTGGGCGGAGAAGCCTATCTCAAGTCCAGGGGCGTCGAGGTCGTGGTTATGGATGACCCGCAGTGCCTTGAGCTGATGCAAAAGTTTATGACTGAGAAGCCCGATGTTTGGTGAGTCTGAAAACCTCTATATTCCAAGCCAACCTGGATTATCCACTTGATTTTATGATGTGACAGGGCACTAATTCTAAATTCTAGGAACGAGGACGTTGGAGGTAACTTGGAGGGTGTTGGGCATTAACGAAATCGGAATATCATCATTGTATGCCTTGGCCTTTAATCACGCATTATTGACACAGTATGCTCTTAGAAATGAACGTAAATTCAGCCATCCCTCAATCTTTGTGGCCTGTCTGCAGAGTGTGTGAATCATACACGACAGTGACAGTGTTCTGAGGTACCGTGAAGAAGACCTTGCGTATCTTGATGTCTGTATCAATCTTTGTCTTCAACTATTCATGTGGCAAGAAATAAACCCAGTCCCACACTCGACACATACTTGCACCTTCACACCCATCCTCTTTCCCTCTTGTCAACAAACATAGCCATCCAGCCATACCCAGTACATCTTGCACCAAGACACTAACAACAATCATGTCTTCATCTAACGAGCACGCGAACGAAGATTCTACATTGCAGGCGATCTCAACTGGCAATGGGTTTCAAGACTGCCATTATTGTAATTGCAAAATTGAGGCCGACCACAGTGTACAGGTGTACGAGAACGTCATTCGCAGCAACCCAGCCATGTACAACCCAATGGACTGGTTCAGGGCAAAGATCCTCCGCGTTGTCGTTCAAGTCATTATCCACAACCTGCACAGGAACCAGCGCATGCAGATGATAAAGCCAAAGGTCAAGCTGGACACATTGACTCATCCGCTGGAAGGCCGTCTTCAGACTGCCGTCTGGATCGACTGCCGGACGGATAGTGCCTCGACCATTTCCCCATCGGAGCGTCTGAGAAGATTTCCCCGGGCTTTGGAGGACGTCCAGAAGTCGGTAGATGCAGACATGAAGAAGCTTCGCACGTATTACCGACCCAGCGGCTTGCAGTGGGTTCTCTGCTTTCAAGATGAAGAACCAGAGCCTTCATCCTGGTGGCCTTGGCCCACAGACGACTATCGCATGCACTTCATCATTGACCGCATCCGGCAGACAACCAACTTGGATATAAAATTCCCACTCCTGATCGATTGGCCTCGTTCAGATGCTGCAGAAGCATAGGTGGAAAAAGCCAGTGGGGTGGTGTTTCGCGGACAGTGTCTAGGCGGTACACATTCTTGGAGACTAATTGACAATATTTGAAGGTCTCGAAATTCATTGTTCGTGTGGAATTCCCAGCTATTTTGAATGTTGGATGATTACAACTGGAATCTACATGGTTTCTATTTCTGTGTTACGGAACAATGAACGTGTTGGAACACCCACACAGGGTTGCAATGAAATCAGCAAATATCATGACAATGAATCTACTCAGAGACAACTAAGAATAGAAGATCCATCTATGGTTTCTGAGTATAAGAATCATTCGTTCAGTCCTCAAGCTTTGAACTGGCAAGATATCCAAGCGATAATCCACAATCCCTCAAGTTGATCATTATCACACGAGAATTTGATTTTCCTACACTTCACACTTCACGATACATTCGACAGTAATAGCAGTCATGGCAGCCCCCGAGCTGAATGGAACTGGTCCCCTAAAGATACTTGACGGGGATCTCGACCCCCGTTGCGTATGCGAATGCAAACTGTATGCCGACGCAAGCGTGGAAGCTTACCAGAGAATGCTCGATAATGCCACAGATCATAAGGTCATGGAGGAATCATCGATGAAAAAGCTGCGAGTGATGACTCAAGCTATAATCCATGTGCTCCATGCGCGCCATGATTTCGAGAAACTCAAGGCAAAGGCATGCTTTGGCATCAAGGAGCCTGAATCAGGAACAGTCGTCACATCGAGAGTTGTTGCCGTCTACGTTGACTTCCCTCCAAGTGCAGGCACAGACGTCGAGGAAAGGTTCGAGGGCGTTGAAGATTCGGAGTTGGAACGTGATGGATTCTTCAGTAATCTTCATGGTATTCTGACACGAAACACCATTAAAGCTCTGGCGGATCTCGGGAACGATTATTTATATCGTGAATGCTACTTCTCGGTGAGAGTCCCATCCAAAAGCATATTCCTGGGGAACATTAGCAGGGCTCGGAATGGGGGATTCAAAATCGACGAAATCAGTACCGAGACAGACAGAGTTATCGACATGGAGATCATGACCAACTGGACTCATCCACAGTAAGGACTTGGCTTGTGAAACCACTGCGTCCAAGCATGAGACGGGATCCAGGTCAACTAGGAGGGTATGTCATTTGCCATGGTAGCAGGGTTTTGCTAAGTTCTTCTGTTTGGTTTCTCATGGGAGTCATGTTTTAGGGAATGGATTTCCGTTGCTTCGGGTTATAGTGTAGAGGTGCCAAATCAAGTCCGCATTGATATCAATCATGGTAACTCTAAACAAGTGGTGATGGATCTCTCGTGTCTTGTTTTACCGCTTGAAAAGTGCCATTCCCACCCACAAAACTCAGGTGAGATGATTGGAGTGGCTGACACTATACTGCTTGTCTAGGTGCGTAGTCCAGATGATCTTATACAGAAACAGGTACGGTATCTAATAATCTACAATTACAATCATGCAGTTCACTCATCTTCAGATTCTCACCAATCTGTGTTGGGCAGACAAGGCTTTGGGGAAGACTGTGCTGAATTGACGACGACTTGGCCAATATCAAATCACCTGTCTGTGAATAACTGCCGACTGACTGGCTGCGTCTGAAACATGAGCTCGCATAACTCTGGACTGTGAATAACACTAGATGCCCAAACGGCATTTTTTATTCAAACAAGGCCCCGGTTGACGATGGCTGCCTTGATTTGAAACGACACCAAAGAACCCCCAAGGCAGCTTAACCAAGACATTTATTTGCATTGCCATTCCTTCTGCCCAAAGGAACCAACCTCAACAGCTTGGCAAGGGATTCGATCCAAAAACTTACCACCACCCGGCAAAATCTGTCAACTCGCCATCATGTACGACTTCACTTCCCCATCGTATGACTATGTCGACTGCATCTTCTCGTGGCGAGACAAGACCGACTGCGATTGTGGTGTCTTGACGCGAATGCGCCACATGAAGGTCCTCAACAGATACAAGAGCGGCCGCTGCGAGATGCCCGACGTGATGAGCTTGAAGCTCGAAATCTTTCTCACCGCCGTCACCCACCTCTTGTCCCATGACGACTTCATCCAACAGTACGACCCCGAGATCCACCTGATTGCCGGCTCCAAGAAGGCTGGAACGAAGAAGCAGATTCACTACCTGTGCCTGGACTTTGGCGCAAAGATACTCGAATTTCCCTGCCCCCCCTACAACGTCAGTTTCGAGACGAACCTCAAGAACCATGCCAACAGCTTGCAATTTGCCTTGTTTGAAGTGGCCAAATGCGCCAATCGATATGGCGGCGGCAAGGTGGTTCCTCGACTGGCATGGATCATGCAGGGCGTTGGAAAGGACGGACCGTACTGTTACACTTTTCATCCCCGTCAGCAAGGAGGCGGATTCCTCGAGCTCGCTCTATTCGGAGGAGTCTCTCTCAAGATTGATATCAACTAAGGACGATACTTGGACGGAAACATCCCCGGCGTCGGGTCTCAACGACGGCGAAGTAGGAGATTGCGTGGATACAGGAAATGGGGAGAGCGTCAGGGAATACACCAGTTGCTGTGTGCCCACGGTTCCAATCGCTCCTTGGCCACTTCTGCTCAGACGGCTCGCATGGATAATACTTGTAAAATCAAGGGCCTGTTGAAAGGAGAGTGTGGAAATACCCAAGCAGAACAACACAGAACAGAGTCAATACAAGAAGTACATCACCACTTTCGTAGACATGATAAAGACGTGACCCCACCCATGGCCGAACTTTGCTTTGTAGCCGTCGTCAAATGGATTAATGACGGATGGGGAAACCATTTTCCTATTAGCTATCAAATCTTGTTTTACGCTTTCCTGTACTTGCTGTTGGGACATTTCCATTGCCTGGTGTTGTGTCTCGACTGCTTGTGGCACTGGCTGACACGAATTGCACTGGACCGCCCTTTGATCGCGCTCTCGCTTGTCCGATCTCGGTTTGGCTTTGCCTCAACTGCTCCTTGTATGCCGATTTGGGGAATATGCTAGGATCCCACAAATCCGTTCCCAATGTGGTCCGGTACTGATCCTTTTGGCTCACTTCGGCGAAGCCCATGAGCTTGTCCATGAGGCTAGGGTTCTTCAACGCGGAAGATTGTGCAATCTTGGAGTTGAAATGGACGCCGTCCTTCTTGAGCTTGAGAAAGTGCTCAAACTTCTTGTTGGCACCCGGAGGTGGCGATCCGGGAGGCGAAGGGGGGATATCCATGTTCGGGACGGTGGGAAGAGTCAGATCCCGCAGCAGTGCCCGGTTGGCTGAGTATGGTGATCCTGGTGGTAGGGACGGCACGGATGCCTCATCTTCCATGGGCGCCTCTTCCAATGGGGGAAAACTGAGACTTTCCGAGCCTTCAGGTGGTCGCATGGGACCGATCATGCTTGGCTGGTCTGCTGTGGCGGGTGCTGGAGCCGACATCGTGGCAGGGTCAGGCTCAGCTTTTGGGACATTTTCTTCCTCTTTGTCATGTATGAGCTTTCAGTCATGGTGAAGTGTGGTAGAGAGACTTACTGGGAACCTCATTCGAGGTGGTTGTAGCTGCGACTTGATTCTCAAGTGACTGGCCTCATTCGAATCAGTGCTGCCCGCTGTTCTAGGAGTGGACGATGACATTGCGTTCTTGTCATAGGGCTCGTACCTTGGGAGGCGGCGTCTGGACCTCTTCGTCCTCGTCGCTACTCTCGTAACCCACGAGAGCCATCTTCTTTTCAAACACTAGGTTATGAAATTACGTAGATGACAGTTGATATAATTTCTTGAAGGATAATTCCAAATCGTTCACCTCGTGGACAAGACGCAAGATTTTTGTATATCTCAAACAGATATCAAATTAAATCCTTTTGAACTTTACTCTCTCTCACAAATGCTTGGCTTAGCACTCAAGGCACAGTAAAAGCGACCGACGTGAGTGAATGAAGCAGAAATGGTCTAACACTAATCGGGTTTAGCCTGGGGAAGCAACTACCCATGCCGGACCCGCCCAAATGCCATTGCTCCAGTCAGTCAGTCCATTGAGCCAAAGGCGAGGCCAGGCAACGGAAGCTGCATCAGCGCTGGCCCTGGCTGCTGCTACTGGGTCCAGCCTCATCATCCACCCAAAGAGCTCCCGCTTAGCAACCTTTGGAGCTTGCCAACGTCACAATCAAACCCGCGATTTCCCAACCCACGCCCATCAAACAAACGAACTTCCCAAGAAGGCGGCACCCAAACATTTACATTCTATCCATTGACGTTGGCCGTTCAACGTCTCCCGTCTCCGCCAGATCCATACGAGCCACCTCACATCCACATTACACATTATGGCTTCCGACCAAGAGCGGGAGCACGCTCTCCAGAACCTCCGTGCCAAACTCATCGAGTCGCGGGAATGGGAAGCAAAGCTCAAGGGCCTCCGACAGGAGATCAAGGGACTCGTTAAGGACTTTGACCAGACAGAGGAGAATATCAAAGCTCTGCAAAGCGTGGGACAAATCATTGGAGAAGTGCTGAAGCAGCTGGATGAGGAGAGATGTGAGTTTATCCCCAATACACTCCTACCTCTACGTAAATATCCTTCTGGAAATTTGCATTGGAGAGGGTGACAAGTGCTAGCATCTTTCAAGCCCACAGTTCGCTAATCCGACTTGCCACAAACAGTCATCGTCAAAGCCTCTTCAGGTCCCCGCTATGTCGTCGGTTGCCGCTCCAAGGTCGACAAGGCCAAGATGAAGCAAGGAACCCGTGTCGCGCTCGACATGACGACTCTCACAATTATGCGCATGCTTCCCCGCGAGGTCGACCCTCTTGTCTACAACATGTCATTGGAGGACCCCGGCCAAGTCAGCTTTGCCGGTATCGGTGGATTGAATGACCAGATCAGAGAGCTGCGTGAGGTCATTGAGCTGCCGCTCAAGAACCCCGAGCTCTTCCTTAGAGTAGGCATCAAGCCGCCAAAGGGAGTTCTGTTATACGGACCGCCCGGAACAGGCAAGACGCTACTCGCAAGAGCCGTGGCCAGCAGTTTGGAGACAAATTTCCTAAAGGGTAGGCACATTGAACAATGTATGAGCACACACGAATGCTAACTCTCACCGTCTCTTAGTCGTCTCTTCGGCCATTGTGGACAAGTATATTGGTGAATCCGCAAGGTTGATTCGAGAAATGTTCGGCTATGCCAAGGAGCACGAGCCCTGTATCATCTTCATGGACGAGATTGACGCCATCGGTGGACGACGATTTTCCGAGGGAACGAGTGCGGATCGTGAGATTCAGCGTACGCTGATGGAACTGCTCAACCAGCTCGACGGTTTCGACTATCTGGGCAAGACCAAGATCATCATGGCTACCAACAGACCCGACACCCTCGACCCGGCTCTGCTGCGTGCCGGTCGTTTGGACCGAAAGATTGAGATCCCGCTGCCCAACGAGGTTGGTCGGCTCGAGATTCTCAAGATTCACTCGCAAAGTGTCGTGACGGATGGCGAAATCGACTTTGAGAGTGTAGTCAAGATGAGTGACGGTTTGAACGGTGCCGATTTGCGGAATATCGTAACAGAGGCGTAAGTCCATCTTGACCTTGCCCTATGGAGTGTTTGCTAACATGTTTTCAAAGGGGTCTATTCGCCATCAAGGATTATCGTGATGCCATCAACCAAGACGACTTCAACAAGGCAGTGCGTAAGCTGGCTGAAGCCAAGAAATTAGAAGGCAAGCTTGAGTACAAGCAGCTGTAAGCTATAAGGAATGAATGATCTTGATTCAGTGGTTTTTTGCTCGGCGTTGGCACGGCAAATAGACAACGAGGCTTGGTCACATCAGTCCGCATGACTATACCTCGATGTATAATTCTACCTACCTAGGTACTCTTAAGAAACAGGGTACTTGTGATGATTCCCAGCACTGCTTACTTTCCCTTTGTGAAGACTATGAATGTGTAGCCGTCTCTTGATGGGGGACGACGGTTTGATCGCGGTTTAGATGTGTAGTTGTGTTGACGATTGTTTCTTTCCGATCGGCACGGGCTCCAAGCGTGTATCCTTAGTGGACGAGAACACCATGGCCTTCGGATCAATTGCCGAGGCTTTAGATCTCTCAAAGAAAAGGCTTAGGTACACACTCCGTAGATCCGTGGAGCCCACACAGATTGATGCACCTTTGCTTACCTTGGAAATGGCAAGAGTCAAGATTTGGCGGTGAAGCATTATACGGATAAAAATCCGAGCGGGCACTTTTTTCTGTCTATTCTATAACATGACTCAAACTTTTATCATTTTTGGGGGGTGGAATAGGACATTTGACAAGTCCAAAGGCCTTTTTCGTGCCGCTGCCCACCCGAGCCACCCTCATCAGATTCTACACGGTTCAAGAAGCGACTAAAAAAGAATGCAGCCCATCGGGCCGGCGTCGATGGGTGGTGGTAGTACTTAATCTGTACATGGCGATTTCTAGACTAGTCTGGTGTTGGTCATAAACCTTACGGTTAGTGTCATTGGTTATACAGAAGCACAGAGAAAAAAAAACAAGGCGGTCAAATAACATAATGGTCATGTTTTGGGTAGAGAGGATTTTATGATCAAGAGGCTAGCTTCGGGACGATGAACTTCCCTGATGAACCATTCCCATAGCCCAACGATGTGGACGCAGCCGATTGGTCAAGGGAAATGGGGATGGTTGTTGTGACAGGTAGAATATTTCCAGCCTTTTACAAGAAACATATCAGACTACAACATCAGCGCGTCGCGGTTTGGTTGTCATTTTCTGCAGTATGTCGAGTGTGTGGCTGCATCAGTTGTCTTTCGTTCATGGTGATAGCTCGCAGCTAATGACAGAAATCAATCACAAGGCTGAGAGAGACAAACAGGCCAAGCCACCTTGAATTCGAGCCTTCTAGGTATTAAGAATTCTGTATAGGCCGTACTGTTGACCAAGAGGATTGTGCATCTTTGTTGGCGACAATGCAAAAGTGAGACTCATTTATGATAATCGCGGGTTTGAGCCAACCAGGTTCTAGGAATGGCCATAACCTTGTTGATCTAAAATCGCAGCAGGAATTTTTTTTCTTTTTCCTCAATCATATTTTCACGTGAAAGGGTCTTTTCCCATTGGGCTGATCCCGGTCATCTTCCCGCGAAATGGCTTTCATGTCGCGATGGCCATTCAAGCGCCATGATAGATCCGGGCGGCATTGTGAGGAACGAATGACCACGACGAAATTTGATCCCTGCTGTCTGACATCAGAAGTGCTTCCCGAGAAATGCAGCAAGTGCTGCTAGAGGTGCTATTCTTAGTGATTCAGAATTCTTAGTCACCGGACTAACCCGGTAGAGTCCCCTGAAAATGAGGCTGTGGTTTTGGAATTTCCGCAGTACGACTTCGAGAAGGTCGCCAGCGGAGGGCCACCCAGGCCTTGTGCGTCCGGCGATCTCCATTGGGCGGGGGCTTGGGGGGGTGGTTTTCCTCTCTCTATCACCAAAAGGGCGCGCCCGCGCTAGAGCAAGGCACCCGACAGGCCACAGGTTGGGAAGGACGACAGGTAGGCCTGGTAGGTTGGCGGACAAGAGAAATGTCGTCAAAGGGTCGGATTGCATAAACGCAGAGCCAAGGAAGCGCAGGTTGGAGAGTAGTAGGTATCGGAGATATTGCCATGCATAGCACAAGGGGTGCCACCACAAACCTCGTATGACCCAAGCAAGGCCAGGGACGGACGATGGATAGTGTCTCCCAAGCTTTTGAGATCGCAAGCTTGCCCTCTGGTACAGAGTATTGGCCCGCAAGATCTGCATGCGGATACGGGAACGCTGATGGATGGGGGGAGCCACTGTTGCTTGCTTGCCGGCCTTTCTGTTGGAAGGACAGACAGAAACTTTCTTTTACTCTTCGGCTACCTCGTTTCCCTCCAACGGCATCAATATCCACTTGGACTCATCCCATGTTTGGACTAACGATGTCTAAGCCCTTGGAACGATATTTAGTTGAACACAAGCCTGACGAGCAGAAAGAAAGAGGGAGGGGCAAGGCGTCCAGGATTGAAGCCAAGCGTGTCAGCATTTGGGCGGCTGGCCCGCCGTAATGAAAGAGAAGAAACGAGGCTCATAGGCAGCTCAATTGCCTATTCGCAGAGCCAGTAGAAGGATGGGCGTTGTGCCAAATGACAGCTGCGGTCAGACGGCCGCAGTGGTGGTGGTGATGGTTTTTGCACGTAGTTTTAGTGGGCATTGGCAATGTATTCCATAGGTAATAGCATACTGTTTTGCTGTTGGGTCGCCGCCGCATTGCATGGATTCCAGTTCAAACGAATGACGCTTGATCCTTGTCATACCTGGCGTTGCCGAGCCAGGGTGATGCCCTGCTCTGTGCTCTTCAGCCACCATGTTGTTGGCCATGTTCTTGTGGGAGACTGACCCCAGGGCCCAGCTCGTACCGACAGGTCAGTGGGTTCTGGTAGGTAAGTAGTTAGTTAATAGTGGGATGGATTGTCAGGTACGCCACGATATACGATGGGGAACGGGGGGAGAACAGGACAGATAGATCATGAAGGTGGTGATTTGCTGGATGGCTGCACTGTGCCTGCCCATACGGAGAATGAAGTTTTCGCAGTCCCCTCCAAAGGTCCTGCAGCAGGGGACCTCAATTGTCGATACGGATGGGCACGAGAATAGTAGTTGCTCAGCCAATGCATTCGATTCTGCACATACCCTGAGGGATAGAGAGCGTTATTACAGTAGTGTTTGTAGTATGTATCAGCCATGAGTCCAGAGGGGCCAAATCTGACAATGCATGAAAGAGCAGAAAGCAACAACGAGTCAATGGCAAAAATGGTTCGGTCGCTGCCCGGCAAAATGCCTTGGCATTGTACGTAAGTCGCTACCACACTTGTTTACCAGCAAAGCCGGTCCAAATGGCAAGAATAAAGTGATTTTCAAATAAAGAACTCAAAAGAGGAAGTCGACCCCGGAGCAGTATATTGGTGTCTAGTCGTACAAAGCCGCGGGTGAGGCTGGAGGGGAACAAGACGTGGTTGTTGCATAGTGGTCATCACATCACGTCAATTTCTTCCAAACCTCTTGTCAGCAACCAGCGGGCGACGATCGGGACATTGAGATTTCTCCTTTCATTGCTTTTTCTTGTTTCTTTTGTTGTACTGATCTGGATACACTCCAACGGCCACGGTTCCGTTGCCAGATAGAGTCAGGGAAGAAATCATAACTATAAATGCCAAACTGGGGTGAATCTCAATGTATGGACATGCATTACAAGCAGTAAAAAGTGTAGATTAGGTACATGACCAACATCCAAACCTAGGTGTTGATCCCAAGTCTCTCTCTGTCTTTCTGGTTGAATTTAACCTGCCGAAGGTACATTTCATGGAATACAACAAGACACTGGACCCGGTGCCCATCCTTCATAGTATGTACAATATTATTTACGTATGTATGCACTGCATTTCATCTGGTCAATGGCGTCTCCGTTCCCCCCCAAACCAAAATCATCGATGGGTGGAAGCCCCATGGCCACTCACCTGGCAATACGGAGCTCAGGGGCTGCTTAGCACGCCAAGAACTAGCTGGTGACCCACTATCTTTGTTACGCTGCAGCTGCCCCCGCCATACAGAGTACGTACTTGGTACTGTACGTAGTAGTAGCAGTAGTTGCAGCTCAGCCCAGAGCCAGTTGAGAGCCAGAGCCAGCACCAAAGCCAGAGCCAGGCGCTCAAAGAGAAACCTACATAATAAGAGCAATCCCCTTGACCGTGCTGCTTCGGAAAGCATTTCTTGTTCTTAGTATTTCTGCCTCTCATCTCTTGCACTTCGCTCACTCTTGATACCCCCCCTCTTTTCGTAGTAAACCCAATCCCATCAACAGACCACCCGCGGGAGCTCGCTTGAACAAACCCCCCTCCAATCCATCCCACTTCGTACGAGCCTACTACTCTAGAGACTGCCGGCAAGATGTGTGGGTAAGTTCAGACACCAGAAGACCCGACCAAAGAAAAGAGACAGACCCATTGTCGAGCTCTCTCCCGTCTGCTGTTTCACCGCGAGGTCTTGGTATCACGGAAACTTGACTTGTCATCCTGCCGAGTCTCAGTCACACCATTGTTTTTAATGGTTGTGACTACCAGACTTTGGCGGCTAGCCCGCGGTGAAAGCAGACAGGATGGATCCTGCGATGTCTCTGCCACTCGACCCAAGCAACGTTGAATACTGATGATTCAAAACAGAATCTTTGGCTACATAAACTACCTTGTCGAGAAGGACAGAAAGTTCAGTACGTGTTCCCCAATTCCCGTTACCCCTTGAGAGGTGGGGGTGCCTTTACATCCGCATCTCCAGACCGCCTATTAGAAAGAAAAATGCTAACTTTGAACTTCCAGTTCTTGACACACTTGTCAATGGTACGAGCATCAATACAGCTGTATTGAGCACTCTCTTCGGGGTGCTTCCATCCTCGTGCTGTGGCTAATACGATTGCCTAACATACAGGTCTTTCCCGACTCGAATACCGTGGATACGACTCTGCCGGTCTCGCCGTCGACGGTGACAAGAAGAACACAGTCTTTGCCTTCAAGGAGGTTGGCAAGGTTGCCAAGCTCAAGGCACTGATTGAGGAGGAGAAGCCAGATCTTACCAAGATCTTTGACTCACATGCTGGTATTGCCCACACAAGATGGGCTACCCACGGTCCTCCCTCTCGCTTGAACTGCCACCCCCACAGGTCAGTGATTTCTCCCCCAACCCAGTATTGGAATCCTATGCAGTTCGGTTCCAACGTGCCATACAAACCATTGTAGCTGTTGCTGACATGTCATTGGCTCCAGATCCGACGCCAACTGGGAGTTTTCCGTCGTCCACAATGGTATCATTACCAACTACAAGGAGCTCAAGACTCTCCTGGAGTCCAAGGGCCTGAAGTTCGAGACTGAGACCGATACGGAATGTATTGCCAAGCTCGCCAAGTACATCTACGACCAGCACCCAACCTTGGGCTTTGTCGACCTTACAAAGACTGTCATCAACGAGCTCGAGGGTGCCTACGGTCTCCTGATCAAGTCTGTCCACTACCCCCACGAGGTTGTCGCCGCCCGCAAGGGTTCGCCCCTCGTCATTGGTGTCAAGACCCAGAAGCGCATGAAGGTTGACTTTGTCGATGTCGAGTACTCTGAGGAGGGTGCTCTGCCGGCTGAGGCCGCCTCGCAGAATGCTGCCCTCAAGAAGACCTCGGACAACTTCTTGACTCCCAACGCCGCCATGCTGACGGCTCCCGACAAGTCTCTGCTCCACCGATCGCAGTCGCGTGCTTTCATGACCGACGATGGCATGCCCATGCCCGCCGAGTTCTTCCTGTCCTCCGACCCGGCTGCCATTATCGAGCACACCAAGAAGGTCATGTACCTTGAGGATGACGACATTGCCCACATCCACGAGGGCTCCCTCAACATCCACCGTCTCAAGAAGGCCGACGGCAGCTCCAATGTACGAACCATTCAGACTCTCGAGCTCGAGCTGCAGGAGATCATGAAGGGCAAGTTCGACCACTTCATGCAGAAGGAGATCTTCGAGCAGCCCGAGTCGGTTGTCAACACCATGAGAGGTCGTCTGGATCTGGAGAACAAGACCGTCACTCTTGGTGGTCTCCGATCATACATTGCAACCATCCGAAGATGCCGTCGTATCATCTTCATTGCTTGCGGCACTAGTTATCACTCTTGCATGGCTGTTCGAGGTATCTTCGAAGAGCTTGCCGAGATTCCCATCTCTGTCGAGTTGGCTTCGGACTTCCTGGACAGACAGGCTCCCGTTTTCCGTGACGACACCTGCGTGTTCGTCTCGCAATCTGGTGAGACTGCTGACTCTCTGATGGCTCTGCGATACTGCTTGGAGCGCGGTGCTCTCACTGTCGGTATCGTCAACGTCGTTGGTTCGTCCATCTCGCTGCTCACCCACTGTGGTGTCCACGTCAACGCTGGTCCTGAGATTGGTGTCGCCTCCACCAAGGCCTACACTTCGCAGTTCATTGCCATGGTCATGTTTGCTCTGTCGCTTAGCGAGGACCGTGCTTCCAAGGCTCAGAGACGTCTGGAGATCATGGAGGGTCTTGGCAAGATCTCTGGCCAGATCAAGGATATCCTTGCTCTCGACCAGCCCATCAAGGAGCTGTGCGCCCAGACTTTCAAGAACCAGAAGTCCCTGCTGCTCTTGGGTCGTGGCAGCCAGTTCTCTACTGCCCTTGAGGGTGCCCTGAAGATCAAGGAAATTTCTTACCTTCACTGCGAGGCTGTCATGTCCGGTGAGCTCAAGCACGGTGTGCTGGCCCTTGTCGATGAGAACCTTCCCATCATCATGATCTTGACCCGCGACGACCTCTTCAAGAAGTCGCTCAACGCCTACCAACAAGGTATGTTCTTTCCCTTTCATTACCCACAGGATTCCGATTAACTAACTTGCAATAGTTACTGCTCGTGGTGGCAAGCCCATTGTCATCTGCAACCCCAGCGACGAGGAGTTCCAGGCCAACCAGGCAGAGAAGATTGAGGTTCCCAAGACCGTTGACTGCTTGCAGGGTCTCCTCAATGTTATCCCCCTGCAGTTGATTGCCTACTGGCTGGCTGTCATGGAGGGTCTCAACGTCGACTTCCCGCGTAACTTGGCCAAGTCCGTGACTGTCGAGTAAAGGAATTGGTTGTATGAATTAAGCATTTGTTGGCCACGGCGACCGGAGTTGGTTGCTATAGGTATGCAGGAGCGGTGATTGATTTTGGCGCAATATCACCGTTCACCCAGCACAAAGGAACTGGGAATTTGGGAAAAAGCCGACAAAATGTACTCACGCATTTGGTGCGATGATGAAGCGACGGCATCAGCAGATGATGTACGTGCAAATAAATGAATTTTTAGCGCAGTCAAAAGCTAGACAGAGGATGACTGAGATTTTTACTAATTGATACATGTTCTAAAATCACCTTGACTGACTGATTTCTTCACCGCGAGACTTGTGCGAACAAGATGAACAAGGCCTTGATTCAATTTGCTACTTGGGAAAGATGATATCATGTGCATTCTCTCTTCCATCCATAATCAACCAGACACACCCATGATTTTGGCAGGCACGTACATGTTCTTATGCCTTGACATACCGAGCACCAGGTTGCCGATTCATGATCTCTTGGCGCAGGTGGCAAGTAGCCGTAGTTATGAATGATATCGAGACAGCAACGCATGCAAGAAGCGAAGTGGTTGCCCCAAGAATCCTCCAGTGGCCAGAAGATTCCGCGTAGAAAGGATACATTTGCACATACTGAATAGAGTACGAAGATTGGCACGATCATTGACCACAAGCCTTATTGACCATGCGAAGGCTTTCAGATTGTATTCGCTCTAGTGTTACACATCCAACCCGAAACGCCGAGAGCAGTCTATATTGCTTCACTCGCGCTTTGTCATTTCCACGGGATATCGTGCTGCTGCTATCAAGAATGTGCAAGACCCCCAGTCCGCCTGAACCAATCAAACATAGCTTAGACTGTCTGCGTGCCATATCCCTTGATTCTGTCAGCAAACGCCCAGCTCTGGTTCTCCAGCTTGGCGTCCTCCTTCAGATCCACTCCATCCTTGGTCACGACGGCAATTGAGTACGTGTCCAAGGATCGAGCATCTCTGTAAAACAACACCTTCATACACTCCTGGACAACCTTGACGGCCTCTTCCCGGGTAAGCTTGGCGGCGCTCTCCTCGTCGGGAGCATACTTGCGCATGACGGGTTGGGCCAGCATCTCGCCGTAGCCAGTGGCCAAGCTGGGGCTGGTGAACGTGGTGCCGAGCAGATCGGTGGCGGCGAGGAAGGGCTTGCCCTCCTCATCAAGGCCGGCGACCAGCAGGTGGTTCCAGAGCGGGTCAAACTTGGAGCGGCGGTGGTAGAGCAGCTTGGCCAGGTACTTGTGCAAGTTGCGGGCGTTGAGCGTATGCGAGGCGTCTGAGTGGTAGTTCTCGTCAATAGCGAGCTCTGTGAGGTGGCGGTCGAGGTACTGCATGTCCGACACGTCGCCGCCAAAGCCGACAACGGTCGAGTCGGCAAAGGTGCGCAGACGCTTGACGTCGTTGAAGCGGGCGAGCGATCCGTACGAGGCTGATCAGATGGGCAAATTAGCAAGGAAACAGTTGCAGGTACGGATGAATTGTCGAGCGGAATCCCCCGTCGTTTTCGTGAGCATACCTAGGTTGTCGGCCGCAATGACGACGCCGTCCTTGAACTTGAGAGCTACCACAGAGGTTCCGGTCACGATTGGAGACTGGGTGTGTGTGCTGGGACCATTGGGGCGCATATAGGAAGCATCGTAGCTGCCGTAAACGTCGTCTCTGGGCTGTGTCAAGACAACGAGGCAGACATTAGCAATCAGGTTCAGGTCGAATGGACATGGGTGACTCTGGAAGCAAGCTTACACGGCCCCAAAATTGCGGTCGGTGATCCATCTTGGTGTTGTATGTATCTGGTGAGCGACTCTGGAGAGAGAGAGTTACGTGACGTAAGAAAGCAGCGAGAGATGATGAACGGCGTCGTTTGTGGTGGTTGATTGTAGTCAAGATGATGGAGATGATGGGAAAGGCTGAGAGTTGCGAGGCGTTCAGTGGTTCGTTCCTACCTTAGGTACCTCAGGTAGCGTGCGTAGCTCTGTGAGCTGGGGTGTTTTGGGGGGCCTGGCAGTCGTCACGGTTCTGCCTTCCATCATTGAGGTGGGCGAGAGAGCTTGGACCAATGAGCTATCACCCTTCGGTGCCTTGTATGTTGGAACCAATCAGCATACACTCCTCCTACACGACATACTCTGTACATATCCCACAGCTCGCTTATGTATCAACTTGCACAAATATAATTGTTGTTGATAATTGCAGTCATGCACCGCATCTATATATTTCTGACTGCATAGGAAACTTCAATGATATTTCTAGGAAATTCAATAATGGTCCAGACTGCCCGCGGTTGAGGCCTCAACCGGGCATGCTCAACCAAACTCAATTGCTACCCATCTTCCTCTGCTGAGAATCGCAGTTCCAAAAACATATATAGAATGGAAACTCTTTCTCTCTCTCTCAGAGTTATCCTAATTACAAAATCTAAGTGTTGCTAGAATAGGTGTGTAAATATACAAGATTGATTAAAATATGACTATATTGTACAGAGGATAATGAAATGGTAATCCTAACGCGAGCGCGACAAGCACGCTTTTGGGTATATGATCGCGACAAATCTGATCTTATTGCAAGATTGAATGCTCCAGGCCCGCCCCCAGGTAAAGGACCTTTTTGTGTGTCGAAATCTAAACCTCCCTTGTACCGTTGAAAATGCTGTCCGAAGTCGAAGGTGGAAAATAAAAAATGCGGATTCCTCAAAAACGCCCATAGACTCGAGACATCAAATCATCACTTGTGACCGACAGACTCTCTCTCTCTCTTTTACCCCATAAACCTTTGCTATTGTTTTCAGCCCTCCTTTGCCAGCTCGGATGCAATCTCCTCCCGTACCTTGCGGCACCATGTCCAGATTGCTTGCTCAAAGTCCAACCATACTTGTCTGTCACGGTTGTAGACGATGCCCATGACGTCCACTTTAAGGACGATCTCCCATCGCAACTCGGCTGCCTTGATCCAGTAGCGCAAGTTGTCGGCGCATCTATAGGGCTTCTGCGTATCTGTGTGGAAATTGCCAATCGCGCCGAACCGTCGCTTGGACTTTCTGACTGCTGCATTGTGAAGCTGTACAAGGCGCAGTCCGTTCTGCATACTCTGAAGAAATGGCGTCGGCAGCTCTATAGAGTCGGTAATAGGAGTGTATGAGGGCAAGACCTCATCCTCGGGCATCATCGCGGTAAGGAAGACGATTTCACGCTCAATCTCTCGGCCGGTCCAGTTGCCAGTCAACCAAGTCCATCCGGCCCTCTCTGCCCGATCTGCTGCTTCAAGTTCTTCTTCTTGCTTGAGCATTGAGCGGATGCTCCCAATCCAGGAGACCATGGTGTCATGCTCGTTGTCATGCATACCCCCAATAAAGTTGCGTGTCGCCATGTTTTTCAAAACCTCCATGACTTTCCAAAGCTCCGAGCGTACCGCCTTTTCCGATTTGATCGTATCCAGGCGTTCGGGATGGTCATGGGTCGTGTAGTATACCTTGGCGGCACGAATAGCCAAGGTCATGACGTCAAGGATTTGCATACCTTGCAGTTCATACCAGCCCTGTCCATGAGCGGCAGTCTTGTCAGGCGATGTAATCACAATTGACGCGCGAGATGAAGCAGTTGCCGCTGCAGACTCGCGTAGTGACTTGGCAGCAGTATCGAGAGCCGAGTTCAGCTCAGCCTTGAGCTCGGCATTTGTCGGCGGCTTGGGAATGTGCTTTTCCCTGTGTTTGTAGGTACTGGTGGTTGGAGGGAGCATATTGGCGTCCGCCTCATCTTCTTCTTCGTCATCCGAGTAGAAGACAGCACTATCTGTAACGGGTGACTGAGCAAAATAGCCATGGATGGAACTGAAGTCTGGACTCGTGCTCATGGGGGAAGCATATGGCGAGTCAAAGTCATACCCCGACACAATGGGCGAAAGGAGTGCTGGCATATCGACTTGTGAGAAATCCAGCGTAGCTCTGGGATTTCTTTTCCTGGCAAGCTGCCCTCCCTTTCCATCCAACAATCCGGTCCTAGCGAAATAATGCTGAAGGTGAGTAATGCTTCCCAAGCTCAAAACACTGTCTCTGTGCTTGGCACTCTCTGCAAAATCGGTCCCATCAGGCCTCGAATATCCTCGTCGCTTTGATTTACCGACACCAAAGAAGCTTGCCGATGAATAACGCTTGGACTTTCTGTCTGTTACTGATGGGGCCGATGTATAGCTGGCCGATGACTGTCGTGAGTAGGAATCGTTGTCAAGAGAGTATCGGTATGATGAGGCATCGGAGCTGGAAGCGCGGGATTCTGATGAGGCTGTTGATATGGTGCGGCCGAATCTCAAGCTTAGGGCGCCCAATGCCCTTGTTGGCACCGTCTCCAAGGCGGGCGAGCCGCGGCGACGAATAGGTTCGTCAAGAGACATCCTCGGCCTTGCAGGCTCGTCAAGGGACATCCTGTAAGCCATGACGAGCAGTCAGGATAGAGAACGAGTTAAGGAGGATTATCTAAAAGATCCAGTAGCGGCAGGATGTAACGGCAGCTAGTTCAGGCCTGCAACTGAATGAGACGAAAGAGACGGGGAGAGATTAAAGTACGATTGTTACGGCGGAAGTAGTAGTAAAAAACAAGTGGAAGAAAGATAGCGAGAAGAAGAGGGAAAGGTTTGTGTACCACAACGAAAGAGAAACGAAAGATGTCGAGGTACAGATTTGACGGGGAGTCAGCGGAAAGTTCGGTAGGTTGGCAAGTAGGTAGGCACTGTTTGAACAAAATCTCTGAGCCTAGGAGGTATAATGGAGCAACATTGACATGCTGGCGAAGGAGCAGTGGTAATGTAGGTAGGTAGCAAGCAGGTGTACACGTCGAGAGGAGTACGTACGGTAGGTAAGAGGAGTGGCAGCCAACTAACTGCTTCGTACCTAACGTACCTGAACCCTAGGGATGGACATCGTTAGAATATCAGGGGTGGATTCTTCGAGGAGAGCGACCAGGGGGTTTCGAAAGCAGTCATTCGCGTCTTGCCGATTGGGTGGAGACGCGTGAAATGGGACTGTCTAGCCCTTGTATTTTTCTCTGTAAAAGGAAGATCCGACGGAATGGATGGGACGGGGAACTTGGATCGCCTGGCAGCTAAGCAAGAAAGCTAGCTGCCTGGTCGATGCTGTTGTAGACGATTCCATCATGTCTCTCTCTATCTCACTCTGAAAGATTGGCGGTGGGCACAAGAGTGTCTCTGCATAAAGAGAGTGCTGCCAACGCAGAGAGGCATGACTTGGGAAGTGAACTGGACACCAAAGCTTTTTTGGCTCCTGTGACAATGTTTAGATCAACTGGCCCAGCAACGAAATTGGTTGACATTCCACAGCTAATGACCGAAGAGTGGGGTGCAATGAAGTTCGACAGTGTCAAGCAAATGCCCTTGCCATCCACCAATAACCGACGAAGGGGCGAACTGTCCTGACTGGATGGATGGAGACAGGACCCAGGGTTGTTGCTTGCTCCTCAGGTGATTACAGAAAACCGTCAGATCTTGCCCAAGATTCGAGTCTATCGAAAGGAAAGCATTCAAGAAGAGATGTCAGACTCTGACTGCGGTATGTCGGGTAGTACCAAATCTGTCTGCTCAATCAGGTTTGGTAGCTGTCAGGTCAAATATCACTTGCTGAACCCAAACGAGCTTGCTTAATTTTAGCTGCTCCCCCACATTTTCCCTCGACAGCAAGACAAGGTACCTAGGTAATTAGCTTGTGCTCGGGCCGGGTATGGAGCTTTCCAGGGGCCCTTCCGTACCTTACCTAGGCTGTGTATGCCGCGCCGCAGCTGGGAATGGAGCTTCTAGAAGCCGGGTACGTACGTCAAAGGAGGCAACCCTTGTACTGATTACCAACCAGTCGTAACCCTGATGAAGTGTAATACGACCATCATTGATCACCTTTTCCCTTCAGCTACAGTGTGTGTAGTCTAACTGAAGCGAACGGTCTTCTTGAGACCGGAAACTAAAATCTGTTCCCCATGCAAGGGTCCATGGGGTCTTATGGTTTGGCTGTTTTATGATTCCCGCCTTACATATACGACATTTGAACCTATCCATGCACAAAAAAAGAAGGGCTGCATCAACTTCTGCATCCGCGGGTATAATGCATAACGAACCATGCATGTTGCCAGGGTTCAGTGCTGCAATACACGAGCTATTTCCAAACTATTGTATGAGATGTGACGCCAATGTGCATGTAAGAAAAAAAAAACATATGTTTCAAGTTAAGTATTAAACAATTACATGGTAATATCTAGAAGAAGAAAAGAAGTAAACTGCAAAATAGGTGGTCGGCTTTTGGCCACTGCTTGGTTTTGAGATTTGGAGCACACTTATGATTTTGTATCGTACGTAATCTGAGGTCATGTATTTTATCAGATCGATCGATCCAAAAACTCTCCTGCTCGGCTGCTAAATAAATGCCTACCTTCTATGCAATACACGTGCAAACCAGCAACACTTGGACTTCATGATGAACACTTGATACCACATGTCGGTAATGTACCCAGCGACAACTACCACCTTTAATTGGCACGGTCTTGCACGGGTCTTGCAACGTGGCTGCTAGCTTGGGAGGTCTGAACCACTTATCAGACTTCATCTCAAGGTCCATAACCACGGCACAAAAGCCCAGCCAGGTTGCCAGGCTCTGTCGCACAAACCATCATCTGTACCGTGTGAAGCGCACGAGTTATTCTCGTCCAGTTCGTCTGGTAGATCTGCAGACACCAAACCGCTTGTGGGTCTAGTGCCACTGTCACCCTGGGAGGTTCTAAAAATCCATATTACAACCGGACCCATCCCGTGGGTCGGGGATTGTATCACGATAGAAGGACCCTTGAAGGACATCTGCAAACTAAAGCCAGTGGCTCGTGAAGCTGGAAATGAAAGTCACCATGAGGCAATCTCCTAGGTCCCGTCGGCCGGTCAGTCGGTCGCACAGCAGTCTCCTGAATCGACAGACTTCCTCATTGCCTTGTGTTTGGCCTGTCTGTCTTGCTGCAAGTCAAGGGCTCTCGTAATCAAATCTGTGTATTGGGGGGGTTTTCGCATACGGACGAGCCAACCACTCGACTTTGACCAGCCGCGGTTGCTTTTCCCCAAAGTCAAATCGCGGGCGGAAAAACAACAATAACAACAACACTGCTGCTACTCCTACTACCACTACCGCCAGCTACCGCCACTACTGCTACTAGGTACTCTGTAGTTCGATTGAAACTTGGGTTGTAAAAGTTCAAAGGGAACACCCGAAAATGTTTTAGATTTTCCTTCCGGCCAGCTTTTGGACTGCTTCCTCTCTTCTTCCCACCTTCACGCCGGGTTTTATTCTTTGGGCTTTCTAAACAAGCGCAATTTTTTGTTTGCCTCGACGATTTTGCTTGGAAGTGCCTCGCCCGGAAGCATTCGACTTTGTGCCCGCGACGCGAGGAGTTTGGCAGCAGAAGCTCTCCTTGCAGCCGTCAACCTTGTACCTTGCTGCTGTGTAGAACAACAGCGACAAAAGCTTACTACCTGGAGCGACCCGGACCCCGGACACCAAAGCCGCCTAGGGGCATCCATCCATCCATCATCCATTTGCCATCATCTATTCGCCATTCATCCATCCAGATCCTCCGTTGGATGGATTCTTAGAGGGAGACCCGCGGAATCTGCGAACCTGAGCTTGCCACATATCACATTGGCTGAGCATACCTACTACATACGTACAGGCATCGGCCCTCTTTTGGGCTTTCACACCCTTTAGCGGACGTTGCTACCTAACTAGGCAGACGAAACACTTCCTCCTCGCCGCTACCTACCTGCCGCCAATTCCGCTGGATACCGAGTCCTCCCTACTCAGGACCGGGCTCCAACTGAAGGCCCATAGGCTGGTTCGTTCGTTCATTCGTTCGCCTTGCTGTTTACCTGCGTCCTGCAAGTCTCAATTAAAGGACCGGCCTGCAATTACGCGTTGTTGACGAGCCCCTACCTATCTTCCTACCTGCAGGGCCTCCAAGAAAAAAAAAAGAATAACAGAAACTCCACCCCCACTAATGCCAGCTTGGGGCGGGCTGGGGGCCAATACCTATTACCTACCAAGGACCTTTGTTAGCTGTGAGCAAAGCTGCAATACTAAACGTTCAGTACGCCGGCCGCGCAAAAGGAGAAAGCGAGCCTGTGAAACACCCAACTTTATCAATTTCACACCAGATCGTCAACTGCTTCAACTAAATCGACGGTTAAATGACCGGGCCAGCTGTCATCGTGGATCCGGCTACTGAGGCTCAACAACAACCACCTATTATCTCATCGCCTACTGCTCCTGCATTACAAGTGCCAGCAGATCAGCACCACCATGTCCACCACCCCGACCACCCCGATCCGCCCTCCATCCTGACAAGCCTGACGCTTTCAGATGTCCCGGGTGACCTTGCCCAGCTCGGACCACTCGATCCGCCCCATCTGCAACTCACTGATACCAGTCTGGACAACGACAGCGCCGCATTACCACCTGTCCGCTCAACTTCACGTCACCAACCGCGCAAACCCTCTCCCGGCCTCGCAGCGCGTCTCAAGGCCCTAGGCTTCGGCGGCACACCGAGGCAGTCCTCCGCGCCATCAACATACAGTCACGAGCGCATCGGCCGATTGCCAGAAGACCAGCTACGATCAATCGACGAAAAGCATCAGGCCAACAGTGTTGCCGATCTTATTGAGCGGCGTGGTCGCGCTTGGAAGGGCGCCGGCGCTCCCTTGCAGCAACTGCTCAGATCAAAGTCCAGTCGCAGCAGTCTAAGGTCGCTGGGCAGGGTCGAGGAGGATACTCTCGAGCCCGAGCGGAAACCCATCACAAAGCTTGAGCTGCCCGAGATTCCCTCAACGCCCCCTCTCGAGATGGATACAAACAAGTACATCCTGCCTGACCACACCAATGGCAATGGCACAAAGGCTCTGTCGGATACACGTCGTGAGCACATTGAGCGTGATGTGCCCGCACAAGATCAAGAAGACGATTTGATCACAACGCCGCCGCCGCCGCCTCCTCCCCCCAAAGACACGCCGCCAGGCGGGACAGCTCCGTCCGAGTTCAATCCCGATGAACTCTCATATTTCAATCCGCTGGGCTTGCAACGGACTGGTTCTATTTACACCATCTCGAGACTTTCTTTTGCGAACCAACTTGCCCAACTGACGTCATTGCAACTCCCCGATGCCGAAACGTTGCCAGGCAAGATATCTGCAATTCCAACAGCTCAGGCTGCTGCTAAAGCTCTGATCAATGCCGCTGAACAGATACGCATGTGGATCTACAAGGCAACCGAGGTAATCGGAGGTCTCGACAGTGATGGCGATGTTGAGTGGGCTGCAGCAGGTGGCAGGGAAGGTTATGAGGAAGTGGAAAATCTCGTGACAAGATTCGAGGAACTCATCAATGTCTACGTTGGTGCGATTGAGGAGCTTCAAGGCCGTGGCGACATTGGCAATGTGAGTAGCAATGACTTGACGCGAGCCGTCTCACAGATGGAGTCGATTTTGGGTGAATGGGCCAAGATTCGTTCAACTTTAAAGGTTGCCAAGGGCCAAATCGAAATTGCCATGGAGTGGGAGGAGCTATGGAACACGGTGCTGGGCGAAATTCAGAACGAGATGGACGACCTTTGTCGGCTCGTCTTTGAAATGGAGGAACGGAGGCACAAGTCTCTCATGGCTGTCGCCAATGGAGATGGAGTCGATATAGGGGACTTGGAAACCATAGTGGAGGAGACGCCATCCGTAGCGGCCCGCAACAACCGCATGAGTTTACCAGTCATCCCCAATAGTCCCGCTTCCCCGGCAGGAGCGGGCCCTTCTCTGAACCAGGACGACTCCAGTCTGCTCGCACTGTTTGCCAGGATGCAACCACTCAAGGCCTCCCTGGACTTTTTGCCAATGAGACTCTCAGTATTCGAGGCGAGAGCAGAGGGCGTGTTTCCTTCCGCCTGTGAGGAGTTGTCAGAGAGGAAAATAGCTCTTGAGGAGAGCTACAAGAAACTTGAAAAGGATGCAGAATCAGTACGAAAAGAGCTCGGCGAGGACAAGTGGGTGCTAGTGTTTCGCGGTGCTGGTCGTCAAGCACAGAAGATGTACGAATCTGTCGAGCGTAGTGTCGCCAAACTGCGTGAAGCGGTGGACGCGGGAATGCATCTCACCAACCCGGCGGCCATGATCAAGAAGATTGAGAGCTACGAAGCGAAGAAGGTACACTATGGTCCAGCCATCGAAAGAGTTCTTTCCATCATTGAAAAGGGCGTCAAAGATCGGCTGACCGTCAATGGTGAGATCCTGAGGCTGCACGCCGACATGCAATTGAAGTGGCAGGACATCAAACACCAGATACAGGATTTGGATGCGGCACTCGAGGAAGTCCAGGCGGACAAGAGAGGCCAAACATTGCGAGACTCCATCTCGAGCATGCTCTCCAACGACAGGTCTACTATTGCTAGCGGCCATGATACTCCGGGAAGCTCTCCGCCTTCATCTGTCATCATGTCAAACCTTGGACTGGAGCCCGTGACACCAGCAGCCAAGAAGACTCGCGCAGTCAGCACCGGCAGTCATCTTCCACAGCCGTCGTCCGCCCGCAGATCCCTTGCCGCTCCCAATCAGATCCCTCGAAAGCCGATCGGCTCGCGTCTCTCCACCATATCCACCCCATCCCAAAAGTCCACGCCGCCACGAAGCGCATCTGCAACGCCTCTCGGGTATCGGATGCCCAGGACTTCTTCCAACCTGATTGACAACCGTCCTCGCTGGAATGGCTCGGTCAACCCACAGCATAGCGACGTCGGGCACAACTTCAAACCCCTCAGCATGACTACACCAAGTCCATATGCAAAGACGGGTTCTACTCCGAACCGTTCCACATCGTCTCTAGCAGCACACGGCTCACAGAGCTCAAAGCTTCCTGTTCTTCGCAGTCCGCTCAGCCGAGCGGGGACAGTATCACCAATGCCCGAGGATACACCCTCGAGATTGAGTACATCCCGTCTATCGTTCCGCGATCGAATTTCCTCGCCCGGGCCTTATGCGCAGCAAACGTTGGCCCAGCCACGTTTGACAAGCAAGAACTCCATGTCCTCGCTCACAAACAATAGAAGGGCCTCGTTGCAGCCACCTCAAATGCAGGGCTACGATGCTGCGAGGCGACCCGCGAGCTCCATGGCAGCCTCCAGACGCACAAGCATGCTGCCGCAGCCAAAGGCAAGAGCAGAGACACCTACTGGACGGCACAGTCCCCATGCGCTTGCTGGGGCGCGTTCTGCTGTGCGGAAATACAGCAGTAGTAGCAGTGCAGCAAGGGAGGATTCCAAGGATAACAAGCCTCGTTGGCGGTTTTGAGAACAAGGCAGCTGGCGTGTTCAAGTAGGACCTGAGGATTCATCCTCACTCCTTTACCGTCCGTTCGTCCACACACTTGCACATACACACAAACACACACACACAAAATGAATCGGCGACTCGGCGTAGTCAGATACCACTAGTGATACCAAATGACCCAATGATACCATAAGAAGTTTTTGTTTTTCCCCAGGCGCATATACAGATCAGATATTGAATACTTTACATCAAAGCAGGCAGCAGGCAGTGAAATTGCCATTCCCTTCACGTTCAACATCGATGCTTCAATAAAAAGAAAGAAAGGTATCGTTTGCATAGCATTGTGCAAGCGGTGCTACTTGCAAGTTTTTGATCATGATTCTCCCTCTCACTCTTGCTGGTCAATAAATCATATGGTTCTTGAGCCTATAGACATCATGAGGGGCTGAATTTGTAAAATAATATACAATCAAAGACACAACCCACGTTTTACATGGTCCACATTTGTTTTCTCAATCATATGCATGTATTGATTATCCACAATCAACTTGTCTTGTATGTCTGCTCATTCATGGATAATACATATGAACCGGGAAGGCATGTCTGGAATTACATTTACACCTAAACAACCAGCTTGCTGCCCAAGAAGGAACAAAATTGGGTGAGGTCTCATTTATATCGTAAGTGGAAAAGAAAAGGTCCATAGAACGCCTCTACCATGCCATGCTATAGCCATTTGCCAGAAAAAATAATAATGTTTGCACGCTCCACTGCAATGCTGTTCATGTCTCTAATCATATAACGTCACAAAACCGAAGAAAGGTATAAGCTGTGCTAAGCAACAGTGCTCGGCATATCCTTCCTCTCCAACAAGACACGCTTTCCCAGGGCTCGTCAAGGTCGTGTTGTCCGTGCAAGCTAGTGTGGCATGGCCTCAATGTATAGGGTCTGTTGTGTGCCGCTTCGGCTTCCACCTCGAGCCCCGACTCTCCCACCTCGACTTGTAGAGCCTGTCGCGCTCGACGCGGAACGCGCCGATCCGGTTGACGTTCTCTTGCTTGCTGTCTTCTTCTTCACGCCGGCACCTGGTCGTGCCTTTTGGCTACCAAATGACCTGCGATAGGGTTTGCGTCCACCCTTGGCAAAGCGCCCGGCGCCTCCGCGGCTCGACGACGCAGACCGGGAGCGAGATGAAGCCGCCGCCGATTTTTTCTCCATCTCATCCATTTCGGCATTCCATCGTTGTACATGAGGAGGCAGCTGGGAAGCACTCTTGTCGAAATAGTGAGAGTCCTCGCCGTCATCCTCGGCGTCTTCCATCTCGTCGTCATCGTCGTCATTATCCTCTTCGTCCGTCGACACAAGATCCACAACACTGTGCCCTGAGACCTTGCGAGACTTCGATTGTGAAGATTTGGCGGATGCACGGTCACGGTATAGCTCGACATATTGACCGTGGTAGTCCTTGAGCATTGACAAGAACTTTTTCCCGAAAGACTTGACCTTGTCGCGGTCGATTCCAGGTATCTCTGCCATTTCATCCAGATTCAATGTCCATTTGGTCGCCATGATCCGCAATTGCTGACGGGTGAAAATGGGTTTGCGAAAACTGTGCTGATTCTGAAGGTCTGCAGCCAAGTTGGCACCTTCTTGCTCAAAGAGAGATATGATGTTCCGATGAACCACATTAATGTTTACCAGTCCAGGATCCTCAGCTATTGGCGCCCCAGCTAGAGCCCTGCGCCTTCTGCTCCTGGGAGTTGGCATGACTTCAAAATCGTCATCGTCGAATGAATCATCATCGACGACAAAATTGTCCTTGGCATACCCATTGTCATGCATTTCGTAGGCTTCTTCCTCTCCTTCACTACTAGAGTATACCAAAGTAGCCTTGCCTTTGCCCTTTTGCCTCGAGCTTTTTGTCATTGGCGAGGAAATATTGGTGGATGGAGGCAACATCGATGTTGAAAGTTTAGTCTGTTTCCCTGCACCAGATGCTTTCTTCTTGGTTCTGGGAGCATTCGCTTGACTGTCGCCGCTCTTAACTTGAACAGTCAACATGAGCTTCTGTTTTTGGCGTAAAAAGGAATATGCCTTTGGGCCCAGCTGTCACAGCAGGTCAGATCATTGGTTCGGTTCTGCAGGGAATGACGAATTACTTACAATAAAGTATTGGAATGCCATATCGATCTTCTTGTTGATGACATTGTTCTCCAAAAGCGCCTCTTGTGCCGCAAGCCTATCAATGACTCTGTGCAGTTCATGTTTTGGTGTCCCATGGGCAACGCCAAAATACTTCATCGTCTCTTCCTTCATCAATTCCGTATTCCTTTTCCGTTGAAGGCCAAGTAAGATCTCAGTGCACTGGTTCAACGTCAACTTCTCTTGGCAATCGATAACCTGCAGAACTTTTGTGGCGAGCTCTGTGTAATCCTTCAACTCAAAGACACCCTTAGTCCTGCAGTTGTCGCATGTAGACTGACAGTCGGATTTATCGAATGTCTCCCCAAAGTATCGAAGAATCTCGACACGCCTGCAATCGCTCTGGTTCTCGGCAAATGCAGTCACTGTACTCAACATGTTTCTTTGGCGGGCCTTTTGCTCTTCGTGTCCATCTCCTTCGGCAATCATTTTCCTCAGCTGCGTGACATCGCCGTAGCTGTAGTACAGGTAACACTCGGACGGCTTCCCGTCTCGCCCGGCACGTCCAGTCTCCTGGTAATATCCTTCCAGACTTTTGGGCAAAGTCTGATGGATAACGAATCGGACATCTGGTTTGTCAATGCCCATACCAAATGCTATCGTCGCGACAACTACCTTGATCTTCCCGCTTTGCCAGTCCTTTTGGATCTGTGATTTTTGGACCGGCTCCATTCCGGCATGGTAGTGATGCGCAGCAATCTCTTGGGCTTGGAGCTTTTTAGCCGTCGACTCTGCATTCTTTCTCGATAACGTATAAACGATGCCAGTTTTCCCAGCATACTTGCCATTTATCAGTTCTGCAATGAGGTTCACGGTCCCCTTCTCTTTCCGTCGAACCTCGTAATACAGGTTGGGTCGGTTGAACGACTGTGAAAATACTTGGCACTGATCTATGCCAAGATTGTGCTTGATGTCGACTATGACATTAGGAGTGGCAGTCGCGGTCAGGGCCATCACAGGGACGTTGGGAAATTCTAGACGAAACGTCCCAAGCTCCTTGTAGTCTGGGCGGAAATCATGTCCCCATTGACTGACACAATGTGCCTCATCAATGACCAAGCGGGCAAGTTTTCTGTTCCGGTGCAAAATCTTCAGGGCATCTCGAAAGGCTGCACTTTTGTTGATCATTTCCGGCGTCACATAGAGAAGATCCAGATACTGGTCCCCATTTCGATCTTTGACGGTGTCTAGAACAATTTTCTTGTGTGCGGCGCTGCATTCGCCATTGAAGGATCTGGCCTGTATGTTCAGATACGTCAGGTGGTCAACCTGGTCTTGCATCAAACTCAGCAGTGGAGAGACCACGATGGTAATACCATGAGTCCTTCCACTCTTGACCACAGCTGGCAGTTGGTAACAGAGAGATTTGCCTCCACCGGTTGGCATGAGAACAAAAGCGTCTTTTCCGGCAAGTGTAGTGTTGATAGCTTCGAGCTGGTTGTGCCTGAAGCCGGCCATCCTAAACCTGTCCTTAAGGGCTCTCTTCACCTCTGGTGACCAGGCGAATTTCATCAATTCAGGAGGAAAGCTAGCTTTGGTCGATGTACTCGCAACTCGCTTGACAGTCTTCTGCTTTGCCGGGGCGGCATTGCCTGATGTCTCTGAAAAAACCGAGCGTCCGTTCTTCCGCGAGGCTTCCGAAGAAGATTGCTTGAGCTCAAAGTCTTGGGCAAGTTCTAGCATATCCATGTCGTCGTCAAACTCGTCTTCGCTCATGAAAGTCTCAACGCGTTGAGAGGGCGTTCTGCTTGTGGGGTTCCTACCCCTAGAGCCAGAAGCATTAGTCACGGGTCTTTGTTTTGTGGGCGCTTCATATGCCGGGTCATCGTCAAACAGCTCCGCTTCGTCCTCCAGATCGTAGAGATCTTCATCCATGGAAGGAATCGTGTTGGGCCAAGCTGGTGTGCGCACCGTCGTAGGCTCTTGGTACGTCCTGGCAGTTGTGCTCCTCGATCCAGCAGATGTATCCCGCTGTTGGTGTTTTGCGGTGGGTCGAGTCCGCGATGGATTCTCAGCTACATACGAAGAGCCCGGAACTTCCGAGCGCTGTGTGACTTGTGTTTGCAGGATAACCTGGCCATGACCACCAGGTACTAATGTAGACTCCCTGGATAAGCTCGGCTCGTTCTGATTTCGGATCGGCTGTGTGGCATGAACGATTGAATCGTGCCGGCCGTTGCGGGTAGGCTCGTGATCTTCGAACATTGCGACATCGTTGATTCCGGCTCGGAGGAGAGAAGCTATCATTGACGACTCCTGGCTTTGGATAGCTTTCACCAAGTCGTCCATTTTTCCATTCATAGATGTGGTGTCTTCCATTTGTTCGTAAGCATCCATCATTCTTTCAATGTGCATATCTTTTTCAAGTACAAGATCCTCGTATGACTGATGTTCATCGGAAAGAGCATTCAAAGCGGCATGTTGTCGAGTAAGTCGTTCCTTGTCTTTTTTCAACTCGTCGGTTTTCTTGAAGTCTGCGCTGGTGAGCGCATTCCGGAACTCGATTCTGTTGTTCTTCAAACGTTCCTCCATTAGACTGCGATGCCTTTGCAAGATTGAGGGTTTAGACAAGAACAATTTCAACAGCGCCGTCTGCAGGCCGTCTTCAGGCAAGGAAGCAGCTTGTGCCAGTGGGCTAGGATTCGTCTCAGCAACGGGCTGATTGTCGGCACTTTCGTCCAAGGAAGCAGCCGCTGTTGACTGACCCGGCTTTTTGACGGGCGACATCACAGGCTGAGGCACTTTGACATTGGCATGTCGTGCCTTGGATGGCGTATCGAAGGCGATTATGGCTGGAGAGGTCTCCCGTTCACAGCCTCGAGAGAAGTCCTCTTGACTACCACGACTCTTTCCACGGCTGTTTGTAGATTGTATCGTGATGATGGACGCGTTGTGCGTAGGTGGCGTGGCCCACTCTTCATCAGAGTCTTGAATCACTTGACTATTGCGCCGTATCCTTCGAGCTCCTGAAGGCTGAGAGTTGCTCCCATCAGCAAGCTCTTCTTTCAAGGTCGAGAACTTCTTCACGGGACTCGGGGTATGTCTCACGGCCCTCGATGTCACCTCGGTGGTGGCGCGTCGATTTGATGTCTCATCTGGTGACTGCTTCCGATTTGTTATTTCCTTGGCGGCATTCGCTTTGGGCCGCGACTCCCGAATGGTCACTTGGCTGGCATGCTGACTGCCGAGGAAGTCAAGCTCCATGAGATCGGGACTTCGTTCCGACTTCGCTGCGTCCCTTTTCTTTGTCTTTGGGGTGACGCGAATGACTGATTCCACAGACGTATCACCAACCAAATCGTCGATGTCAGGGAACTCGTCGTCATAGAGCTCGGCCGACGAGCCCACGCGTCGGCTAATCTCGTTGCTCTTGCGTTTCTTTCCACGATCTTCAGCCACGGGCTCCGGCCGACTCGCATGATCTTCAGTCCACAGCTGGACGTCGTCGCCGAATGCGAATCCATTAGAGTCTGAAGAGGTGAAGTCGTCAGATCCGGTCAAATCTACAGTATCGCAGAAATCGTCGTCGAATAAATTTGGAGTTCGCAGCTTGGGCGCAGGACTTCGTTTGGCAGCGGGTCTTTGGGGAGCCGGTGTGCGCACTGTGGGTGTCTTTAGAGACGCCGAGTATGCCCTCTGTAGGTTGCCTGATCCCGTAGCCGAGGCTGGCGTTAGGAGTTGTTCCTGGGTCTGCTCTTGCTGCAGTATCAGAGAGCGTCTCTTCCGCGCCGAGTTGGTCACTAAGCGCCCCATGTTCGCCCCAGGCTGTCCTATTCCCTCCTCGTCCAGATCCTCCTGCGAATATCTCGATTTCGTTGTTGAAACATGAGTTGCGGGGGTTCGAGAGGTCTGTCTTTCTGACGGGACCAGCGTTGACGAGGAGCTGCTAAACGATCCAATATGCCTTGTTTTGGGTTGCGGTGGTACAGCGAACTGTGTTGCAGCATCTGGCGTCGACGAGAGATCCCCAGATATATCGCGTGCAGCGGGGAGCTCGGGCGCGTTTGGTGTTGATAGTGCTAGATTCGCCAGTAACCAAGAAAGATTCTCGCGAAGATTGTTTCGAGTCATGAAGACGTATTGGAACCCCAGTTCCACAGCTTCGCCATGGAAAACAAGATTCGCATACGATTCTTCTTGGGCGGCAGTTTGATATCGAACGGTCTTGTTGTGTTTTTTGCTGGCCCGTTGACCATGACCACAAAACGCGGCCCCACTATGTAGGTAGACGCGGTTACCAAACGTGGAGGACCATCGCCAGATCATGTGACTCAAATTTACAGATTTGCTGCCAACTCCTATTTGGGGAGCGCAACAACTTTTGGTGGTACTGATCCACTAGCGGCGGGATCTCGAAACGCTAAAAATTGGAATCCAGCCAGGCACTGAGTCGGGGTCTTTCTAGTAACTCTGCACAGACATTGCGGCTCTCGGGCGGCTATAATACGTACAGTACAGTCCAGAACCTTGACGTGGGCTTTTCCCACCGCGTCTGATCGTCAGAATACAAGAAGTTGGGTATCAACTCTATTCGGTTTGCTTGCATTAGACTTTTTCCATTTGAATTGGCCGGTAGACGCCGTCAACAATTCACTTGGGCAAAGCAAGTGCAATCATGATATGCCATGAATTTAGTTCCCTATTGGAATATGAACATGTCCCGTTGTGGGCCACGATCTATCTATGAGTCTAAGTCTAAATGTACAAGTCAACCACTATTTATACTGAGCCGTCTTCTACATCAACTACTTTTGGTCTCTCCGCCCCATTAAATAAGTACATTAGTGTCACAAGGAGTTTACCGGCCGCCGAAAGGAATATCGCCGGCGCCGAGCCACTCGTTTTGTAAATGCCAGCACCAATGAGGGCTCCCACGATCAGCGCCAACAAGAAACACACCCTCCGGTTCCGGGCCCGGTTCTCGCGCGTAAACATGTGAGGATCGATCAACAAGTCCACCCAAGCCGCCGTGGCCATGGCCGTGGAGATCTCCGTCATGGCCAGCGACCGCGACTGCACGACCTGGCTACCAGACGCAAACGCCAGCAAGGCCACGGCGGTGACGGCGGCGGGGCCTACTTTGTGGGTGCCGTACTCGAGCTGGATGGCGGCCGCGGCAAAGACGAGGAGCGACTGCAACAGGTTGCACAAGACGAGCCACCAGCGCCGCCGGGGACCGACCAGGTGGCTCACTTGTCCTGTTGACCAGCCGCCCAGCACAAAGAACCCGAGAGCGGCGCCAATGTTTGCCGTGATAAACATGTCTCCATCGAACTCGGGGAATACGATTGCCAGCATGAGAAATACAGTGTTTCCAGTCTGATTGGAGGCGAAACAGTGGTAGTCGGGGAAGGAGATGGCATCTTGAATTCCGGTGAATCTGTAATATTGAATTGATCAGCATTTGTTCATGTCATATGCTCATCCAATCCGGGTCTAGAAGTTCAAGGTCCGAGTGGAGCCTAGAATCTGGATCTAGAGGACCACTTGTCGACTTACAGTGTTAAAAGTATAAGTTCGAACTCTGCAAATATGGACGGTCGAACATCTTCAAGAAGATGATTCTTCATTTTTGTGAAACAGTTATTCTTTGACATAGCTGTCTTATTCGGTAAACTGGCCAGCTGCCCTGTACTTGCTGAATCCCTCGTCTTTTCCGCGGGCAACTTTTCGCTTTCAGGGGAGCTCATGATGATGGTGGGCTTTGAGGAAAGTATCAAGATTGATTAACGACTTAGTGTTCACTTGGCCCAAGAGGCAGAAAGTTTGTTGAGAGATCGGATGTTTGATTGCAAACAAAATTAGATTCTACTTTTACTCATAAAGTCGGAAGAAAACAAAGAGTCAACTCTCGGGGGGGGCCCGCTTTACGTCCGGCAACTCAACCGGTCATCTTGGGCATCTTGAACACGGGAAACCAGATTCGGCACGGCTGAGAGGCGACCGTGACCGCCTCAACAATGAATCAAGTCACAAAAGAAAAACCTTGACCGACCTTCTGGAAGCCGTTCAAGAAGTATTAGACTGGGCACCGATAACCGTGAGGGAGGCCAAAAGCATTGTCCATGTGGAACTTGACGGTCTCGACTAGCCAGACCCGTCGACAATTCTGGGAGGGCTTGCCATGATTGGGACTAGTTGTTGTCCAACGACACGAAGACAACACATGAGTCAAGGCTACCCTTCGGCGTTAAGGTGCCAGTTTGCTCGCCACGACCTGATTTTCATCGTGAGTAAATATGATCGAAATGCTACATAGCGACTATAGAAATTCCATGGTATCTATTACAGACCAGTCTTGCGTCAATGGTGGCCCCGAAAAGCTGATCTCCTTATGACATGTATTTTGTAGAATACTTACATTCGGCTACCACTCGACTGCCAGGCACGAGAAGAACTTTGGAAACATGACGTCGCGTAACGCCACCCCTGTTGGTCGTTGCCTCTGAAAATGTTTTCCCTTTTCCTTGAGGCTCCGGTGGCACCGGCGACCGACTACCGAGTGGAGACAACCGACTACCGTTTCCGTGTAACACGGCATCCTGCTTCCTGACTCTGCGCCAAGAGAAGCACTTGACCATACCGGTGGAATGTGTGATGCTTAAAGAGCAGTCTGTCTGATCTTTTCTTTGCGTGGCCACTGGTTGAGACATCTCGAATCCGGAGGCCGCCATCCAGGTCGAGCTGCCCAGATCCAGTGAGCGGAGCCCTGTTCTGCGAGATGTTAGAGTGAATACCCCTTTTCCCTCTGAGTCTAATACGGTAGCATTCATATTGGGTGTTGGCACACACAGTGGAAGGCTCATATTCTGGTTGATTTTGGATTGGACATGCTCTCCTTTACATGGCTGCCGTCGCGATACCGAGGTCTTCCTGGTTGATGGATTTTTGTTCTGTCCTAGCAGTACCTCGGAGGTCCTGGTCTTCTTCTGATATATGAGGAGACGAATGTGGCTGACATACTGCCACGTTGATCATACATAGATGCTCGATTAGTTGAAATGCTGGAAATGCCCGATGCATGTTACCTCGACTGCATGGCACCCAAGAGAGGTCCACTAGAAAGCGATTTCTCATTCAGCCCTACGCGTGGATCTTTGGGGTCGGTCGCAGGTAGCTCCGTACACTTGGAAATCCGTTCCAGGGCCCGACAGCCGCTGCGCTGCAAGTAGGGCGAGTAATCTCAGCCGTGCTTTACCGAACATGCTTGGGCTGATGAACCTACAAGTACAGCTTGAGTATATTACATCTTAACAGAACGTGGACCCGTCTCCAGTCTTGCATCAGCCTGTTCATTATGTCCCAATCCTACAAAGAAGTCTCATCCCAGTCAACCAACCTTCTCTTTGATCCAAGGACTTGGGTAATTCCTACGTACCGTGTTCTTGCATTGCAAATGGAATCGGCACATTTCCGACTGGGTGGGCGCGGCCTCCTAGGGGGGCCAGCGCTAACCCTAGCCTAGCCAGTAGCCAGCCCCTAAGGCCCCTGATAATGCTGAGTTTTTTTTGTGTTTTGTGACAAATCGTCGCGGCTCATGGTGTACACCTTAGTTTGACTACCAGCCGCCAGATCTACCGAACGAGCAATCTTTAGGGTCAGTATATTGTAACCCTTTTGTTGCCTTTCCGCGGAAGTCACTGACTGGTGCTGTAGTATACTGACGCTCGAATCCCTAGCCGCATAGGATTGGCCCAATCCAGAGCCCTCCAAGATATAGATAAGCTATGCTTGTGCGACCATGATCGGGAACTTCTTGGCACACTTTCGAGACGGGATTCTGGCTGGCTGAGGCTTTGTCGCCTCCTCATTTCATCTCTACCGCCCATCATTGGGACATCACGAAAAGATCCGGGGAAAGCAAGAAGACGATCCAGATCTGCTTCTGCAGGTCTCGATGGGGCATCCCCAGACTTGCCGCGGAGATTCCTTCCTGACGTCGTTATCGAGCGTAGGCCAACGACAGTTCATATGCTTATCTCTCGGCGGGTGGATCCGACTATTTTCGACGCGGCATACAACAGATAAGGTGACATTCACTACCCCCCGGCTTTGCTCTCACCATCCTTGACAGCCCTTATCCATCTGCCAACCTGACGGCAATCTGTAGGCGGGCTAGGGTGATCCAATTCGCTTGATCATATCATCGATTAGCTGGGGGACTATTCCTTGCCGGCATTTTGGGGGGGCGGTGTTGTCGACCAGTCTGACAGCCGGAGAAACACATTTCAACCATGACACGAGACATAACAAAGACTTTATCTATGCCCAGAAAAACTTATCTCAAATCAAGCGTTCGTCGAAGCTGATTGTTGAGAACAGCTTCTTATCGAAAAGCAGTTCAGAAGTACCAAGGCCTTGGCCGTATAATCATTTCGGTCCAAAACAGCGTTCTTTTGTACGAGTGTCACTCGACCGCTTGCTATTTCGCCGTGGGGGGTTATTGAATATACATCACCGACCAGAAGTCTGCGAATCTTCTGATTTCCCATATACTTGCCCACGCTAGAGCACTTGCTCCCAGAAATACTGGATCTTGTCATGCTTATCATTGATTGTCAATAAGCTTATCGACCTTTCTTCGAATCAACAATTAGTTTGGATTTGGTGGTTTCTGCTAGTGCCAGTTTCAATCTCTCTACTCAAGAACCAGGAACAGCAAGAAGACCGTTTGATAGCGGCTTGACGACATATTAGCTTTCCCAATTATACAGCCAGCTCCCGGTGGCCTTTCCCTAGACTGGAAACCACTCCACCACAATCTTCCGCGGAGAAGACGACTTTGGATGAGTGTGGAGGGTCTAAGAGGGTCCAGCCCACCTTGAAGCTGCAAATCCGGAGATGCTTATTGCAGGACTCGATATTTCATATTGAGAAAGAGCTCAATACTTGAAGCCTAGATATATAGGCGAAAGGTTCGTCGATATTGATATACTCAATTCATCGACAGGCGCCATCTGACCCATTGGCAACCTTGCGAACCGTCCGCATCCATTCACTGCGATTTCTTGTATATTCGGAGATCATCTGGCGGACAGAATGAAGCTATCTTACATTTGGACCGCTCCTGAGGTCAATCCCATTAACCGCAAAGCCCGCTCCATACCCTTTCTAAACCCTCTTAATGTCTATGGACGTGTTTTCTTCTTCTCGTGGTTTGGCTTCATGGTTGCCTTCTGGGCATGGTATACATTTCCACCACTGGTATGAAAAAATGACATGTTATGGTGGAGGGCTCCAAGTCGCTGACAAAAGTCCAGCTGTCACACACCATCAAATCAAATCTTGGGCTTTCACCAGCTCAGGTAGCCAACTCAAATATTGTATCATTATGTGCTACGTAAGTATATGGGTCATGGGACTCGGGTTTCGAGTCCATGTGCTTACACTATAATTCTAGACTACTCATTCGGTTCATTGCTGGATCTCTTTGTGATCAGTTTGGGCCTCGTTGGGTATTCGCCGGCCTGCTTCTCATCGGCTCTATTCCACTCGGCCTGGCACCCCTCGTTCATGATGCCACCGGCCTATATGTCAGTCGGTTCTTCATGGGTATTCTTGGAGGCGCTTTCGTCCCTTGCATGGTCTGGTCGACTGGCTTCTTCGACAAGAATGTCGTAGGTACTGCCAACGCATTGACCGGCGGGTGGGGAAATGCTGGTGGAGGTATAACCTACTTTATCATGCCGGCTGTCTTTGATTCTCTCAAGGGACGTGGATATACTGACGGTCAGGCTTGGCGTATCACCTTTATCGTTCCATTGATCATTGTCATTGCCACGGCGCTGGGTATGATCGTGTTCTGCCCGGATACTCCGACCGGCAAGTGGTCCGAAAGACACCTCCACGCCAACGTCAACCTTAACGCCCACGGTGTCGAGACTCCTACTGATGGAGCGCGGACTCCGACGGGTGGTGTTGTTGATGTCCCTGGGGTCGTTACCGATAAGGACGATGCGAATGGCTATCCGGTCAGCGAGGAAAAGGACAGTAAGGCAGTACCTAAACATGGCTCCAACTGGGACCATGAGGCAGCCATGACAAAGGAGGAGATGCGTGTGACGGCCAAGGGTGAAGTTGTGGCTAAGCCATCATTCGCAGAAGGCATGCGAGTACTTTGCTGCCTTCAGACTGCTTTCCACGTTGCAACCTACTTTTGCTCATTCGGCGGCGAGTTGGCCATCAACTCCATCCTGGGCGCATACTACCTCAAGAATTTCCCCTCCCTTGGCCAAACCAAGGCGTCCAACTGGGCTGCCATGTTTGGCTTTCTCAATTTTGTCACTCGGCCCCTCGGCGGCATGGTCAGCGACTTGATCTTTCGGGCGACAGGTCACAGCCTCTGGGGCAAAAAGATTTGGATCATGGTGTGCGGGTGTCTGACGGGTATCCTCCTCATCGTCATTGGGCGGGTAGACCCACACGATCAGTCGACCATGTTTGGCCTCATTGCCCTCATGGCCGTGTTTCTCGAAGCGGGTAACGGAGCCAACTTTTCGCTCGTACCACATGTTCACCCGCATGCCAACGGCTTTGTCTCGGGCACCACGGGCGCGGGCGGCAACCTCGGCGGCGTCGTGTTTGCCATCATCTTTCGCTTCATGGAGAATGGCACGGATTACGCCAGGGCCTTTTGGATCATTGGCATCATGATGATTGCTTTGAATCTTGTATTTTCATGGGTCAAGCCTCTACCAGCGGGCCAGATTGGGGGCCGTTGAGAGGGTGACTTGTGTGCAATGTTGAGCGACCTTGGTTTTTTTTCTTTCTTTTTTTTCTTTTTTTTTTCAAGATCATCATCTCTCTTGTCTTTTCTTGATGACACCAAGGCGCAAAGGGGTCGGGAGCGGAGACCTTTTGGTAGATTCTGCGGGTTGAAGCCGAAGGGGGGGGGAAAAAAAAGGAGCGAAAACGATGATGATACCTTTTGTTATTTTGTTTAATTGAGCGGGTATGAAAATATAGTCTACATGATTCTGGTTGGTTTTCTTGCATAGGATAGTTCCGTTCGTGACACCCCTTTTGTGATATTGGACCAGCGAAATAACTTACCTAATCAAGACGGATGCCAAAATGATGCAGTAAAATCCGGAGACTGATTGTCAAACACCTTAATATCCGTGATTAGAGGAGAGAGAAAAAACAAAGTTAGATTAGAGAATGAGTACAAGTATACAGGTTGATCGACAGCCGCGACTACCGATTCGGGCGAAGTGGCAACGGGAAAACAGGAGCTGTCCCGTCCCGACCAACCACGACACAAAACCATTCCCGAATCTGGAAATGCTGTTTATATTCCCTTTTGGAATGACAGGAATTCCAACGCACGTGCATTTTGACTGCAACAATGTATAAAAGACACGGTCTCGACCTTGGTACTCAGTATGCTGCTGTAATGTAAAATGATTCAATGTAACAAATCCCGGCCCCAGACTTTTTTTTCTCCTTGTTCCCCTTGTCCAAGAGCCGAGGGGAGTTCCCTGCTCAGAAGCGTGGTCCGGGTTCCATTGCATAACGGTCCGCAAATGGCTAATATATATCAAACAGACTTGTATATAAAAACCATATTTTGACAACCATGCAAAATAGAAAATAACGAGGTCATTAATTTAAAAGGCTTCTAGAGGTTTTTTTTTTTTTTAATTTACGCTTTGCCGGCGTCCTCCACTCTATAGACATGCTACCTTGATCATACATGACATTATTAAAAAACAAGGAAAACTGGGCAATAATGTTATGAGATTCGTTTTTGGAATGCAAAATATGCAAGAGCCGCAACCGAGCCCCGTACCCGTCGTCGGTGGGAACTCGAAACCCATTTTTTGTTTCCCCCTTTGCAGATCACCAGATGGCTCTGCAAAGACTATGCGCGCGCGATTGAAAAACCAGTGTATCCTCACTTCAAGCGACAAGGAAAGAACCATGCAAAGTAAAACCGTTTTGTGTGATTGAAAATACTAAAACTCTACCTCACAATGCTGAATTGAAAAAGAATCAAGAAAAGTAACCATGGTGGTTGCTTTCTTTACAGAGCAAAGACGGCAGCGAGGGCCAGGGATCCGAACAGAGCCAGGGATCCAGCGAGAGAACGGCCAGCTCCACTGATAATGGGAGTAGAGGTGGCGTTGGAAGCGGACGTGCTGGTGGCAGAGGTCTTGGTCACGCTGGACAGAGTGGAAGAAGCGGCGCCGCTGGCAGTGGTGACGGCGGTGCTGCTAGAGTTGGCAATGATGGTGGTGGCCTCGGCGTAGGTGGAAGTGCTGGTGGTGGTGGGCTCGGCGACGTAGGTGGTGGGCTCGGCGGCGTAGGTAGTAGCCTCAGTGGTGGCCTCAGTGGTGGCAGAGGAGATCACAGTGGTAGGGTAGCCGCCGGCGCTGGTGGTGGCAGCAGCAGTGGTGGCAACAGTGGTGGTGCTGTCGTCGCTGGTGGTGGCTACAATGTGGAAGGGGAACGAGTACTGGAAGATGGACGTGTCGCTCTCCAGGGTGATCTTGATACCGTAGGTGGCGGCATCACCGAGAGAAGAGTCCACAGCCCAAGAGTAGCTACCAGCTCCGTTGTCAACACCAGCTACGATAGTCAGTCAGTGTTTGTTCTTTCTATAGAGTTTCCAACTCGGCACGAGTCTAGTAACTTACTGGCAAAGGAGCCAAGGTCCTGAAGAGTGGTAGAGTCGGCACCACCGAGCAGAGACAGGGTCACGGTCTCGTCAGTGTAGGAGCTGGCATCCCAAACAACAGTGTAAGTCGAGCCGGCAGAGACATTCTCGTCCTTGGCGGGGGTGGACAGAGCATCGAAGCCTGAAGTCTGGGCGACGGCGGAGGCGGCAAAGGCCACAATGGCAGCAGAGATGGTGTAGCGCATCTTGACGGTTTTTTGAATTGTCGTTTGTTTGTTTTTTTGAATATTAGAAGTATTAGAATATACGTCTATGAAAAGAAACAAGCTGGAATCACTGAATTAAGCGATCGGCCGAGACGGGAAAGAATGAATGAATGGATATAGAGAAGACCGTTCCGGGGAGGGAGGGGTGTTGCTCTATGGGGGTGAATGAGTGACTTATAAAAAGAGTGTGGGAAGGCTGAGTATTTGCCAATTGGTAAAGAATGTGGTAGACGAGAAAAAATGTCTGTCCTGTTTGGGTTGAGAGGAGGTGGAAAGAAAGAGAGGAGGAAGAGAAGAAGATGCCGGCATGGATAGACGATGAGAAAAAGCGCAGCCAGTCCGGCGTACGCACCAGCGGGCAGGCGGCACAGCACGGACGGGGCGCGCCTCCATTCGAGGGTCGCGATGGTGGATGATATGACAGGCAGACGAACATGGGCCGCCGCCCGGCTGACTTGCACTAAACTGCCTGACTGTGTGTGTGAGAGTTGACCGAAAGGCCCTGGACCTGGACCTGGACACCCCCAAAACACACACACACAGAGAGACAGAGCCCAGCATACCTACACTGAAGGGACCCAGACAAATGGGAATCCGTTATTGATCCATCCCTCCCATTCTATCCATCCAGCTAGACTCTAACTACTTACCTAGGTTACCTAGCCCAGCCCACCTGCCCCAAGCCAATACCTGATCGGACCAACAAGCCAAGAGGGAAGACGACAAGAGTAAAAAAAATAACCAAATCTCCAGTCGGCTAGGCAGGATGGGGTCAATTGAGCCGCTGTCTGCTCGTCTGCGCCGCTGCATCATACCCACCCAGTCTACCTTAATCTAGTTACAACGCGCGTGCTGCAAATAGACTTGAGGAGTCACTTGGGCGAACACCCTGAATGATTGAAATTACCCGGGCTAAACTGTTACGTCGTTTGCTGAGCGGCTGGCGGGCGCGGGGCCTCTGCTAACTACTAGTTCAACTTGCCCACGCAGCAAAATACTGGGGAACATTGAATGGAATTGCACCGCGCGCATACCTAACTTCCACCTCTAGGGTACGCATGGACCCAACGTCCATGTCAATCTCCCGTCGGCCGCTGGGTCTCCAGTGGGAAGGATTGGCGACGACAGAAGTTGGTCTGTTTTTTTCTTTCTTGGTGTTTGACACGGATAAGGGGAGGGGAGGGGGGTTCTGCACCACAAGTTTGTCAGAATCTTTTCAAGCCGAGCGGCCGGTAATGGACTAGGATAGCTAGTGGTGGGAATTGTGTATTCGTAGGTAGGACCAGTTAATATTTCTCTCTTACACGAGCAATACCTGCCCAATACACTACTCACCCCATTTCTCATCGCCACAGCCTGGGCAGCCTACGTAACTTGATCATTAAATTTAATATCATTTCGAGCCCATTCCTCGATCTTGAATGGTCCACTCGTACTGAAAACAGCACGCCGAACGCGCACCTAAGCTACGTGGTCGCAAAACCCGCAGTGGACATGATGTGATGAGAGAGAAAGTAGTGTAGCGGAAGAGGAAGAATGAATAATAATAATAATAATGCTGCAGCATGGTGGATGTACCTAAAAAAGTAAGCAGAGTAGTAGTTCGGAGGAATAGAACAAACTAAGCGAAATTTCCCCTGCAGAAGTTCAGAAAAAAGTCTACATTACATTAGGTGCGCTGAGCTTCTTTTCAGCCCTTGGCACTTGTTGAATGCTATTGGCCGCCGACGATGGCTCAGCGTTGCCCTTATGCAAGGACGAACCCCCTACCACCCTACCTAGCCCAGACCAGACCATGCTCATCCTTGTCCATGCTTTGCTGACACGCGGGACAGGACTCCCAAAGTGACTCCGACCGATGGAATGGATGATGGATGCATGGCCTTGTTGGCGCTTGTATTGTGGGAATCTGGACCCGGTGCTTGCCTGCCTGCCTGCCTAAAAAGAAGAGGACCATCTTTGTGTGTGTGCGAGTCGTAAAAGTTGACTTCCAACTCCTATTGCTATACGATGACAAAGTGAGAGAACATTGCCGAGAATAGGGATACAAATGAGCCAAGCAATCATGCCCCATGGGTGGGCAGGAAGGACTTCGTATAAGTAAGAAGGGGATAAGTTGCGATGATGGCTGTGTGAGCGCAACTCGTCTAGGGTTCGGAACAGGTCACAAGTAACAAAATATGCGAGGGGTCATTTCCATGTGTCTCTCTCTGGGCATTATTCGCCCATTCATGCTGGATTGACAGGTCGGCTCCTCTGTCTGCATGGGCAAAATTGCTCAAAAGGGTACATGGCGTGAATGGCGTCTTGGTTATGCTTGGCTAGCTGTCCCTGTTCTGTCCCAAAAGCAATTTCCTGTCCCCAAGCCCAAAAAGCTTGGCATGAAGTTTGTTCCTGTTCCTTTAACCACCAGTCATCACATCACCCCATCCGCGCTTCCAATCACGGAAGTCTTCCGAGTCACGGTCGGTTTTTTTTTTTTTTTTTTTTTTTCCCTCTGTCGACATCCCTTCCACATCCCTAGCCTATTTACCAGGTATTTCAAGGTGGTAAACCGCCGTCTTTCTGACTAGTATTTTTCTTTATTCAAGTTTCAGCCACCAGATTGGATTGACATCATGGTACATAAGTCGTGAGATTCGCCAGTCTTTACAAACTACTCTCCCTAACAACTATCTGCGTGAATCAATCGGCCTCATTACGGGGTCCATCAGGCTGCCTCACCAGCGGCTCAGCTTGGATACTATAGAGAGCAAACGAGGAAAAGATCTGCAGCCCCAAGTCCAGCAAAAAAAAAGGCAGCATTGGCAAACCAAGCGAGAAGCGACCGGCCCGAGCTAAACCGTCTCACCAAGAGAAAAGAGAGATTAACGTATGACAGATCAAAACCACTTCGGATCTCGATAGTGCATCTTTCTTTCAACTGAGCTTAAAAAAAAGGTAAAACTTGGTAAGACATCGTCTAGTACATGACATCCACATGGTAATACTACGTAAATGTATTTACTTCAACCTGCTTGTCTCTACCGTCTATTCCTGAGAAAACTAGCCCTTGAAAATGGCTCACCACGGTGATCTATCCTAGCTTGCCTAGACAGGTGCTCGTATAGTCGGTCGATCAAATGATTCAAATCCTCCTTCGGCCGCCCGCTACGGCCGCCAATGCCCTGTTTCAGTGGGTTTCCCCTTCGCTTGCTTGCTAGGTCACTTCGATCATGTATTCACTCACCACCGAGAGCATTCAAGAGGATTGTCAAATCAAGGTGGGAAAATTTGATCTCATGGTTCCCAGGGACCCGTTCGTCTCTACTTTACCGCTGACCGTGCCCCCATTAAGTCAGCTCTTATTGACCAGATTCAGCAGCCAATATAATGCACGTCTGACAGGACAAAAAAACGCGTGCGTGTGTTTTACTACTCTTCATGGTTATGTGCCGCCCTTTCCCATTACACCAAAATCTCACGCTGTGCTGGCATTATTGAAAAAGTATTCATTCCATGAGACCCAACCATGTAGTGTCATACGTTACTGGCGCCTTTCTTTGATCTTGTCTCATTCGCCACGCCGCGGTTAGCCCTTGCTGGGAACAATCTCAGCCACCCATGCGGTAAATGGACTGCTGACAGTAAAGAGAAACTATACCATTAAGGAAACCATCTCAGCTTTGTCTCTCTAAAAAAACTGTTTCTTTTTTTGGACAGCACCTAAAGTGGTTTTTTTTCGTCCTTCTCTCAGCCCTACCAAACCGGTTCCACCGAAAACAGGTCTACAACCATCGTGACCCATGTCGTCGGTGACGAGCCAGTGAGGCAGGTGTTGGGGCCCAATGCTGGCGGTGCAGCCAGTTTTTGGAAATAATGGAGTCAACCACCGCCGTGTTATGGAGTCTCGTCGCTCGGTACTCCGTAGTTTACACACTCAGCCTTGGCGCTAGCACTCTTTAACAAATACGAATATGCGAATTTCAAGATTTCCCTGACCCCGAGTTTCATGTTTTTATCTTATTTCTTTTTCCCGGCAGCCGGGTGGCCTGCTGGGTTCATATCGTGGGGTATTTCATGATGCAATCCTTTTGGGGTACAATGCATTCCAATGCGCATGTCAATGACTGGAAAGAAGTGCCGCAGCCAGACTTAGAATTATTCTACAAGCGTCAGCCCACGACCACACTGGCCTGCCATTGGGGCAAACAAAACAAACACTACTGCTCTCATCCAGAGAGAGAATAGATAGTAGTCTGGACACCATCTCAACGCATAGACAAGAGTGACGTTGCATCCTACCCCCGAAAAGAGAGAGAATACCAAGCCAGTGGTTGCATCCACATAGTCGCCCATCCTTATCTCCGCACCGACGGCAATTGAATAATCGAATAATGGGATACGAGCAACACTGGATTACCACATGACCTACTAACTCACCCCTTCGCTGGATAAGGCTTCGTGTGAGCAGTACTTTCAGACAAAGAGTAGGGAGAAACTGGAACCATGCTGTCGGTGTCGGCACTTCAGTGTATTTCGAGATCCAAAATGGGAAGAAGAAAGCGACTGTCAGAATACTACTTCAGCAGGGCTAATTGAAGTAAGCTACATGATGACGTGCCTCGAACAATCATGCCTTAGCCTTGTTATTTTGCAAAAGCTGTGCCGTATAGTTGCTTTCAACAGGTTCAGCCTGATTCCAGTCGCTACAATGCTTGGGCCCTCATCCATTCGTTCGCAAGGCAGTTGATGTGACTCACATGAACAAATCTTTCATGTAGATCGGCGGCGTTGCAATGAATACGAGGTGTTTACTGGGGATGACATTTCGATTTACAAAAATCTAGAGTAGTGTCGAAAAATGTAACTGTAACACTCGGATTGTTCGATTGGTTGAAGAATGATTCCATACTCGACAATACGACGTCCAAGCTTCTGGTATCGCGATACAGCCTCACAATGCCCGAGCCAAGAGAGAAATGGCATAAGCTCAGGCTATGCTTCTTGGGCCGTTTCATCGTGATTCTTTTCCACCCGAACATGACATATCTGAACCACACAGTCTTTAGGGCCTAGCACAACCAGTCCTCATCTGTGTGAGGCGATGCCGTCCAAAGATGATTCAACTTGCGACCAAGTGACCTATTGGGGAGATTCGTGATTCAAACATCTTCTCATTTTACCAAGGTGCTCACATCGATTCTCTCTGCGAATTAAATATAGTGCCTCTGAATGACTCAAGCTCCAGGTCTGTTTTCCGACTCAACGGCTACAAAAAACCTAAAAGCCGGAGCAAATCCCTTTTTTAAGATGACCATGTCCATGATCATACAATCAAACCTTGACGCCATAACCATTGGAGCGCTCTGATCATAAGTAGACCGAGCCGCTCCAATTCAAGAAAAGTGGTTTTTTTTGCCGGGAGGAAACACAACGCCCAACCCATTTGTGCAAGAAACTCCTCGTGAAGGAAAGTCGTTAGATTCTATGCTTTTCGCTCTCTGTGGGAATATGCCATTAGTATCGCAATTGACAAAACATCGACTTGACTCAAGGTCGAAAATTACTCACCAAGTCGAGAATACAGCATATACAGAGCCATTCTGTTACACTCCTCGGTACCAGTAATGGTAACCAGTCGCTCATTGCTATTGTCTTGCGGCTCGTTGATCTTGATGACACTTCCACTGATCTGTCGAATTTCGTTGATCTTCTGTCCACCCTTACCAATAATAGCGCCGACCATGTCATTAGGGATGTAGATCTGCTGAGTCATGGGAGCACCGGCCATACCGCCACCGTGCATGGGTTGCTGGCCCTGAGGTCCACCGTGGGCTTGAGGACCAGCGACATGACCACCCTGGTGCGGAGGCATGTGAGGTCCAGCACCGTAGCCACCGGCGGCTTGAGGAGCATAGTGCAAAGGTGCGCTGGCAGCAGGCTGCGGTACTGCGCCGTGGTACGGGGGCTGCTGTTGAGGATAAGGGTTGGGAGGCAAGTAGTGGTGGGATCTCGGATCGGGACGTCTGCCGTAGTTCTCCCGTTGTCCAAAGTTGCCTCCGGCTGGTTGAGGACAGTACGGCACTACCTGCATGCCGCCAGGTACAACACCAGCAGGGCCACCGCTGCGCGTTGCGTATGCCGACGCTGCGGGTCCACCGAAGCGCTCATTGAGCTGATCCAAGAGGGTACTTCCGACATAGTAGGTAGCAATGTGCACTGCATCGGCCACGCCCATGACTACTAGCGAGCGCTCAGAGGACAGGGGTAAGCACGAGTCCGAGGCGTTAAGTCTGGCACCCGAAGCCTCCTGAATTTCACGGATTCTCACACCACCCTTGCCGATAATAGATCCTATAAGCACGTGAGGAATCAGGAGACGGAGAGGGTACGTCTTGGACTGGGCTGTCGACGACTCTGTCAAAGGTTCATTGTTGAGGGTACGAATGATCAGACCAAAGGCCTACACATGTTAGAACGACCTCAACCTGCAAGAATATGTACGGGCTAGACAAACCTTGGCGACAGCATCTACAACTCCGCTAACAGTGAGGATACGCTCTACGGCGCCCTTTTGGTAATCACTGACGGTACACTTAGCGCCAGACTGCTTGCGAATGTTGCTGACATTTTCGCCTCCCTTGCCAATGATGGTTGCAGCCTCGGGGCTGGAAATCACAGCTCGAATGTGAATCCAAGCAGTCTCATCGTGAGTGTTGGTACTCGGCGGAATGGAAGCAGCAGTAGTGCTGGCGGCAGTGAGACCGCCAGGAGCCTTCAAATCATTGGCATCTGAAGCAGCGACCTCGCCGAGATCATCCTTGGACTCCGCCTCGGCCTTTTCTCCGTTGGTGTCTTCGGGCTTGAGAGGGGCTTCAGCCTCGGTGGGAGATGTGACGGGACGTTCTTCAACGTCTGATTTCTCCTCCTCTTCATGGCCGTTCTTGATAACCTTGTCGAGGGCAGGTCGCTTAGCTTCAGGCTGGTCATTCTTGGCCGAAGGCGATGAGGCATCCTCGAGAGGGCGCTTGGCCGGGTTGGTTGTATGAGATGGTGATGCAGACATGGTGTCGTGACTATTGTGTGGCTTTTCTTTTCTCTTTCTTGTTCACGCGGAATTGGCGAGTGAAACTTGCAATGTCGAATACGTTGATTCAATTATCGATTTCTATCTACACCTAAAGGGTTTTCGGAAGGAAAACGTGTAGGTGTAGTGGCTTCGGGACGGACACACACTCGGTGTGAGGGAGGGTCGGGAGATGAGGTCGGATTGAGACGTGGTCGAGTGAATGTGCAGGCTCGGTATATCGCAGGCAGTTGAAGTGCTGGTGATGTGATGCGATGCTACAACGATGGCCCTTGGGAGCTGTCGCGTAGGCTGGTAGGTGACTTGAGAAGCGGCGAAATGTGGCAATAGGAAGACTGTTTGCTACCCCAAAGCAGACTGGGTTGGAGGATGGTGAAAGTGAAGAAATGACACGGTGGTGGAGCAGAGTAGTGATGATATCTCGGAAAAACACGAGGCGGGATGAGATAGACACAGTCAGTCAGCGGTTCTTCAAACCTTTGCTCCGTCAAACGGGACCAGACAGCGGCGCGAAGTCGTCTTCTTTGAATGCCAGTTCCAAACAGCTACACCGCTTATTCCCTAGAATCTTTTTTGATAGCAGCAGGCCGCAGACGTGCAGGAAGAAGTTGAGGACTGATAGTTTGCGCGGGTGGCAGCTTCGATAGCTCCTTGTCCGATTCTTTGACCTCTGCCGGGGAAGCTCCAACTCTGGGAAAACCGAGAATTGGAAAAAAAAAATCGAGGGCGCGATGGGGGGTTAGGGTGGAGAGGGAAGAAAACCAAGATGCGAAGAGAATCACCCAGAGGAGAAGAAACCTTGGATGGGGGTTCCGAAATAGAAACAGAGATGAAGAAACCAAGCTGGGGAAGACGGGGTTTGCGAGAAGGATGAAGGGGATGTTGTCTCACGAAAGGTTGATGTGGACGAAGATCTACGCTCCACTCCTGCAGTCCAAGCGTTTGTGCCCAGGTGGTTTTAGGGCGCGGTCCAAGGAGTGGGGCAAGACACAGTGCGAAGATCTTGTGTTTCTAAATGCCGGATCGCCAAGGTGACCTTGCTTTTTGCACGGAATACGAGGGTCTAAAGGTTGTTTGTACGCGTCTGCAGGGGCGACTGTTACTGTGCCTACACTGTAAGCTTCGTCTCCTCTCCATTCCAATGTCACGATCTGTGCTGCAAGCCATTTCGGTGGGGGACTAATGACGAAACAGATACAGACATTGAGAATGTGAGTGTATGTATGAGCTGAATGGACCAATTGACAGAACGACAGATGACACTTGTTGCGCATTTCTCTTGAGGGGCCGCCAAAGGTTCATATGAATCCGAGAAATTCAGAGGTTACCGTGCCGTATATAGCCTGGTCAGACTCCAGGTCGCAAATTGGTAAGCTTGCTGGCGCTTCTTTGAAGCTATGAAGCGGGAGTGGCTCCCCCGGAGTAGTACCATAGTAATAACACCCTACCTACTACTACTTTAGCTACACAAGCATAAACCAACTGTGGACCATTGAGACCAACACAGACGCTGCGGGCCCTGCCGCGAAATACGAAAAGCTTCCGATATCCAAGAATCATTCTGGCGCGAATTTGCTGCTGTGCATTGGCACGTTTGAGATAAAGTCTTGCGGGCCAGTCCTGTGCCGTGATGGACTTTACTCAGGAGGATGGGCTGGACGCGCTCCACGCTCGTCGCGTCGAGCAGTCGCTGGCAGAACTACAGGCAACAGTCAGGGAGCACGAGTTAGCCTTGAGCAAGGTCGGTACTTTGCAATCTTCTTGATAATGTTCCCATTCATTTCAACAATTCTAATGGACCATAGCTGCGCGCATCAGCGTCCAATGGACCAAATCATGGCAACCGTCCAGAGGCCCCTTTGCAAATGGTAAAGGCGGCCTATGATGAGCTTGCAGCTCAGACGGCCTTTCTGCCTTTCCCCGAGTCCGTCTTGCCGGCTCTTATTGCACTGCGCAAGACCCATCAGACCGTCGAGGATACAAAGGCCTACCTTGAGTTCCACGGGGAAGAAGTAGAGAAGGCAAAGAAGCGGCTGCAAGCTGAGCAGTCAGCCTTACGGGATCAGCAGGTGCTCTCACAAAGTTTACACAATCGCATCCGGTCTCTACGCGACGGAGCGGAGAGTCGCATGGATATGGGCCCCGACGACATTGCACAAGAGCGCATTACCGAGCTGAAGCAGAGGAAGAAGAAATACACTAGGGAGACTTCGACCCTGCTCAAAGCATTGAAGAAGTTCATTGACGAGCATCTTGCAGCATCGTTGGCTGCAGAGGACTTGGGCGGTCCTGTAGTTGGTGACATGATGGACCTCGATGACGAAGATTTGGCTGCCGGCTTCAGTTCTCAGGGTCGACTGAAAAAGCCCAAGGCAAATCAGGATCAAGATAAGCGGCAACGGCGTATCGATGAGATTTGGGGCCAGAGCCAGGAACCGGTAGCGCAGTCCGAAGCAGAAGATCGAAAAGAGGCTGCCGCCGCGGGCGCGGAGATGCGAGACTTGACAGAGGCATTGCTCAACAAGCTTGTCGAGTCGGAAGGCGACAGCTCAGCAGCTTACATTATACTGCACAAAGAAACAGCAGCGGCACGTTTTTTGGTCAGGTCAAAAGTCGCACAGTTTCATCCTAGAGATTCGACCAAACTACGGCTCATCGACTTTGGCCGAGAGTTGGATGATTAACCATGGATAGATCCATGATAAATGGTATCATACTGGGAGAAATCACTTTTGTCCATCTTACCACATCAATGTCTCTCTATCATCTTTGACAGCCTGTCTTCATCGATTCGTGAGTCGTCTGAAATCCACAGATGTGCTTTCATCACTCTAAGCGGCCTTAAGGCTCATAAGTGTTTGATGCTGGTCCACAACTTTGTTTGGTTCTAGAACCCCCCGGGTGCCGGGATGCTGAAACCAAGACAATTGATGCGATGTTCATTTTTAGAACTGTCCTCTAAACAAAAGTATTTATCCCTGACTTTGAAACGCCCAGATGTGACGATGCTACCGGAATGTCTGTGACCTCCAAAAAACGAATTTCGATCAGCGCAACAGTGCATACATGGCTCATCCCTTTAAGCGAACACACAAAGATCATCAAGAGCAAGGTACAATATCGTCTTGCAACGTAGTGAATGACAAGGGTGGCTTTCCCACACATCCACAGAAAGTTGGAACTTAAAATAAGACGTTCAAAGTCAGTGAGCGGATATAAAAGCGGATGGAAGGGGGGCTTTTATGATATGGTCATAATACTAAAAAGAAGAATGCGAGAATGAGAGTTAGGACTTTGTGGGACATCTAATGCAATCGGCTCATGTTTCGGTGTATATTTTGAAAAGATCCCTATTAGCGGAGTATACTCTACTTTGATGTACTTTGGCCAAGAAATTTGAAAGGGCTATTACCGCCTACTTATTCCGTACATACTTTGTCATTTGAATCTTGAGAACAGCAAAACCAGAGAGAACCTCTGTCATTCGTTCGATTTGTAAAGCAAGAATCAATACAGAAAGCACAACTATATGAGATCTTGATCCATTTTTTTTGGTTTGCTTTTTCATTGTCGTATCTGCAGCCCAGATCACAAACACGCTCATGCACAGATCCCCACGGATCTCAGCAGCTGCGGCCCTCGCAGGGCGGCAGTTGGGTGTCGTTCCACCCACTACTCCCTTGCGGCAAAAACCATTTTACGCGTCTCCGTCGCGTCTCTCGCAACGCGGTGGGCAGCAGCAATTCTTCCCCCACTACCACCACCGCCAGACTTGCTCATCGTCACCAACACCAACCCGTCTTGCCATTGACATTTCCGGAGCGCAAAGCTGCCTTGTTCTCCTCCCCTTCACCTCGTTCCACCGCGCAATGAGCACCGTCCCCTCTGCCACCTCGCCCCCGACCTCGCCGCCCGCCAAGCGCCACAAGCCATCCAACTCGATTGCCGAGGCCGTCGCTACCACCACCACCACCGACAGCACTGACAACACCACTACAAGTAATACAATGGCCGACACGACAACAACAAGCAGCAACGGCACCACTGCCGCCACCGCCACCACCCTCGACCAAGCCCCTCCACTGCTGATCAAGAAGCTTTCGGAAACGGCCAAGCTGCCCCTCCGCGGCAACGAGTTTGCTGCGGGCTACGATATCTACGCCTCCCAGGATACGGTCATTCCCAAGCGAGGCAAGGGCCTTGTTGAGACTGATCTCTCCATTGCCGTGCCGGCTGGTACCTGTACGTTCTATTCTGCTGTCTTCGTGGGGAGTTTGTCGATTTCTACTCCCTCGTTTTCTCTTCAAGTTGAAGAGCAAAGATGGAATCCCAAAAAAAACCACCACAGTGAAACAAGTTTTCAAAGAAAAAAGCAGTCCAGCTAACGCAAAGCCTTCTTGAAAATTCTAGACGGCCGCATTGCCCCCCGCTCCGGCCTCGCCGTCAAGAACTTTATCGACACGGGCGCCGGCGTCATTGACGCCGACTACCGGGGCCCGGTCAAGGTGCTGCTGTTCAACCACAGCGACGAGGACTTTGAGGTCAAGGTGGGCCACCGCATTGCCCAGCTCATTATCGAGCGCATCTATCATCCCGAGATTCTCGAGGTGCAAGAGCTCTCGGAAACCGTCCGTGGTGCAGGCGGTTTTGGCAGCACCGGTATGTTTTAGATGGGGAGGGAGATAGAACGACTGATGAGAGGTGTCATTTGACTCTTGCAATGGATTGTGGATATAAGAGAGCAAATGCGTACCCATGTACAATAAATGAGAAGGCATGATTATAGTGTCACAGACGGCCATGGCATCAATATCTGGAAAAAGGACCAGGAAAAGAAGTTTTGGGGATCAAACAAAAAAACCACGATGCCCGTGGGTTTTGCCTACGACAAGAGCAATCATAGACAAGACAGGCGTCTCAGGTCTGAGAGACCAAAAATGACAAAGTTAGATAAAGACAAAAAGACAATATTTATATGCTCTGAAGCGCTCAATCGATCTTGTCTACGAATCCTACCATGTTTAGTAAAAGTTTAGGTAAATGATATGCCTTCTCCTTTTGTTTCTACATCTTTTCAGCCCTGTATTCGATATTCGGACTCCTCAGACAGCTCAGGTTTCTGACCAGCCTCAGCTCGGCAGCTCTGCTTCGGAGCAGATGCCTCTTCTTCTCCTCCTCTTCGGACGACAAAGTCGCGCCGCCCGCGGGCAAGCCATTGACAATGCCCGCCTGTGCCGTCTCGGTCGCCATACTCTCGCACGTCCGGCTCAGCACCTCGTGCATGCTGGCCAGGACCTTTTCGGCGGCCCGGGCGAGGGGCAGATCCAGCGGCGCCACCTCGTCGCCGCTCAGCCAGCTCGTCGTCGAGCTCAGCGCGCCGCCGGCATTGTGGACAACCTCGCGCATGCGCACCACCATGAGCGCGGCAAACATGTCGCCCGTGCCGCTAAAGTAGCACTCGAACACGGGGAAGTGGATCTTGAACAGCCGCGGCTTGCCCGTCGATGTCTTGGTCGAGCCCACGACCGACATGGTCCGCGAATTGGGCGAAGTCGTCTGCGAGTCGCTCAGGGGCAGGGAGACGGAGGTGATGACAATGTGCGGGATGTTGAATTTCGTGTGCAGAACCTCAATGGCCTGGCGAAGCGACGCGGAATCAGTAATCTTGACCTCGGAGAGTTGCCTGGCAAATCCACTTGTTTAGCTCTTGCGGTCAAAATGAACATTGAGGGAGGCAAGATTCCACTCACTCGGCCTCGAATTGATTTGGCAGGATCAGGTCGGCATGCTGGACCAAGCCCCTATACGCAGGCACGACGTCGTCGGCAACGTATAACTTGCCATTGTCCCCCATGACTGGGTCCAGAACCCAAAAGAAGCTTCCCGGTTTTGTTCTCGACTTTTCCTTGAGCTCCTTTGCAATGTTGCCCACGGCCTCGACGGCGGCCGCGCCCGGTACATAACCCGACAGCATCATGTCAAATTGGTCGAGGTATGACTGCTTGAGACCCTCCCACAGATCCGTTATCTCCTGCGCCGATACTCGTGTGCCCTTCCATTGTCTATATCCAGTATGGTTGCCTATGGGAAATGAATATCAGCAATGACCTAGGCTAGCAATGATGGCCAGCGCATCATGGGTGGTTTCTTACTGAATTGTACGGTATTTAGAGCCGAGACATCGCAGCCCATGGACTGAAGCACGAAGACGGCGATTTTGTTTCCGACATGTCTGCGCCTTCTGGTTAGCAGCTTGCGCGCCTAGATCACCTTTTGCCAGTAAGATTTGTTTTTGTAAAATGGGAACTCACCCGGATACGACCTTGAGATTTTGTTAGCTGGCTCTCGTGGAACGATATCAAGGCGACTGTCTCCCTACATGACTGGCTACAGCGAGGACGCTCGTCTCTGGCACTGGCGGTTCGGCGCTCATTCTCGATTAACCACTTGAGTGATGCTGTGATTGGCTGTTGTAAGGTACGGTTTGGTATCAACGGACGGATGGTTGCTTCTACAGGATAAGAAATACGTATAGTGCGGGAGACTAGAAAGCGGTTAAAAGTCTCGAAATTTGTATGAGTCTAATAAGATGGTAGCAGCAGTAGTATATGGAAGTGTGTGATTCTTTCTCTTGTTCTTCACGAGGGGTACAATGTACGAAAACACAAGACAGAATAAAATGACCACCGTTATCGCAAAACACCGCCGCAAGCCGTCAAGGAAACCGGACCATGGCCACGATCCAATGACTCGAAATTTCTCGCAGGGTCCTCCGATGCGACCGATCAATTGGTACCTTTTACACATCAGCAGCGTCAGCAACAACCCCGCCAGCCCCGCACTAGCCAATCTGAGATACGCGTCGCCCACAAAGACACGCGACGTCATGGGGGTTCAACTTTGTGCATATGTCGGGAGCGTGCCTGAAATTCAGTTGTCATTATTGTTTGTACTGTAGTATACGCCAGTGTCGCCGTCCATATCCATGCAAAGCTGTGGCTCGACTCGTGGAAGGCTGCTGCCACATTGACCCTCATTTAGGTAGCCCGTTATCGTCTACTCAGGAATTCCAATTGGCCTGCATATTGCTCGTAGACTCTGATGTCTTGCTCCGAATTGTAATTCAAAAGTATCCTGGCCAGATCCCCCATTTTGTGGTATCTCTCGTAAAGTGTCATTTTTATCAAAATATCTATTGCCGCCATCATCTTTACTCCTCATCACCAATCTGTACCATAGTGTTAGCAAATGGGAAGCTGCTAATACAAATCGATAAATGGGTGAAAAACGAACCTTTGGTGCCAGGTAGAAGCGTAGATAACTGGTACCAGCCAATCCGTACTCGACCAACAAGGGCACTTCATTAGAGAGGCAAACCTTGACTCTGTTCGACAGGGGCTGAGCTTTGCAGAAGTTTACGAGGTACTTGAGGGAGAAGGTCAGAGCTACGGGCTCGGTGAGCTCGATCTCAATGTTGTTCTCCTCCTTCTCAACGTCCTGGTTGCTGCGCAGGGTGACCGATCCGTTTCCAATGTCGCCGTTGGCGGAGAACTTGACACCATCCTTGGATGCTTCAATGGTCACTAGAAGATGGCATGTTAGCGAACTGGTAGAGGTCTGAATAGAGAAAACAAGGTAACAGAGAACTCACCAGACTCGGACATGGCCATCAAGTCGGTGCAAATCCTCTTGAATTCAGCGCTGGGCATGGAAATAGTGGCGGCGTATTCCGTCTCGGGAATGCCCAGGTGCTCCTGGTCAATGTCCATGAGCTTGAGGTCGTACTCGGAAATACGGTCGTTGTTGGAGCTCTCAAAGACGAGGTTGAGCGAGTCGGGGGCGTCGTCGGCCTTGAGGGTGAGGACATCCTCGTTCTGTGCGGCGCGCAGCACCTTGGTGAGGGAGACCAGGTTGACACCGAGGGCAATGTTGCGGTCGCAGCGGTACGGCGAGAAAGACTCGGCCTTGTACATCATGGAGACGAGGGCGACGTGCGAGTTGTCCATGGCCTGGAGCGCGAGACCAGAGTCATTGCAGTCAAAGTTGCAGTCCTGGACTAGGTCCTTGATGGCATCAACGACCTGAGTATCACGAGTTAGCTTCAAGTTCCCAGCCCATGTTGTTGATCCGTCCTTCTCACCTTCTTCAGGTCGTTAGCCTTTTCGAGTCTTGCCTCAAGCATCGTGGCGGTCTGTGGTTGTGATGGGGGATCTTTGGTTTGGAAAGGAAGTGCTTGAACAGAAAGAGTAGTACAAGACAAGCAACCGAGAGGCTAGACTGTCGAAGAGTGTTTTGGGGGCGAGGATGTTGAGTGTTTGGTAAATGGTGAAAGGATGAACAACAGCAGAACAGAGCAGAGGTTCAAGGCTTCAAAAGAAAGTGGGATGGAGCAACCCAACGCGTCGCGTTCGCGGCTTTAATTGAAGGCAGCTGGACGCGCAGCGCGCGCGGCTCTTTAGCGCAGATGCGGGTCGCAACAAATGCCAAAGCGATACCTAGCAGGCAGACACCATAGCGCCGCCTCACTTGGATGTCTAATCCTCTTTAAATATGGCTGGTACTTTCAAAAGCTGCTGTCATAATCTGTAGTGATGGTTTGATACATTAAAAGGCATGTAAGAAAGGATATATACACTTTGCCTCGGAAACAGGCAATGTAATTTGTACCTCCATCTATCCTGGTCCGACAGATATTCTGGAACAGTGTCTTTGAATATGACCCATTGGCGAACTATGCAGAAATGCATCACTTGCACAATCACATTGCCGCGGCAACTAGTATCTTCGTTAATTTCCTTCCCGTTTGGGAGTATTCTCATTCTCTATATATGCAGTTGGATGATATATACAATAATAACAACAAGGAGACATTACATTCAACGATTGTGATTTGCGGGCCGATCCCATCTCTGACAAAAAAAAAAACAAACAAAAAAAAAAAAAAGCCATGCTGACGCTGTCCCAACCTTACGCCGGCAGTCGAACACTGCAACCTTTATTTCCCGATATCTATACCAATGTGACGCCTATGCAACCCAGGCATGCCGATTTGTTCGATGGTTTTTGTGCCAGTACCGGAACTCCGCAAGTGAAAATAAATCCAAGTTATAAGAATAGCCGCTCTCCAGGCCCAGGCAATGATATCCTTTTCGATAATCTAGGGCCGACGGATTTGGGGCTTGGTAGAGGACCTGGGGCAATGATCGGCGAGGAGTCGCCGCCTTGGTTCGTATCCACGACCGTGTGTAGACCGCGGCTTTTGAGGACATCTCTGAGTTCACCCATAACATGACCCCTTTGCATGGCTGCCGCCCGTTCGGCTTCCCGGATCTTTCGTTCCTCGTGAGACCGCTGGATGCGCTCTGCTCGGGTCATCAAGCTCCTTGGTCTGGGGGTCGCGATGGCCTCGAAAGTCTCCATGACGAGCGGTTGCGGCTCGGGACTTTGTGGGCTCATGTTTTCAGGCGGTGCTTCACCTCCAGTGAGCTGGTCCCACGCTGACGCAACTCCGCCTTCACTTTCAGCCTCGCCGGTCTCTTCCAGTACTGCCTCCATGGATTTGTCGAGCCCTGGCGATAGTAGAGAGCTCATTGATGATACCCGGCGCTCATTTTTGTTGATTGACTTGGCTAGGCTCGACTTGCCAGATTGCCAAGCATCCATCAGATCTTCGATATCTTTCCCTATGCTTTCATAACGATCCATGAACATCTGGCCTAATTCCGATACGTCGTCGGCCGTGTCCAAGGTCTTTTTCGATTCTTCGAGTAACGAGTACATCTTTGCCTGGATGGTGCGAATACTCATGTTCATTCCGCCCACCTTGTCGATCTGGTGTTTCCATTTCAAGTGACGTGGACTTGTTGGACTCGTGCTTGTCCGATTGTCTCTCACCTCTGCGTCAAGTCAGCACACTTGCTTTGATGCCTACATCTTGCATTGAAACAAACCTCTATCTGGTACCAGGGCAGCCCGAAGGTTGCTGTAGGCTTTTTGCGTCACCTGGAGACACCTTTGGATGCCCTGCAATGCGGTTGTATATTGTACCAGCTCCGTTCTGCTGCCAGTCTTTTCGAGTGACATTAGTGTAATAAGAAACATTTTTCGCGCATCTCGAGACAGCTGGAGAGTTTCCCTCAACTGTGCCGTCTTCTGAGCATCTTCCGTGCTCAGGTTGACAAAGTGAACCATGTATTCATGGACCTTTTCCTTGTCACACTTGAAAGCCTCGTCGTATTCCTTGAGTTGCTTTTGGCTTGCGAAATCTCGAATCTCTTGCGCTGTTTGATAGTAAACTTCAATGACGTCCTGGAAACACTGGTTGAGCGAATGTCGGAGCTTTTGGCTCTTCAAAGCTTGACCATTATCATTATTCTCCAGACGACTCAGAGGAGGCAATGGTAAAGATCTGCTCGAATTAGTTAGATGATCAGGAGAAAATAGGATCAGCCTGTACTTACAATCTGTAACCGCGTGCAACAAGCTCAACCTCAAAGATAAAGCTCAAAGCCGAACTGGCCATGCTGTCATATTCGGAAGAGCTTCGCAAGAATCTCTTCAGCTCGCTCAAGGCTATTTCGTAGGTGTTCTTGGCCTGTTGTTGCCGCATATGTGTCCTCAAAGCCCATGCGAGCAGGCCCAAGGCTATCGTTACCACCACTAGACGTCTTGCTGATAGAATAAATGAGCCTCCTACGACAAACCATCGCATCAAACCCGCTATCGAAAACCCCAATGCTCCTGCGGCGAGGGCGCCATTCGGAGTCCACGAGGTAATGACTAGCTCCTGGCCATCGAGACGATCAAGCGCCTCTGTGGGCAAGGGCGCCGCAGATGCAGGTCCAAAGGCCGGGTGTTCGTTCAGTAGCGATGATGCGATAATGAGAAAGCTGAGTTCCTCGATGAAGCCTCGAGCATGCTTTGCGTGCGCAACCGAGTTGATCGCATTCTAGGGTAACGTTGAGTACAAGGGACGTCTCTCCAGCGCTTGAGGGGGGATTTGTGGCTTACTTTATAAGCACCCTGCAACTCCTTGAGCCGTATATTTTCCGCTATTTTCGACACTCCCTCCGCCAAGCCAACGTTGAGGGCGAGTCCCCTTGGTATCTTGCCCTTGAATCCTAGTCTCGGCGTCACGGGGCCTCTGGGAGCGAAATTCGGCCTTGGGCTCCCCGGGGGCGACGATGGCGGCGTCCCGACCGAACGGCGCCTGCCATCTTGACTACTCCGATCGGACTCGGTTTCTTGTCCCGTACCTGGGGGCAAAGTCAGTGAACATGTCCTTGTGCCAGCCATGCAGTGGCTCGGGGTTTGCGTCGCGGAGGAAATAAACCGGTCGTCTGGGAGCAGCAAGAGGGAGAGAGAGCAAGTGCGCCTACCTTCGCCTTCGTAGAGGTCTCTCTCTAGAGAGTCGTGAGGACCGCCGGGTTCGAAATGGTTCTCCATGAAATCGAGTGCGTCGCACAAGCGACGTTGACCATCCGCCGCAGTACTATAATATCACCCCTAAAGTACTCATGGGGGTGTTCTGGATTTTTTTTTATTTTCGCAAGTCGCAGTGGGTATCACGGGGCCATCGAGGTCGGGATCGTACAGTAAGCGAAGCGTTCTTTGGCGGTTGCGATGCAAGCGGGTGCAAGCATAAAAAGAGAAAGCAGAGGAGGGCCAAAGGCGAGGCTGGGTATCGTTGGTTGGTGCTTTGTCCTCTGTTCTGGCGGTCAAGATTGTTCACGGTCGAGATGGGTAAAGTATAATGGGGTCAAAGAATCAATCGAGCAGCAGCAACAATGTCGAGTCGGCAATGTAGCAATGGTGGCAGTTTGTTTTGAATACGTATGTAGTTCGCTTTTGACGGGCGCCAGGTAGCGAGATAAACATTAGATTGCGATAAGTGAGATCGTGGAGCGTCATGTGTTTCCTAATAAGCGAAAATGGTATTGTTAACTTCCGTTTAGGAGGCGGTTCATTAAACCATCCCCGAGTGTCCGACTTAGAAGATGGACTCCGTATAAAACAGGATCCCCATGACAGATCCAAGAGGCTAAGCATAAAGGCCAGGGTTCGTCATGGGTCTGGATGGGGAGGACATGAACCAAAAGACCCGATCCGCGTGCCATGGGAAATGGAGTTCTGCTTCTACGTCGAACATCTGCGGCTTGTCCAGTCATTGCCAGTGCGTCTTTCTCATCTTGAACTGCTCATCCCTGACGGCCATCGGCACCCCAACCCACCGTTCTTTGGCATTGCAGCCAATCAGACACGCATCTTCTTGACCATGCACGCTGTTTAAAGGACGCATCGTCTGAAGTTGCGGGCCGCTTAAAAAAGCGAACCAAAAAATTGCCCGCCGACCGACCAACCAATTCATTTTAAGCCGCTAAGCCCGCCCCCTGAATCTGTGCTTACGTTCACTGGAAGAGAAGCCGCGACACCGCTGAAAAGGAAGGGCAGGCCCACGATGGGGTCGTACAGCGCATTGTTCAGGCTGGGATCTGGCCCGATGCTCCCCACTCATTAGCACCTATTGTGCTGAGCAACATGCACTGGCGCAATTGGGGGGAGGACACGGAAACACTCTGGAAAACCATTGTGGAAGACGCCGTCCCTTCCTCCCCCCCAACGCTGACGTCTACTGCCGAACCAAGCTCCCAACCCAAAGCCTCAAGCTCCCTCCTACCAGCACCAACCAACCAACCGACCGACCGACCAACCACATCCACATCCACACTTCGTACTGCTCTCTAGCCTCGCTGGCCTCGCCTGGGCGCAATCAACCACAAGCGGATCTTTCGTGATCAAAGCACCTAAACACAGTAAATCAGCAATTTGCGAACAAGCCGACAGTTCATTCGCATGTTTCGCCTCCCGCTCCGTTTCGGATAAACTCGAGCAAACAAAGAGAGCGCCTTTTCTCCCCACCATTATTACTGTCATCAGCAACATGGCTACCGAACGCGAATTCCAGGTCTCGCCCATTGTGCCGGAATCGGTAATGCACAACACAAGGGTTAGCTATACTCTTTTCTTTTTCAATGCCTTCATCAATAGATACTTGGTCGCTCTTTGGTCTTGGATGGTCTCAAACAATATCGCTGACTTTCTCTCGCCCGTGTGAATTACAGGCATTGTCGAACGTCCAGAGCTTGACGGCTTCCATCTTTGGCGTGGCGGCGGGTATCCTGGGTCTCGAATCATACAACGGCTTCTTATTCTACCTCATCTTCTCCGTCTTGACTACGCTGCTCTTCTATACCGTGCGCGTTGCCCCGGCGTCGCTCAAGTCTGGTCTGGGCCCGTTGGACACGAGCAGGTATTTTCGGACACAGTACGAGTTTTGGTCGGGCGGCGTCTTTGGTGGGTTGGCTGGGTATATCTTGACGTGGACATTATTCTACGGTTTGGTGAGGGCGTGATTGGGGAAAAGAGAACTATCTATTGAAATATCCACGACAAATGGTGGCGTTTAGGGTATGACCGACATTGATTGATGCAAGAGCCAAGAAGAGCGAAATGTGCATTTATCAAAATCATAAAAAAGTAAAGATATACATATTGCCCGGTCCCTTGATGGACACGAGCTTCAGATATTCAGGCTTGGGGTCCTCCATCATATCCCCCCATCTCATACTCACTCGGCTATCTCTATCACATTGCCCACGAACCCTTCTAATCCCGAGCTCCCCTGCTTCCCGCCTTCCAGCAAAACGACGCGAGAGCCCAATTCTATCCATTCCCGATTTGTGAGAAGCTCCAAAGTGACAGCGTATTCGTTCTTTGTGGGAGCACTATCGGACTCTCCAAGTGATCGATCAAGCTCGATGCTGTCAGCCATGCTGAAGACATCGTCATGCTCTTCACTGTGTGCTTTTCGAGCTCCATTCTCGGGCAAATGTCGAATAACTTTCAGTATTCTTGCTGCAGCACGAACGGTGGCGACGTAGATATTAACAAGGTTGCCAACTGAGAGTTCGGTCACTCCTTCATCAGTGAATACTGCCCTCAGCCCTGAAGCTGCCTGCAAAGACAGGCCAGTGTCCAGCATGTGCTGACTAGGAATGGCGAGGATCTGGCCCTTGCGGATTGTTCCACCGGTTGACGGTTTCGTTCTTTCAAAAAGAGAGTCGGAGTCAGATGGCTCTTCCACGGGGTCATCAAATACGATTTGAACGGTTCCAGCTTGCCCGGCCTCCATTGTCCGGACTGGCAGTCGCAGGTTACGAATGTTGACAATGGTTGCATTGCGCCACTCGCCCTTGACATTGGAGGCGGATACTGCATTCTTGGATGCGAACCGTGCGAGTTCAGAAAACGATGGGTGGGATATGGACAAGCCGTCTCCCGGTGACGGATGATCGCGCGGAACGTGATTTCTGGCATCCTCGTCGTCGGCTGGAAATGGACCTAGGAGCACCTTGTCCCCAATGCGCAGCGTACCAAAACGGAGGTAGCCAGCAATCACAATGGCGCTTCTATCAGACGTATGGTTCGAAAGCTCATACTTGTCGTCAATATGGAACAGTGCAGCAGGCTGCTCTGGATTCAGGACCTGGGGAACAAAGTCTCTGGCAGTCGGTGCTGGAGGCATGGGCAGGCTATTCAAGAGAGCATGAATATGACCAATGCCCAGGCCCGTGACTGCGCTTGTAAGAACCAATGGGATGATTGAAAGATGATTGTTTGATTCCCCAATGCTCTTGATCACATCCTGCTCGATCTTGAGTTGGCTGGTTTCGGGAACTTCAAGCAAATCCCCGCCATCTGGTCGCGGAGGGATTATCAGCTTTGGAGCTCGACCTTTGGCTTTAATCTTGGTCAAAATAACGTTCAGAGTGCTCTTAAGCTTGTCTTTGGTTGTTGTATCATACTTGGTTATCAAGATAACCAAGGGGATTTCCAGCTGCAAACAAAGGTCCAGGTGAGCAATAGCAAGATCAAGTCCTCCATCTCCCAGGTCATCAGTGGTGCCTGATAACGAATGAGACCCGCGGCCAGTGCCCTCGTTTCCATTGGCAGTGATGCACAAGAATGTCCAGTGTGGCGCCCACCCAACGAGCCCACGTAATATGGTGCGTCGATATCGAAGATGGCCCGCCGAGTCCGAGAAGAACACAAGTCTTCCGTTCTCTGCATAGTCGTGTATGTCTGTCCAAGACTCGATATTTGTGCCAGCATAGTTGTAGATCTTTCCGTCCTTGTAGCCAATGAGTTCCTGGGCCACAGAGGAAGTTTGACCTGAGACAACTTCATGGCGGTGCTTCAAAAGGTTGATACGGCTGCTCCCTCGCCCGTTGTCTAATGTACCATTTGCCAGCGTGCCAAGCAGCGTAGTCTTGCCAGACGTTGTTGGTCCGGTCAACGAAACACGGAGCTGCTCGGTCCTAGACACATTGACTGCATTTAATGGGTCAGACTGCACCTGGGAGCTTGTGCCATCGCCATTGGATTCTTTTTGGGGCTCAAGAACTGGCATGATCAACGCTTCGGCAACCCAGAGATCGGCTTCACGGGAATCCATGGTTGACACGGTGTCGGCATGAGAGATTTCGGTCCACTGGCAGTTACCCACCATCTTCATCCGTTGAACTTCTACTCGACAGCCCAAGCTTGCCGCCATGATCTTGAGAGTCGACATACTTTCGTCCATCTCATCCTTGGTCAGCCCAACAAAGGTTCCATCGTCAGAAACGCCAATCTCATACAATGCACCATTTGATTCTTCAAGGCCCGGAAGCAGTTTTTGGGGGTTCTCCAATATAGACAGATCCACGTTATCAGTATCTTCGGGTAGTTTAGGCACCACCAGCTGTCTTCGTGCCTTTGCATGATAAGGAGCAGACTGCTGCAGCCTCCAGAGTAGCTGGGTTGTCAACTGCGAGAGGCGGTTCTGCCGCGTCTGGGTTGAGGTGGTCGGTGTGCTGCTCCCAGACTTGAGGGATACAACTGGGCGCGGCCGGGACTGCTGCGAGCCGACGACCCTAGTAGTAGTGCTCATCACATCATAGCGGCGACGCGGGCGCAACAGAAGATGCAGCTTGTACTCAATCGGCCCATCTTGCGGCTCGGCATCCAACCTGTCGACAGTGTCCTGGTTCTGATCAGAATCGCCGTCGTTGCTCGCCGAGCCCGAACGTTCGGCGCCACCATGCTTCTTTTCCGGGTCTTCGGGCAGCAGCCACGGCGAAGAAACCCGTGGTGGATTTGGATCAAAGGTGATTACGGAAGCCATGTTTCCCTAGCGTTGCAGACTGCCTCAATATATTCCTAATCGATATCGATACAGTGCGGTCAGTGTCATGATATGGAATCGCTGCTGTATCCTGGTGATCATTTCGAAGCTTGTCGAGCCACGGAAATGGAATATGCAAATATGAGATGTGATGCCTGGATGCAAACAGAGATCTCTTGGATTGATGCTGCTATGATTCAGATTCCATTCAAAGTGACAGCCCGAAAAGAAGAAGAGGCTCTTGAATATGTAACGAAGAAGTAGCAGGGCAGTGCAGCAGGGGGGCGACGAAGAGTCACTCGGGAACGAGAACGAATTTAGTACAGCGAATTGAGTCAAAGATTCATGAATTGATGGGTATCAATCATCCTTGCATTCGGACCAACGATGCAGGGAAAATTGTATTGAATAGAATGTCCGATTGTTTCACACCTGAGTGTTCATAAATAGGACGGAGGTATTGAGGTTGCAGTTGACAGCAACGTAACGATGCAGTGCCCAATCGCTTTGATCAGGCCAGATCAGACAACCTGAAGTTCCAATACGAAGGGGGTTCGTTCGCTGGTGACGAGACGGAGACTAAGCACGGCCCCGGACGTGGGTGCTAGCCGGTCACGGCGGTCAGGACTCTCGACATCCGTCTCTAAAACTAATTGTCATCAGGTCACGCCTGAAGATTTTACCCAAGAACCTGAATGTTTCCAGCTCAAGTAAATCTTGAATTGAGTTCTTGTCGGAGTCATTCTATATTGCAAGGCATGCAGGATTCAGGTAATCGCCAGATTGATGGGTGGTGTCTTTTTCCTAGTCCGTCGTCGCTTGTCTGTAAGCTTATAGAAGAGAAAATGTTCAATCATACCTGGTTCATACAGAGTAGTCGTAAGAACATGCGGCCGAACACAAAGAAAATACGTAGATTCACATGCGCATGTGTTGCCAATGCTCTAAATATAAGTTGAATACTGCTTGACAGACTTGCATTGATATGAAAACCTGCACTCGCCACCCTAGGTACCTATTCACCTACCTTTCTACTAATGAACCAGCGATCAGCTCGTGTTCTGCCCAGAGTCATTGAACTCCTGTATGTACGCTGGGATGTACCTACCTCGTAAGGTACGAACAGCTGGTGCGATGGGGCTGAGCTCACCGCAGCAGTGGCAGCTTTTTGCGCCTATCCTGGAGCCTGGGCGCCGTTCGTGTAGGTTAATGAAAAGTAATTGTTGATTGCGTTAAAGGTAGTAAAGTAGTAGCCAGATGATGTATTGCGATCGGTTGCCATTTAATTTAGATCACTGAGGAGTGCCGCCAGTGACTACATTGTAAGAAGCCATTGATTGTTCCTCCATTCAATCTATTTCTTGATGCAACCAAACCAAACCGAACCAAACCACCCCCCTGAAAGCGCCATACATTACTGACTGACGAAGCGCTCGAGGCTCAGTGCATCAGACCTCCCATACACTTTGACTACTACAAGGCAACCTTTTAGCCCCTCCATACAAACAAACCCAAGCGACCTAGCACAGGACCACAGGACCCTGAAGGAGGGCAGAGGCCAGGGAGGAGAACCGCCCCTTTTGTCGATCCGTAGTCCAGCAGCGTTGGGTTCTATTCTCGAAACACACCTCCGACACCTGAAAGGTGCCCATTGTTGGTTTTGGCTGGGCGCCGCCCCTCCCCATAAAACCAATCGACCATTCTTTAAAACGAAACCCATCGCCCTCAAGTAGTCCCACTAGTAGTTTACCTTGCTGCTATTCATTTCCATTCTACCTACATTACTTACGACTTCTCTTTTTCTCGTTTCTCGTCCTCCCTTTTGTCTCCCTTTGCATCGAGAAAGAAAACAACAAAGCCGTCGCGATGGGTAAATTCAGCTTCGGCAGTAAGAAGTCCGAAAGCAATGACGACGGTAACAGACAGGCCCTCTTTGGCAACAAGAAGGTTCCTGTAGCCTCCGAGAACCCCTATGCGCAACAGGGCCAAAATGACCCATACATGGGCAACCAGCAGCCCATGACCGGAGCCCAAGCATCCTACAAACAGTACACACAAGCATCGTACACGGGAACCCTGCCCGGTGGCCCCCGACCTGGCCCTCCCGGCGGTGCACCTGGTCTTCCCAGCGGGCCCCGCGGTGGTGCTGCCCCTCCAAGCCGCAGCGCTTCCAACGAGACCGCCCCTCCCCCCTACAGCGGCGGCGGCGCTCAGCAGGGCTACGGCTCAGATCGCTACGGCGCGTCTTCGGGATACGGATCCAGCAGATACAACGACGGCGGTTACGGTACCGACAAGAAGCGCCCTGGCGGTTACGGCGGTTTGGGTCCTGCTGACGACGATGCCGCCCGAGACAACCTTTTTGGCGGTGCCAGAGAGCGTGCTGAGCAGAAGCAACAATCCACTGGCGCATATGGCAGCAGCGCGGGTGCATCCGGTGCAGGCGACGACTCGGGCTACGGCGGATATGGTGCGCAGCGCGAATTGACTGCCGAGGAGCAAGAGGAGGAGGAGGTTCGCGACATTCGCAGGCAAATCAAGGAGACCAAGCTGGCCTCGGCCAACTCGGCAGAGAACAGTGAGCGCATCGCCTCTCAGGCCGTCGAGACTGCTCTTGGTACATATGCACGACTGGGCGCACAACACGAGCGACTCAACTACACTGAAGGTCTTTTGGACAAGGCCGGCATGTCCACCCGCGAGGCCGAGGGCCAGACTAAGAAGTTGAAGCACTTGAACCGCAGCATGTTTGCTGTACACGTCAACAACCCGTTCACAGCCGGCAAGAAGACTCGCGAAATGGAGACGCAGATCCTGGAACAGCACCGCGCGGACCGTGATCTGCGTGAGGCTACGCGAAAGGCAGGTTGGCAAGCAAATGACCACATGGAGAGGGGCTTCAAGGAAATTGAGGCAACTCGCAGCACGGCCAAGTGGCAGAGAGCCAGTGGAGCCGAGAAGAGCAGATACCAGTTCGAGGACGACTCGGAAGACGACGAGGCGGAAGACCGTATCGATGCTGCCATGGAGCGGACTGCAGGCCACGTTGGCACACTAAACAGTGTGGCACGTTTGATGCAGAAGGAGATTGATTCTCAGGACGAGCTCATAGGACGACTCGGCGAGAAGGTAAGATGTCTTGATGTTCTTCTCTTTGCATTATTTCCCTTGCTCTTGATTCACTATGACTTGGGATCATGGCTAACGAGATATACAGAGCGACTCTGTCAACGATCGGGCCAAGCTCAACACGGAGAGATTGAAGCGCATTCACTAAACTGGCGGAGGGTATCTGGTGAAGCAAGTGAGCATAGGCAAGGATTGGTTTCACTCTCCTAGCAGTACAGGCGTTCTATTGAGGTCATATCATGCAATGGATGATACCGGATTAGGGCATTGTTTACTAGATTTTCAGAATAATTGACCTTGTTGCATTGCTTGAGTACCTCCCTAGTTTTATTCGTACTTGTTATTCCGCGGTAATTCAGGGGCGCACAGTACATTTGATCATATTGATTCATTTCTGACACTGTGCGGCCCACTAAAGAAGCCATGACATCTTATTTCACAACTTGAAGACATCATCACCATTTGCACAGTGAGAGTCGGCAACTTGTGCCATTGTACGATTGTACTTCTACTCTGGCTTTTAGACTAGATTTTCCTGTCATAATTCATTACCATCCACACGCACATACCTGGCTTCCTCAGTCCGCGGCTTTTTTGTGTTCAAAACAAGACAAAACACCGAGGCCACTTTTTTATTCCGTCAGGGCCCCAACCACAAGAGAAGGAAGGAATAATACCAACAAAGGAAACAAGAAAAGAAGGACAATGAGACCCTCGTGCCGACTCCTCGCTCAAGCCTCGTCGGCCGGCTCGACCAATGCCGGCCTGCGGCCGGCGCTGGCCCTGCTGCCGCCCATCCCGCTGTACCGGCGGCTGTTTCGCGCGCACCGCAAGCACCTGCCCGCCGAGATGCGGCTCCTGGGCGACGAGTACATCAAGGCCGAGTTTCGGAGTCATCGGGAGACGGAGAATCCTGCGCATATTGTGAGTTTTACAATTTTTGGTTTGTTTCAGAGGAGGTTTCCCTGGTGCAGATGAGGGGGATCTCAACTTTGAACCATGAGGGAAAAAAAATAAATCGAACCACGTGAGCTGACATTTTCATCGCTTTTGTCTGTCCAATATAGATTGGTTTCTTGACCGAGTGGCAGTTGTATGCTCAAAAGATTGAGGGCGACGCGTGGCAGGGCGAAAAGATTGACCCGGCCAAGATTGAAAAGATGAGTGGTGAGTGTTTTGGTCCCCTTCTGTTTCTTTCTTGGGGACTCCTCCGCCTTGTCCAGAGTATTAACATATTTTGCCTTCCCCCCAAAACAAGATCAGCAGATGGGACAGCTTTATGAGCTGATGCAGGCTATACGGAAACACTCTGCCGATGAGGGAGAGGGCGAGGCATGAGTTGCTTCAGTCCACTTGGTTTTCTCGCCAGACAAGATCATGGATCTCAGGTATGGACGAACTCTGTTATGAGATCGACCAAAGACTTTTGTCAGAGCTAGTCAAGATGTGACACTTGGGCAAGCTGTCTTTCAATATCTCTGATGTACATTTTCAGACGCCACCAGTTGAAACAGAGGAGACCTGTCTATTGTCTTTAGAACTTGTGGCTTAGCTGGGCATGGAGACATTCGTGTACGCAGGCCCATAATGCCTGGCCAGACCGCATGTACAAGGAGTGAATGGACCGGAGCACAAGGCAGGCATTCGTCCACGAAAACACACACTTGACGCACTCCTGCGACGGATAGCTTGGAAACTACAACGTCATCACGAACCTTGTAAACAGATGAGGGAATGGACACAATGTAAAGAGATATAAAAATGACTTCGCTGATTATACCATCTATATCTATGAATTGCCACCCAACGCCTCAATGATCCAATCCGCCTGAATGGCGCTGACCTTTTTTGCATAATTCTTCTGCGTAAACACATGCTCCAAGAACATGATGGCTTCCTTCTTTTGTCCATGGAGAACACTGGAAGGGTGTATGGCGACAATGTGCTTTCCCTGAGTCGTCACATAGCTGCCGTCTGGGGCGAGCAGAGCACACTTGGTGACGAAGCCGCGGAGGAAACATTGGATCAGCGCCTCTGCGCGCTCGGGAGAGACCGGCACAAACGGGACCGGGTCCGCCTCGGGTTTTTCCTTGAGCAGCTTGTCCTTGAGGCACTGGCTCCGGAGTTGGTTGCGAATGTTCAAGGCTTGCCTCATGTTGCGCACATTGATCTTGCGCTTCTTGCACCAGTCCACTCGATCCGCGTGCTCTGCCGTGTACTGCTGCATGGCCGTGAGATAGGTAAGGATATCGCCCTCTCTTCGGTACAAGGCTTTGCGCGCTTCTTCCGTCTCTTCATCTTGCTCCTCGGAATTCATCTGGTGGAAAATACTCTCGCCAGACGTGATACAGGCTATTATATCGATCACTTCGAGAAGGCAATCAAACTGGGGCTCGGCCGCTGCCAAAAGCACGCGACCATACGGCGCTGTGACGGGAAAAAGAGCAATCTTTCGTCCAATGTCGGTAATGGCTCCATCATCAGCAATGGCTCCCAAAAAGTGGAGATGTATCAGCGCCTTCTCGACGGATTCCACGTCGGGAAAGTCCATCAAGGGAAAGGAAAAGACGTCATTGATGCCACGCGCCTTCATTGTCAGCACAGCTCCGAGCACATCGTTTCGCAGGATCTCGGGGAGATCTGCATCCTTCAATGCCTCATACGTCTCCGCAGTATAGAGTCTAAAACATTTGCCAGGGCCTTCACGACCCGCACGACCAGTCCGCTGCAGGGCAGACGACTTGGAGATCGGCTTTGCCAAGAGAGACTCGAGGCCCAGTCGCGATCTGAACTGCTTCACCTTGGCTTTTCCACAGTCGATCACGTGTCTGACTCCAGGGACGGTGACGGAAGTTTCTGCAATGTTGGTGGCAAGGATGACCTTTCTCGTAAATTTTGTTGGTGCGGGCTGGAATGCTGCTTGCTGGGCCTGGACGGACAACTGGCCATAGAGTGGGCAAGCCAGAATCTTTGGCACATCCGAGGCCAGGCCAGCGCCATACTCTTCGAGGCGCCGCTGCAATGCTTCGATATCTTCTTGGCCGGTAAGAAAAGCCAGTATATCGCCAGGTAGAGGTTCTTGTTCGTGTATCGTCCTGATCTGATTGAAGAGCCCTTCCCGCAGATCCGGCACTGGCGATGGTGTATGCTTGACTTCGACTGGATATTGCCGTCCCTTGATATGGAGTACCTTGACAGAAGAGCGCTTCTCTGTTGTAGCCTCTGCAGCTGGACTGAAAAATTCTGATATCCGCTCTACATCTGCCGTGGCACTCATGACCACAACCTTGAGTGGCAGACCACCTCGACCGGCCTTGTCGCCAGTGACGATCTGCTTCAAGAAGCCCGAAATCAGATCAACGTCCACGCTTCTCTCGTGAATCTCGTCCACAATGACGGCGCTGTATTGACGCAGATTTGGATCCCGCAGTAGTTCCTGGAGCAGCATACCCTCGGTCAAGAACTTGATCTTGGTGCCCTTGGGCACATTGTGATCGAACCGGACCGAGTAACCCACAGATCCCTCACGCGTCGCGCCCGCCGTTGAGCCCAGGGGCGTGCCCATCTCCTTGGCGACTCGGCTGGCGAGCGTCGTGGCGGCCACCCGACGGGGTTGCGTAATGGCAATGACGCCGCCAACGTTGACGGCGTCCGTCTTGTCCGGGACCTGGACCTTTTTCCTCTGGCACCAGCGCTCGTGGCATAGAAACTGTGGCACCTGCGTACTCTTTCCCGAACCCGTTTCACCCACAATCAGGAGAACGTCATTGTCCCGCACGCTGGACGTGATCTGGTCCTTGTGCGCCCATATCGGCAACTGCTTGCGAGCTTTGAGCAGAGGTGTGTCCGCTTCTGATCTTGCCTTGAAATTCTTCCCGCCTCCAACCCGCGCCTGGGAGTTCTTTGGCTGCCTTTTTGGATTTGCAGCTGATTCAGTTGCGGGCGCAGCGTCCTTTTGCTGTGCTGCAGCCGTGGGCTGCTCCGTTGATTTTGTCTTTTCGGTAGCCTCGACTTTCTTGACCTTTGAAAACCCCAAATCGACAAGTTTACCCCCGATCATAATCAGATCAGGGTTATGGGCCTGTTTGTCGCCCTTGCGGCGTTTTGCAGGACGTTCCATATTTTTTTCGTTGATGTGCCTTTTATTTTCACCAAAGTGGAAGAATCTTCATACAAAGACATGCACGTAAAGCGCAGGTGAAGATCTAGATTTCGTACAGACAGCTGCTGCCGGCTGCCAGCTCAGCCTGCCAGCTCCAATATCTCAAACCTATACCGAAGACGGGTGACTGTAAATGAAGTACTCATACCAAAGTCTCGAGGAAAATCACCAGACGTCATATCCTGTTGATGAAGAAAATTGCCTTTATAAGGGGCATACTCATTGGAACCATGGTCAATTGCTCAGCATCTAAGTGAACAAGTCAATCAATCACGAGCACAGGAAACAGCGTTGCACAAACAGCTAGTGTATTAAACAGATTACTTTTTTCGTTCGTTTAGTGGGCGAAAAAGCATGGTATTTTGTTTTCGAATTTGGAAAGAATATCAAAATTTATTCCGCGGTCTATAATCATCAATCGTGAGCTTTACACCCACCACGCCTGTCACTGGTTGATCCCAGTACCTTAGCATACATTGAAGTAGAAGGTCCTGGCTGGTCTCCCAAGACGTACATACCCTCGAGGGCTCATATCATTGTCTGCGGAATATAGATTCGCACTATCCCCTTCGAGTTATGACTGCTTTTGATTCATATGGGAGTTTCTGCGGGTCATTTCAAGAGTTGCTGAAGAGTCGATTGCCCTGGTATATCGCACTCTATGTCAAGACTGCCAGACGGTGAGATAGCGTCTCGAAACGTCTCGAGTCCGCAATGACTTGGTTACTATTATCATTTCATTCCTGTAAAGCCATTCATGCCTTGAGGTAGCACTTGACCACGCCCCTGCGGACGCCCTCAGTCTCCTCCCGGAGCTGCTCAACCGTCGCGCCAAGCTCTCGAGACTTGAGGATAAAATCATCGAGCGAACCGCCCACACCAAAGTAGAGTCTCTTGGCGGCAGCAAAGACTTCTGCCGTGCTACCGGTCGATTGCGAGTGCCTCATGAGGGCAAAGATGGTCTCGGTAAAAGCCTGCAGAGCAAACGGGGAGTAAATGGTCTCCGCTCCGAGTACAACCATTCTTTGCTTCTGGTTTGCGACATTCGGCAATGCTTGCGCTGCCTTGACGATCTCGACAAACTCGTCCGACCAGCCACCGGAGAGGAACTGCAGGCTGATCTGCTGAGCAGCCAGGAACTCCTCAAAGGCTTGGAGGACCTCGGGTGTGAGCTCCAGCTCCCCCTCGACTGCCTCAAAGGCGGCCATGAGCAAGGGCGAGTCTGCAGCATGCTGCAGTGCCCACGATAGGACAAAGTTGGGCAAAGTTACGAGTTGCAGGACAGTAGAGTTGTAATCGGCCAATATGATGGACAAGGGTCTAGGGCCTGTGGCTCTGCGGGCCGAGATGGCCCACTGGAAGAGAGCCAACGAAGGCAGGGCTGTGCCACATCCAAGCTATATAACATGACAGTCAGGTTAGAAAAGGATATTGTCGTTCCCGTGTCCAATTAGGAGATGGGTTTCTTTCTATTACCTCGATCACGCAGGGAACCTCATCCTGCGACGTCCAGAGCGATTGCGACGACTTTTCCAGAACCTTGACGAGATCGACGCTGCTCTCCCAGGATTTGAAGCCGCCTTCATAGACTCCGGTCTTGACATCATGGCTTCCCAGACCGGGCTCCGCCTCGCCGCCGTCCTCCTCCTCGGCCATGAGCTGCAGGCGCACGTCCCATAGCTCGCGGCGCGGCAGCTTGATTACATCGCCTCCGTCGAGCTGGACGTCCAAGGTGCTAAAGGCGACCTTGGAGGGGAGCGCCGAGAGCATGTGCTTCAGGTCATGGCGGACAGCAGGGAGCAGTGGCTTACCAGCAACTGGAAATGCACTGCTGCTGGTGCTGGGAGCAGCAGCAACAGCGGCCGCCGTTGTCTCGGCTGACTGGCTCGGGATGCTGGCGTCCGCCTGGACCTGGGCCTCGTCTATATCGTCCCCTGAAAAAGAAAAGGCAAAAGACATGGCGACAACGGAAGCTTCGGGGGGTCGGACAGGCCGTCCCTGATAGGTCAAAAAGCGAAGAGTAGTGTATCCTGTTTTTTTATCCTCGCTGGAATTTTTTTTTTGCTTTGCCTACCTTAGTAAGCTCAAAGGCAGCTGGCGGGCGGGCAGTAGGTATTTTGGCGGGTTCAGGGATTAGGTCGGAGGCCGGTGGAGTTTCAGCGAAAATCGGTGGGTTGATTATAGTACCTACATTACCTACCTGTAGTAGTAGGTAAAAATGCACGGCAGCTGTTAGTCTAAGAACATGTAGTACAGTAACACAATGTGGGCGATCCTCGGGTCCGCATAAGAAATGTTTTGCAACGTTGCTGGCGTTCGAGCCTTTCAATGGCTGTAAACCTTGACAGGTAACAAGGCAATTTTCATTATTATTATCATTAGTAGTAGTCACGCATCGGTTGTTGTCCTGTGTCTTGTCTCGGGTGCCTGGTTCATCAGATCAGTCATCCCGTGCGTCTAGAAGGAACCATGAAATCCCTCCGTCGGTCTTCTTCAATCAGTAATCAAAAGTTCAAGATACGTAGATACATGGAGAGTTTAGCTATTTCCTCAACTGCCCTTGACCTTGACCTTGACTTTGACTTGAATGAATGACATGCCGCCACGGTGGGACGAGCGGCCGTCTATGGGAATTTTTAGGATCGGTTTGCTTTGGGTCTTGGGGTTCGCTGAGAAAGGGATCTTGACAATTATGTGGGGTCGCATCGGTCGTGGTTGGACGGAATACGACCACCCAAGCACAGTGGGCCACATGGACCATACATTAATTCTGGGCTGCGGTCCCCAAAAGGCTCGTTTTGGCTCGAGCTGCAACCTGCCATTGGTCCAGACCTCAGACTCAGCCCCTTGTTCCCCATTGGCGGCGCTTTTGCTGAGTCGAGTGCGATTAAGATCTGGCAAAGAGGAGAGAGTGGATGGCGACATGTCGCGATATGGCCCAGCCCATGGGGGCAAAGAGCGGGCGAAGCAGACAAGCATCTGGCCCTGGGTTCAAGCCAAGGCAGGCAGCACGTGCAAGGGAACTGCTGCAATCAAGTATGTACATACCTACATACACACCAATGCGGACGATACGGAGTTCGTAATGCAGGTCATGTAAATGGGGTCGGTCGGTCGGTCGGTCGGTCGGTCTGGTCGGACTGCCTCGTGCGCATGCGCTCGGCATTGATTATCAGTCCCAAGCAAGCATAACCTACATCACCTAGACATAGAATACAGGGTACCTAGGTGTAAGTAGGTAGGTCGACGGACGATCCCATCCCATCCGCCTCTTCTCATTTGACCACTTGACCAGTACAGGATTCCTATCGAATTCTGCATTTTTCCTGGTTGCACGACTTACTCGTCGACTATGCGCAGTCCTATCGAACCTCTGTTGTGGTAGGCTGAGATACGTCGGGGCCTCGAAGCAGCCGCGGAATCCCTCTTCTGGCAAGCGACGCTCCTTGGTTGGACCACATGCGTTTGGCTCATTCACCTTGGCAATTTCCCAGCTGAAACTGCTATTGCTGTTAATCACTTCTGCAGAGCCGCTACTTTTTTACCCATTGTTTCAATTGCCTTTAAACAATTCTATAAAAGTTATCTCTCTCCTCGTGCTTGTTCCGCCCAATATGACAATAAACTCAGCCGCTTCTCCTTTACCCACCCAGACCAATTCCGCCATGACTAAACAACGTCCCGGCCGGCTCTCTACGCCGAGTTTGGCTACCAATGGCAATCAAGTGAACAACTCGAGTACTGCACCACCATACTCGGTCGAGGAAAAGCCCTTGGGAGCTACGAGACATGTCAGAATCATCGGCATTGGTGCGGGCGCGAGCGGCATCAACATGGTCAAGACGCTGCGGGAGAGCCTCACAGACTACGAGTTTATCATTTATGAAAAGAACGACGACGTGGGCGGCACTTGGCACGAGAACCGGTATCCAGGTTGCAGGTGTGACATACCCAGTCACAACTACCAATTCTCATGGCGGCCGAATCTCGAATGGTCCAACTTCCATGCACCTGCCGAGGAGATCAGGCAATACCTCTGTCGCATCTGTGAAGAGGAGAACATGCTGGATTCGATAAAGCTTCGGCACCAAGTCACCGGTGCTTGGTGGAATGAGGCTCGCGGATTGTGGGATGTCAATGTTCAGGACCTGTCTAGTGGAGAAGAATTCCATGACCAGGCGCATTTCATCGTTGACGGATCCGGAATTCTCAAGTACGTCGGTCACAACAGCATCGATGGCTGGGATAAGGATGTACTGACATGGCGTGTAGCAATTGGAAGTGGCCCGACGTCCCAGACCTTCATACCTTCCAGGGCGACTTGATCCATACGGCTCGCTGGCCTGAAGGCTTTGAGTACGCTGGCAAGACTGTTGCAGTCATTGGAAACGGTGCTACCGGTGTACAAGTCGTCCCCTCGATACAGGCTGGTAAGTCTCACCCAGACGTGTAGGACTAGGATGGCAATTGATGCTCTTGCAGATGTCAAGAAGTTGTATCACTTTATTCGCACCCCCACCTGGGTCACGCCCCCGAGGACAATGGCCATCAAAATGCTTGGTAGCCCTGCGCAAGAGATTTTATCTCAGATTGAGTTAGATGACAAGGAAAACTTCAGCGCTGCCCAGATTGAGAAGTTCAAGTCTGATCCGGTATTTTATAAGAAATTTGTCAAGGCCATGGAAAGGGATATCAGTGGAGCTTTTGCGCTTGTAAGTTACAGCAAAATCAAGTTCCTATCAACAGAGTCACTAATCATGTTCAAAACTTTCAAGGTACTGAATGGAAGCCCGATCCAGACCATGGCGAGGCAGAAGGTGACACAATACATGACAGCAATGCTTGGCGGAGATGAGAAGTTGTGCAAGGCTCTCATACCAACATTCCCTCTTGGCACCCGGAGACTTACGCCGGCGCCTGGTTACCTCGAGTCCCTGCGAGCACAGAATGTCGAGGTCATTACGGAAGGGATCGCCAGATTTGTGCCCCAGGGCATACAGCTGCAGTCGGGAGAGATAGTCGAGCTCGATGCCATCATCTGCGCGACGGGCTTTGATTGTTCATTTTGTCCACGTTTCCCAATCTTTGGCAGATATGGCAACGTCCAAGACCGTATGAAGTCGGAAACACCCAAGGCATACATGTCATGTGCCCTGCCCGGTGTACCAAACTACTTCACATTCCTCGGGCCCAACGCCCCGATTGGCCACGGGAGTGTGTTTACACTGAGCGAACATATCGCCCGGTATATTACTGGCATCATTCGAAAGTGTCAAAGGGAGAGCATTCGAACGATTGCGCCATCCGAGGACGCTGTAAATGACTACAGCGAGCACATTGCCGCCTTCATGCCTCGCACTTCATGGGGCACGGCCGGTCGATCATGGTGGAAGGGTGGCAAGGAGGAGGGGCCCGTCACTGCTTTGCATCCTGGAAGCAGGATTCACTTTTTCCACATGCTCGAGCATTTTAGAGGCGAAGACTGGGACTATACATACGACAGCACATCGCGGAACCGATTCAGCTACCTCGGCAACGGATTCTCGGCCAAAGAGCTGGATCCCAGCTATGATTCGACATGGTATCTTGACCTAGAGGCGAGCAAAGCATAGTGGCAGTGACACTTTTATCGCTATATAATCCACAGGGGCGTATGGCGTTTGGTGTTTTTTCTCTTTTCTTGTCATCTGGTCGGCAAAGCGATCCTTTGGGCCCATATGCACTGGCCAACGTACGTACAGCATGCATCTAGATACCTTGCACCGTAGATGTTATGATATCTGATGACGGTTACGCCAGTGTCTCGGTGAGAACGTGTGCGTGTGTGTGGCTGAGTCTCTTGGTTGTGTGACATTGTTAAAGTCTCCAGAGGTCTGAGACGATGCCATGTGACCAATTGTGCGCCATTACTGACACTTGATTATAGCCGCTCGTCGCGCCACCTGTGAGGGCTGCTGAAGGCTATATTCTGAAAGAAACCCAGACCAAGAGCATCATTGCAGCTGAATTTGAGCATCAGGTTTGCATTGGGCGTTTCTTGTACCGGTTTTCAGCTAGCCACAGTCCGCGCGTGTACTAGCAGTGGCAAGCAGAGGCGATGTGCGGTGACCAATGGCCATGCACTCGGGGGCGATAGTGTAGATGGGAATTGGACGAGTCAGATGGCTTGTTCGAAGGCAGTCAAAGTGCAAGCGACAAGAATGAGCATGTTCTTGATTGAGGCTTTCGCAACTTGAAATGGCCCCCACCCGAGAATGTCGGTCTGGCGTCTACCAAGAGCGGTGGGTTAAGAAAACAAGACGTCAGTAATAAAGAATGAATGGACTTGGCAGCTTGGACAATAATGATTCCACTCTCGGCAACTTTCATGTTTTTGGAACGTACCGAAGCAGACTTGCTATGTACTAACAAAACCCCCTGCCAGGCTCGGCTAATAACAATATCCGGGGAAATGCATACAAAAGGTGGATTGTGTTTTTTGTGGTTGTAGCGGTTCCTTCGCTCGAGCCCGAGCCACCCATTACCTTGGCTGGGATCCATTTTCGCAATGTCCGAGCCCGCCGCCCATGCAGGAACAAACGTTAAGGGAGATTGCAAATGGGGTTCTTGGGTCCCCATCTAGGAATCGCATAAAGGCGCAATGGCGCAAAATAGAAATAAAAGGACGCGATGGAGTCTTGCTATCGCGACTATAGATAAATTGCGCATATGTTTGACAACAAACAATGACCATGGATGCACCAACTAACTGACAAGCTATACTCGCATCATCCATGCGACTGATGTCACTGAAAAGACACAGCACCATCATGTGTTTGGTTTGGTTGCTGGGAAGATGTATCTTATCTATCCAGAGAAGTGACAAGTCAACAGTTTGTCATCGTGGCATTTGGGGGCGAGGTTTAGGCGCTGGTTTTGCTTTTCTCACGGCCGAATGACACTACTACTGACTGACTGCGCTTCCCCAGTTTTTAAAAGGTATAGCAGGACAGTGTTAAGGGTTAATTTGGGGGGAAAGACTGAGAAGGCGGCCTAGAACAGGATCAATTTCGCGACGGAAGCTGCTGTCAATTTGCGGATTTGCCGCTGTCGATTCGTCACACAAGGTTTGGACTTTAGGGAAAGAATGTTGCTCTTTGGCGCGTGAGACAGAGATCGTCCAACGGCATGACTGGCGACGTCACACTTCTTTTTTCTCTTTGCGCTCGAGTATCAAGTGATGCCGTCCATAGTAGCAAGTCGCACAAATGCCCTTTTCCTGCCATCAAATGAGACGTGCAGCTTCGAGATGTGCGCTTGGTAGTCGGCGGCATTATTGATTTTTTTTATGATCTGACCCTGATCTGACTTGCATACTTCTGGCGCCCGCTCTCTCAGTAAAACAGTCAGCAGGCAGCAATAGGAATGGGTTTTGTTTTTCGACCCCTTTATCCAGTCTTGTCACACATACTTGAATGGGCTGGGTGCAGGCCTGACCGAGCTCGAAAGAAGGAGCAGAAATGGGCGCACCTCGTCGTCCATCAGTATCTATCTTGCGCTATCTAGTCACGGCTTGGACGGAGCAGCGCCGGAAGCAATTCTGGCGGCAATCTGGCGTTGGCGGGAGGCGACAAACCATCAAAAACATTACTAAGGGATCCAGCAAAAGGGACAGGTCCTGAGTCCTGACAGGAGGCGGGACCCAATCCTAGGGCGATAGTTCTAGTCATTTTGTAGGTCAGCTTTTGGTCAGTAGTGTAGTGTACTGGTTAATTGCAATCCTTAAAGCGATCTGGTTCCTGCGCCAAGCCATTGAACTTGGGGCCGACCTAGTAGGTAGATAGCTTTTATTTAACCTTGTATATGGGGGTGGACTACTGAGACCCCGAGACCACATTATCCCTGGTCAGGTCCAGATTGGCTCCAGGCACCTCGATGCAAGATGGATCCGTACACAGTAGAGAGAGAAGAGAAAAAAAAAAAAGATACCTGGTCCAGCAGATGTTGGGGTTTCCCCCTCTTCTTCTCAGTCTACAAGAAGGATGATGGTGTGTGTTCCTGTCGTCTGGCAGGAGTATGTAGGTCAATTGGGGTCTCCCTCCCTCTTTTTTCTACATATCCACTGCCTGATTGGTAGGTGAGTGAAAAGAATGAAGGGTGAGTGAGGATTTCGCCAAAATGTGATGTGACTGACCATTGACCATTGAAATGCACTAGACCCCCCGGCCCTGGCTAGCTATGTAAGGTAAGGTATGGTAAGTGTAGGTACCTACAATAGGCGGCCTTTCCATGCTTGGCTCCCTGTCTGGGTCCATGTCCAGACTTGTCAGTCAGTGGTCACTTCCGCCCAAAGCAGGCTTAGCCGGGCAAACGACACTTGATAGATAATTCCTCATTTCCTCTTTCCTCCGCGCGCCCATCCGTCTCGCTTCTTTCTTTTTTCTTGATCTCCAGAAGACACTGACACTTGACTGTTTGTTTGCTCATAAACCCCCACTGGTCGTTCACCATCTCTCGTCTTTGACTCCATCCAATTGTCAAGTCGCGTAACTTTTTACAGCCTTTCTAATATACCCCAGTTCTGAACTGGTAAGTAGTCAAATCTTGTTTGTTATTGACTATGCATACTCCTCTCAGTATTCATGTTCCCGTGCCCACGCCGTCACCAGGCTTTTTTACCTGCCCACGTTTTCCCGTGTCTCGTCTCGCTTCGTCTGAAGGGTTCTTCTCCCTTCAGTTTCGGTTGGGCCTCCTTCAGGATGAATCAACCCTGCGTCACAGCATTGTCGCAATTCCTCGACCTGCCTGTCATGCGCCCTAGCTCCTTGACTTGGTGGAATAAGACCTGTTTCTCCCAATACCACGCCGCGCTTCCGTCTCTCACTTGATGAATATCTTGACTTGGAGACTTGATGTAGCTAACATTGTATCAGTTTTTTTTCTCTTCGACTTTCATTCATTCTTAATACAACTCTCAAAATGAAGTCTGTCTCTGCCTCTATCGCTTTCGCCCTCCTCGCTGGAGTGGCTAGCGCTGTCGAGTTCACCAACGTTGCTTTCGATGTTCAGGCTGGCGAGCCTTTTGTCCTGACCTGGCAGGACGGTACTGGTCCTTACCAGATTCTCTTGAAGAATGGCCCATCCACCGACCTCTCGACTGTTTCGACTCTGGTTGCCAGTAAGTTTTCCCGCCGCCCAAGACTGCATGGTCACCATACTTACAGAAATAGGCACCACTGCTGAGCAGGCCACCGTCACTCTGCCAGAGTCGCTGACCTCTGACACCTACGCCTTCGAGATCATTGACACTAGCGACGACTCCAACAACTACAGCGTCCAGTTCGTCTTCTCTGGTGCCGCCGCCTCCAGCTCTGTCACAAGCACCACTGCCAGCAGCACCAAGACTACTAGCACTACTGGCACCACCAGCACTACCAGCACCACCTCGACCACCAGCACCACCGGTACTACCTCGACCACCAGCGGCACCGCCTCTACCACTCTTGCTACTAGTAAGTTCTCGCGAATGCTCACATTGGGTACAAGTCGCTAATCCCGCCTTTAGCCACCTCGACTACTTCATCCAAGACCTCTGCATCTACCACTGCAGCATCCACCACTGTTGCCAGCACCAACGGAGGAAGTGGCCTTGTCGCTCCCCTCTTCCTTGCTGCCGGTGTCGCTCTGGCTGCTCTGTAAGCAAAAGAGTCAAAGTTGGGTGATTGATGCGTTTGTATCTCGACACGTTTCTGTATAAGATACCTTTTGTGGTTCGTTCCCGTATAATGCCCTAATATGGTAATCACGACATTCGAGTTGGAGAGGACCAGCCCTGATTGGGGTCTGGACGGTTTGAGTATATATAAAGAGGACCGACACCGGAGAATAGGCGCCTCAAGGTTATTCGTTCGTGTAGAACTACAAGTACGAAGGCATCAATACTACGCAATGATCTTGTCATGAAAAGAAAAGAAAGATGAATCACACCCCAATGTGAAATGTTGCATGCATTTGTCACCCCAGAGGACGTCGGTTGAGATGGGGTTCGACCCAATGTGACGGCCTCGACGGACGGGTAGGCGCATTAGCTGACTTGTTACAATGTGGGCGTGACGTCTCTGAATGCATGCAGCGGCCCTTGAGACAGTTTGTACGGAGTAAGCTGACCGATTATGCATTCATTGTATGACAAGGTCGGTTGGCTGCAGGAACACTGCATATGGAATGCATTAGGGGCTTCCACCGGGAAAATAAGGTCCGTTCAACATGATGTGGTTGATATATAGGCACTTGTCATATTGACCTGTACTTTTCCTACAAAAGTAAAGAAACGAGAGGCGTTTTGATTCCCGGGCTACAATCTAGAGTGCACATCCACTACTTTATATATACGTTCTGATTTGACTGGTTCAAAATGCACAAAGATGATATAATACCATAGGCTCATGATGTATGATGGAGCAGGTAGCAATTTATTCGTGGGCATTGTAGATCACCCAAGTGGTATGCCAGACACATGATGGAGGTCGCAAGTCTAAATGAATGGATGAAATACATTTATGGACCATCATCTCATCGTTAGTATAAATTAAATATGCTTATAAGTATAACTCGGAGCCTATCCAATAGTCGACTTGTTAATAGAAACATGAGCATAGTGGGAAAACAGCAAAATTGATGGTCTTGGCCGTTGTGTGGTCAATTTCTCTTGATGGCGTCCTCTTGCGTTGCAATTGTCTATAGCATACCTCACGTAGGATCGAAGGGTATATGTATATGAATATATGTCTCTGTTCCCAGTTTCCTCATTCCTTTCCATCTTGCTCTCTTTCTTCCACCTTTCCCTCTCTTATTCTCGTCGAATCCTGCTTTTCCTCAAGAAGAAGAACGGGGACATGTGCAATAACCACAAATCTACCACATGATTCAAGTTGCAGAGCCTTTTTCCGAACTTGCTGTAACAAAGTGCGAGCAGTAACGATTATCACCCTCGATCTCGGCGTGGTTATCCGTGTGCAATATGGGTAGATGCTCACTCGGTACGTTCCCAGGAGAAGAGGATGCCTCAATTTGACCTGCTTTATACTTTCTGAATTAGAGCATGATAGCGCTCCTTTAAAGCCTCATTTAGTATCGCAATGATTTTTGTGTACAGGAAAGTTTCTGAAGCTCATAAATCCCAATTCAATGTTAATAGTGAGTGTTGCTCGATACTTTATATGGAAAGAGTCGAGGGAAAGCATCCCGAGCAAAAGGTCAATTTGCAGCCATGGACCTGACAGATGAGCGGTTCTGGAATGCGGTGTTGCCATTCACTCCGGCTGGGCCAGTCATCAACAACACTTTATTTCTGGCACTACTACACTTTGTTCCTGAGCTGACCTTGATGCGGGACCGTCCGTCACCAAGCTCAATCACCGATATCCTCAAAGATGAACTTGTCACATTCACATGGTGCTCAGCATGTGCTTTCCTTGGTTGAAAAAAAACGTCCCATTGCTTGCGGGCTCGAAATCTATTCCTGATATCATGCGCTTTTTGTGTATTCTTGACAGTGGTGTACAAATTACCGCTGCAAATGCTATGCCGAATGCTTCTCCCCAGAAAAAAAAAAGACAAAACAAATACCTAGTTATTCTTGCGCCAGTCGATGCTTTTGTTGAATGTAAAGTGTAAACGGAACAGATTGTTACAGCTTGGCCTTGACGGCTGGCGTCTTTCCGTCCTCTGATACCACGACAACGACTACACAGATATCGTCAATCTTGCCGCCGTGCCAGTCCTCTTGGGGATAGTACTTTTGTACTTCCTTTGCAAACGGCCCATCGACGCGCTGATTGAGACTGAGGACTTTGGCTGCAAGAGCAATTTCCACAGCTATAGCGGCCTGAATGGTCGTGGGTCTCTGGACCGAGTCTTCAGCTTGCGTAAAAGGAGCAAGGTTGTCTACCACACGGATTCCGCCGTCTGATAACTTCCAGGCACCGCTTTTGGTCATGACACGGCTCGCCAGTTTCAGAATATCTTGATTAAAGACATTGTCCCAGAGACCGTCGCTGGCAAATACCAAGACATCTCCGTGCTTGAGGTTGTGCGTCGTCACATCCGAGTCCTTGGGATAATCGCAAAGCTGTGCGCCTCCAAACGCTGCGGCTCTAGCCAACATGCTGGCGGGCACCACAGAGAGCTGATACGGGGTATTGAAAGCGTGAGTTTGCGGCTCCGAGTAATTGTGCACGGCATTGAGGCGAAGGTGAATGAAGCCCGAGTCTCCCAAATTCGCAACCTCGAGCTTTCCGTCTTCCGAGGCAATGGCTACGCACGCCGTGCTGCCGCCCGCGTGTATGCTCTTGTCGTTGCAGACCTCGTCATATCCCTTTTGCATCAGCCCCTTTGCTGACAGGTTCGGGGCGGCGCCTGGTTTGTGCTCGTATGCTGCCAATGCCATGTAATCGCAAAAGCTGTGGGAGAAATCTGCAGGATCGACGCCGCTCTCTTCCCAGCCGCCGACACCATCTGCTACGCCCAGAGCCACGGCGTTGGTGTCGCCGACCCGTGCGATGAAAAAAGCATCCTGTCCGCTGGCCGGCCGCTTCGATTTGGGACGCTTGATCTGTGGTTGTATGCGATTATATGGGTTGAAATGAAAGACATTGCTCGTAGGATCTAATCTGTTGTTCTTGCCAGCAAAGGATGCAGCAACATTGTAGGTGAATTTGCGCATGGCGGGTTCAGAGTCTTGTGAGTGCAATATTGTTTGCGCCGAGAAGGACCGAGTATGATGTAATAGTGAAGCGTTCGAGGAGGCGCCTCTGTGGATTGGCGATGATGCTAATTGACGGAGAGTATGAACTGGAGAAGCGAGTGAGTGAATTGTAGATTGACCATCGGAGCTCGAGTTGCATGCGCATACGTTGTTGGTTGAGCAAAGCTCTCCTGGAAAGGACCAGGCGTGGTGCTGCCGTGGTGGCCATCGCTTAGATGAGGCAGTCGAAATGGGATAGCTAGGAACCCCAACAACTGCTCATCTACACATAATGCCTCGCTCGCTCGTGATGATATTCTCCTCAATGTGCGTATAATGGGAGATGGTGAGATACTCGTGTACGGTAATCGAAAACGTCGCCGACAGGTGAAAATTAAAAGAATGTTGCCTTGCGTTTGGGATTTAGTGTGGTCGTAAAGTTTCTTTCTCTTGTCGCGAACTCAGACATTCTCAGCCTGTACAATTAGCACTAAGATCTACACTTTCCCGTACCTACGTATGTACTAGAGCTGCCCACTATCTTATCACGACGCGCAAGGAACTCCAGTCGATTTGAAATGAACGACACCAAACAACACCCGGTGCTTTCCGAGGGACCCATAGCCAATGTCTTCATCGAGGTAAGGAAAGCTCCATCCGAATGGTGCCAGCTGAATAGCCAGAGTTCGACAGCTGCCAAAGCTCTTTGCCAATTATCCCGGATCTGTCTCGTGTCTGTCCGAGCCACTTTGGGTTGCTTAGGAAGAGGCGGACCGTGATTGGTCGATGACAGCCGAGGAAAGGAAAGGGAAGGACAGACATTATTGGCACGGGGCCCCAGCACTGTGCGATCGGGTCGGAAGCATGCGAGGTCCATTCAAGTCGATGATGATTTCGACATCCTCAATTCGTTGCCACCACCTACCACTACCGTTAGTTTAGACTGCACCCAAAGCGCGACTTTTCCCATCGAGAAGGACGAACCTTGGCTGGTTTCTTGTCCCCCTCTGATCCGAATCCCGTCGTCTGCGTCTCTCGAGCAGTTGGCATTGATATCGATTGACTCGCTTTTACTTTTGCACCTTTTTGCAAAAACATCTCTTTTGTCTCCAATTCTTCTTCTTCTTCTTCTTCCACAATCAGATCGCCCGCAATGGCAGCTCTCCGCTCTACCTCATCGAGGCTCCTGGCCTCGGCCTCGCGACCGGCCTTTGTCAAGCCTGCCGCCATCTTCTCCCGCTCAATGGCTTCGGTCGGTGATGCCACCGTCCAGGCTACCCCCAAGGGCGCCGACGACTCCCGCATGAAGACCTTCCAGATCTACAGATGGAACCCCGACCAGCCCACCGAGAAGCCGCGGATGCAGTCCTACACCCTCGACCTCAACAAGACCGGACCCATGGTGCTCGACGCCCTCGTGCGCATCAAGAACGAGGTCGACCCGACCCTGACCTTCCGCCGGAGTTGCCGTGAGGGTATCTGCGGCTCCTGCGCCATGAACATCAATGGCACCAACACACTGGCTTGCCTGTGCAGAATACCTACCGACACCAAGGACATGAAGATTTACCCCTTGCCTCACACCTACGTCGTCAAGGATCTCGTGCCCGACTTGACGCACTTTTACAAGCAATACAAGTCCATCAAGCCTTACCTGCAGAGAGATACTCCCGCACCTGATGTATGTCCATGGACTCGACTTATGAATCTTGAGTTAGTAAACTATGACTAACACCTTTTGACTATAGGGCAGGGAATACCGCCAGAGCAAGGCCGACCGCAAGAAGCTTGACGGTCTGTACGAGTGTATCCTGTGCGCCTGCTGCTCAACGTCGTGCCCGTCGTACTGGTGGAACTCGGAGGAGTACCTGGGCCCTGCCATCCTGCTGCAGTCGTACCGCTGGCTCGCCGACTCGCGTGACGAGCGCAAGGGTGAGCGCAAGGCCGCCCTCGACAACTCCATGAGCTTGTACCGATGCCACACCATTCTCAACTGCACACGGACTTGCCCCAAGGGTCTCAACCCCGGTCTCGCCATTGCCGAGATCAAGAAGGAGATGTCTTTCTAAGCAATAAAAGTCAAATGTTTATCCGACTTTGAAGCTGGGGAAAAGAGAGAGAGTGAGAGAGAGGGAGAAAATTGCTGGAGAGAAGTAGGGGCGTGCAGTGGATGATACCAGAAGAGACAGAGATACAGACTATTGTACAAATTTTCTACGACTTACGTGCCGCCGGAGTTTCGTCCAGGGTTGGTTGTACGTTATCACACCGTGTTCCTTTGTTCGAGCATGGTTTGGAGTTTATATTATACAATCAAAGAGCAATAAACACTACAACAGTCGGACAGTTTACAAACAAGTCGTGCCAGTTAAGGTCCGTCGACACGAATGTCATTCAACGAAAGTCATTGATTGCCTCGGCTCATCCAAGTGCGTACATACATTCATAACATTACATCTGACAGTCATCTATTGCCCTTCCCATGCAGCCAAAATTGCAACGCCAAAGGGGGAAAAGTAAACTTTAACGTTCAATCTAGACTAATCAAGTCCTGCTCCTCCTCACTCGCGACAACTTTGCACATCTTATCCGCCTTGGCTCTTGCCATCTTGACGCCCTCCGTGCCGTTTTCGTCTCGCACGGGATTTTCGCCCGCATGGCTGCGCTGTCTCATCAAGAGGGCGTTTCCGTTTCTGTGGGCCGACAGTTTCTTGGAGGAAGTGGAGTACGAGGAGGGACCCTTGATCCTCTTCTTGTCCTTGGTCATTTTGCTGGCGCGCTTTGCCTCTTCCATCATCGTCATCATGTGGCGTTCGAGACTTTGCCGCTGCTGGTGTTGGTGGTGGTGCTGCGGCTCGGTGAGCTCGGCAATCTCCTGCTTCTCTGGCTGCTCGGTCAGCGGCGGCGCTCGGGAGGAAGAGGACGAGGAAGAGTGCGGACCAACGAGCACCAGACCGGCGGGATACCTCAGGGTGCCATTGAGATTCAGGGACTGGTGCACCTCGGCCATGGCCTTTTCGTACCCGTGCTTCTCAGCCTTGTACCACTTCGGCCAGTCAGACAGGCCCACGGCGCTGAGCCCTTCGAGCGTCTTTGGCATCTCGTGGACGTACTTGCACTCGGCGCCGTACTTGCACGTGTTGTGGTGGCACCAGTGCCGACAGTAAGTTGTGCTGCTGCCAGTGCCCGCTGACGACGAGGTGCGCGTGTTGTTATTGTTGTTATTGGTGGGGTGGTGTTGGTGGTTCGTCGTGCTGCCGCCAGTAGTAGAGTAGCCCAGTACATCGTACCTCGAGCTACCACTGGTGCTGACATTGTTGCTGCCATTGCCATTGCCGCCACGATGATGAGAGATTGCCAGAGACCTCGAAGGCTGCGAGGGCGAATATCTGCTGCTAGAAGGCAGACTCTTCTTCAAACGATATGCTTGCTGATCACCGGAGGGTACGGTTCTCTTGCGGGTAAGCGTGCTGTAAGGATTATAGAGCTCGCGGGGCCGGGCTGGAACAGAGGAGGGAATTCGAGGGTTTAGGTCCGCAGTAGGGCTTGGGGGTATTTGCTTTCGTGTGACGAGAGAAGGAGTATTGGTAGTCCGCGGTGCATGGCGGCTTTCCTGAATACCTTCCTTGACTCGCAAGCTAGGGAATGTCTCCTTGTCAGGGCTGCTCGATAGGACAGACTCACATGCCTCGGACGAAGCCGAGCTAGCAGGGTGATCGTAACTGCTGTCATCTTGGCGACTCGAGTCCGACCCCAACATATCATCGTGACCGGTGCCTTGCTTTCCGGTATTCGCATCAAGCTCTCCAGGGGCTGTGCTGATTATATCACTTCCGTGGTGCTGAGGGGTCCTCTGACTGTGCCCACGAGGGTTCGAGTCATTTCCACAGTGGGCAGTTGTGATGATATGGCGCCCGCTCGAGGCTCCGACATGTTGATACTTGATTTTGTCAAGTCTCGATGTCATTCGGGGCTCAGAGGCGCCGTCGTCATCATCGTCATCATCGTCATCATCACCATCGTCGTCATGGTAAATGACACACACGTTATAAGTGTCAAAGTCCTTGGTACTCTCGCCTAGGTTTGTAAGGCCCTTCATGTGCTCGGGGCTGAGCTCGCGAGGTACACCAGTTATTTCCAGCCAGGAAGGTAGCTGGTCAATCGGAATCAGTGGCACCATGGCGCCCTTGGTCGTCACGGTACCCGAAGCAGTGTGTTTGGTGACGTCTGGACGAACCAGAAAGTATCGAGGCAACTGACCAGTCAACGATGAGGACTCTGAGGTCGGCTCCATCATGGCACGGTTACGGTTTTCCTCGTGATCACGGCCTTGCTCAATCTTCGAGGCCATGATTGCTAACAATTGATCAGGCCAAGCAACAAGGCGTCGCTAATGGATGAAGATTGAAAAAGTTTAAGCAGAGGATCTGAGCAGGTCAATTGAAGATGGGTAATCTCGCTCAATGATGCTGCTGCCGTGGAACTATTAAAAGTGGCCCAGTTTCAGCACGATGTTGTCGTTCAAAACAGATTGGTATTGTATCACAGTATGAACTTTGGCAGACGACAGGAAACCGGGGGAATCCACCGAAGGCTTGTAAATCGTTTCCTTGTCGATTGAGGACCAGGCGGAGATGTCAGTTTATGTAGTGGAACTTGTTGTTTGCCAGTAGTAGCTTGCGATCCAAATCAACAGGGTTTGTCATGCAGGTGTTCAGACCAATCCGATCCAGGCACATTGTGATTGCTTTTTTGTGTGTGGACTTTTGTGTGTGATTGATGGTAAAACGGATAGCCCAGGTCTTTGTGCATATGACTGATGGAGCTTCTGTCATTTTTCACCCCTAGGCTTGGCGAGACTCAACTCTCACTTTTGCTTCAAGTCCGTCTACACAAAAGCCAAGCTGACGGGGGCCTTCCTGCAGCTCAACTTCTCGTTTGACCCATCGGCCAGCCTTCCTGCCAGAGTCAGCCTGCGAGGCCCCGTCGCCACGTTCAGCCTCTTGCGGCTCTTCCTCTTCGTCGCTGCTGTCTCCCGTCTCGTCATCGAAACCAGCAACTGGGTCCCATTCCCCAGTTTCCCAGATCAAACGCAGGCTGATCGGCTCCTGGGCAAATAATCTGCCAGCAATCCCCTTGACACGGTAGATGTCAAAGCTTTTGGGGATCTGGATTATTCTCTCAGCGTTGTCCTTTCCATCATGGGGGTGGAAGATGAATTGAACTGTGATAAGACGAGCTTCTAGGAACGAGGGATTGATCTCCTTTTGCCTGTTGACAACGGGTGGGCCATACAATTCAACCAGCTGAGTATAGCGCTTGTGGTTCAATAAAACCTGGGGCTCTTCGTTCTCAGGGACTGCAGCGAGGTGTTTCCCTATACGTGCTAGGTAAAACATTTCTGCATCTTGCCGGTCATTTGCAGAAATATTGCCAAAGTTTAGAGCTTTGAGATTTGCTAACCGACCCACAGTTATCATGTAGGCTTCCTCGGTGACTGTCTTGGACTGTGTGGAGTGGTCGGGATCTGGATTATCATAGATTGGATTGTGCGTAAATCGCAAATGGGTGAGCCCCGGGAAACAGGAGGGAAGATTGTCGACAAAGGACCACGAAGAAACTTTGTTGTAGGATATATCCAGGTATTGCAAACTCGATGAAAAGACAGGCTGCTCTGCAGATGATTCAGAGGTGATGGCTGCGATATTGTTGCCCTTTAGATGAAGGTTCCGCAGCGCCTGCAACTTGCCGAGACATGCCACGTCTGCAAGCGAGGTAAAGTCGTTGAACTCAAGACTCAGCGAAAGCAATGTTGAAGATAGGGTCCCCACTGGGACTTGTGGTAAGAGAGAGAGTTGATTGACGTCAGCAGAGAGCGTAGCCAGAGATTGGAACTTGGAAGAGGCATGACATATCTCTTCCCAGGTCAGCAGCGTCTCCTCAAGAGCCAACTCCTTGACATCCTTGAATATCGTTTGCGCATGGGCGAGCTTTTCGTCTTCTAGTATATCAACAAAACGGTTGCCACTTATTTGTTGTCAGCTTTCCCGCTCATGATGTAGATAAATCAATAACAAGAAAGTAAAAGCAATTGTTAACGTACTTTAGGCGGAGATTCCTCAGAATTGGCAGCTCTGAACATATGTTTACCACTGTCTCGAACTTGGTGAAAAGGTTTCGGCTGAGGTCAAGCTCGACCGTCTTGGGGCAGGTCGCGACAATGCGCTGGTCTCCCTCGGCATATGGATACGCAATGCGAGTGCCGTCGAGGATGACAAACTTGAGCTCTGCCAGGTTGGCCTGTTGGCGCTGAATCTTCTGAAAGCCGACCTCCTCGGCGATCTTTCCGGAGAACCTAATCTGTGCACTTGCTGCCGACACTTCTCCAGTATATTTGTCCTGGAGCGCGGCGACAAAGCTCTGCGGTCGGTCTGCAGATCTCGTTGGACGCACAAAGGATGCCGCGGTGGGCGATTTGGATTTGCCTGGCACCTGTCAGACTTGAAATATACTACAATGAGCGATAGACTCACAGGAAAAGTATCGAGTCCCTTTATGGGAGCCATCGTGTTTGCCGCGTGTTGCGTCGTCCCATTCTACACCGATCCAGGAGCCCGAGGTGCCGGCCACTTCACCGAGATATCGGACTGTACAGATGGCGCCGTCATAAGACAGCCGATCGCCCACTTTGACAGCCGAAGTCATTTGAAAAAAATGGTGGCAATTTCAATATATTCAGTCACCTCTCGTATAGAACCATTAGCTGAAGTATACAACTTGTTTTTTGTTGAAAGGGTCGGCATGTGGTTGAAATGGTTTTGTGGATCTCACCTCGGAGCCTAGGCACCAAAATTCTGGATCATTTGGTTGTCACTGCACTGCAGCAGCTTAGCTACAGGCAGGTAAGTATTTGCCTACAGGACCGATGCGCTTTCCGCATGACATTGCGCAACATAACAAAGCACCAACACAATATCTCACTTGAGAAATGGAGAAAGTCTTGTTCCTTTTCTTTTTTTTCTGAGAGAAAAATGATTGTGTTTCTTTTTTTACATTCAACATCGAGATGGCTTGCTAACTAAACAGGTTCCACAAATTTACAGCTTGGTCTTGGTCGCACCAACAACCTTCATGAGAGCCCGGCCGTTGCTCAGACACACCTTTCCGCCCTCGATGCTGGTCACGAATCTGATCTCCTCCCATCCGTCCTTGATCTCGCCCGTCTTCCACACTTGAGTCACCAGCTTGTCGCCGGGCTTGACTGGGCTGGCAAAGCGGGCCTGGAACTCCTTGATGTTCTTGGGGTCGCTGGCACCCAGACTCTTGAGCAGACCGTGTGCAGTGGAGTTGAAGGAGTAGAGACCGTGGATGATGGCACCTCCAAAGCCCATCTTCTTGCCGGGCTCTGGGTGAGCGTGCAGCGGGTTGTAGTCACCATTTAGTCGGTACAGCAGCGCAGTCTCCTGCGTCGTCTGGTCCTCAAAAGTGACGTCGGGGGTCTTGCCCTTTGGTGGAGGGAAGTTCTCCGTGGCGGGGCCCTTGGGACCACCCCAGTTGCCCTGCGCGACAAAGAAGGCGCTGCCAATGGCACGCGAGTAGACCTCACCGGTACTGACCTCGACCAGGTCGGTCTGCGTCTCGACAACGGAGCCAGGGCGGCCCTTGTCGTAGACGCCAATCACCTTGTTGCGGATCTCAAACTTCTTGCCCTCTGACGAGGTGGGCAGAGGCTTGAGAAACTGGATCAGCCGCTGGCCGTCCACCACTCTGCGCGAGTCAAAGTCCGGAACACCGGGAATCTTGACAGCCTTCTGGGCAGCGTAGAAATCAACAACCTCCTGGGTGTTGGTCTTGAAGGCTACAAATCGGTCAGGTTTGGGCGTTGCTTATGATAACACACAAGTGGAGCAACGACTTACGTAGGATGATGGGGTAGGTAGGGAAGACGGCAAAGTCGGGGTCCAGCTCCTGGAAACATGTTAGCGAATATTCGGTCACGTAGAGCAAGACCAGTCACTCGGACGTACGTAGAGGAAGTGAAGCTCCTCGTGCGTGCAACCAATGCTGTTGGCGAAGAGGAGAGCATCACGCTTCAGCCAGGTCGCCTCCTTGGCAGGATACTCAAAACCGACACCTGGGCCACTCATATTGGACTGTTTGATTTCAGATGGAGAATATTGATTGAGTAGAGGAAGAAAAATGTCAGTTATGATATATGTATTCAGAGTAGGAAAAACTATATGCCTTGATGATTTATACTGGAATAGATTATGAGACGGCGTGGGTGAGATCCGTGGAGCGTAGCCGCCTTTTCTAATGATCCCCTCTGCCGAGGTTCGAGTGTGGAGAAACCTTTCTGGAGAAACGTTTCTGGCGCCATCTGGTCAATGGGATGGGCCCTTGAACCTGACCTACCCCAGGTTGAATGGATGCAATGACAAGGGTAAGCTCCTGGGTTACACACATAGTACACCTCTTGTCTTATACACTCTATTGTTTGGTGTACTCTGTCAGGAAAATGGAACGCTTGATTCAAAGCAGCTGACAATTATCGAGTAATCCGGTTGATAGTCCTGATTACTGAATTGTGAGGTGTAATAATAGTCAATCGTAGGAGAGAAAGTTTGCATTCCATGCACCTACCTACTTAACATACCCACCTGTGAACGCAGTACATTACGTGCTACAGGTACCTTGTTCCCCACAGAGACCCTAAGTCTGTGTGTGTTTGTTGACGGATATCGACCTAATGTAATAGTATCCAATTGAGCTCAAATTGAGACGAGAATTCGATGCGGTAACAAGAGCAACATATTTCAGTACAAGGCCTTTCTTGGATTATTTTAGGGTTGCTATGAAACACGACTTTGATAGGACCAATCACTCGTATCGTCGCGTCCCTTTCTGTTGACCTGCTTGACACTCGTCGCCCCCGCAACTGCATCAAACGCCATAGATTTGTCTGCAACCATATCAAATATTTTTTTTCACTCGACTTGCTCGAAACCCGTCACCCTGCAAAAATAAAGCACTCACATTTTTACCTTGACGGTTGATCCATCAAATCATTCAATCCCACTCAATCAACTACGTCAAGGCGTTGCTGAACTTCTCACTACACAGCTTCGGCTTCGCTAAAGATGGCCAAGAAGAAACGATCGCGCGAGTCGCGCAAACAGGAGTCTAAGAGTGACGGCGATGCGTCCAAGTCGACATAGTATGTCGAGCTTAAGAGCATCAACAGCGCAGACCATCCCAGTATCAAGCAAGAGCCGACACCAAATGGCAAGTCTGAAGAGGGAGAGAATTCCAAGGTTGCCAAGAATGCCCCAGCCAAACCCAAGAAGGGCAAGAAGAAGTCTCATGAAAAGCTACCCGCGCTACTTCAGGAAGTCGACAATCGATGCCACAACATGATTGTATACAGAAATCATCTCGACGAGAAAGTGGCTCGTCTCGCTGAGTGCGAGGATTCTGACGGGCTTCAAGAGTACGAAAAGGCTTTACTCAACTCAAAGACGCTCGAACATAACGAGCAAGAGTTTCTCCGTGAACTGAGAGAGGAGCATGATCGCTTGAGTCAGGGGGATAATGCTCAGCCTGCCGTGGTCCGCTTCTATCACCAGCTGATAGCCAAATTCAAGACGCATCTTGAGAACAACCGCCACCCCATCACTCAGCCTGACCAAGGAACAACGTCGACTGGCCCCTCAACGCAACCAGGCAAATCCAAAAAAGCCAGAAAGAAAGCTAGAAGAAGGGAACTGGGAATTGCTTTGCAACTACGAGAAAAGAGGCGCGCCGAGAGGAAGCCCTATGATACGAGAGCTTCAAGGCGTCGACTGGCTGCTTCGAGCGCAGAGTCCGACCATGACGCTGCTGCCACGGAAACGACCAAACAGTGCCAAAGCCCCACGCCACAAACATCTCAGACACAGTCTCCAGCAGAAGAAGAAGAAGAGGCCGATTCCGGATCCGAGCCCAAGTCCAACTCTGGCGAGCGTGATCTGTTAAAGAATCTGATTGAGCAACTCGGGAAGGAACAACAGCTTAGCCATGAGCTTCGTTCCTCCGCAGTAACTGCCGACATGGACAGCGCACCGAAACAAGAGGATCCATGGTATATCGGCAAAAACGCCTTCAAGCTTATGCGCCGGCGCAGCGAGTTGGACAGGGACCTGGTACAGGAAGCAGCGAGGCAGCATGTGACTGGTGAGCTTTGGAAGCCACGACAGGAGCTCCTCGACAGACAAGCTGCCATTCAAAAACGGGAGGGAAGATTTCTGAAATCGGCAACAGAAGAACACCAAAAGGCAGCACTTCGGCTTGCTAGTAAACCCAGTGTCCAGACCATTGGAAATGAGTTTCGAATTCGCAGAGTGCTAGAAACTTTCCGAGCTCACCTTGGACTGCGTTACCAGCCTGACCCAATCGAAACCACTCGCACGCAGAAGATTGACCCTTACGAATTTGTTTCATCACCGGCTCAGCCTGTCCGAAAGAATAGCCGAAAGAGGAAAGCCATGGAAGCGTCTGGCAGCCCCAGCAAGAAACCCAAGGTTACTAACACTTGCAATAATCATGCGCAAGACGTCGAATCAATAGATGAGGCAGATCAGGAGCCTCATGTATCCCCAGCTGCCGATAGCCAGGAACGAACCTGCTCATTGCGCGACCATATCGAGGCGGGCGAGTTGGAAGAGCGACGTCAGCAGCTTCTCCAGATTGTGGAGCCTTTCCTAGATGATTCTTACATCGTATATGACGCATCACCGCCCACAGGAAGAGCCGCCAGACGAGGAAGAAGGGTGACTGAAGAGGAGGCAAATCTGCCGCGACTTATGAGTGGAGCACTATGTCCCCAAGCAGTTCTCAAGGCCGGCGGTCCCCTAGCTTTACCTACCTCCTCGAAGAAGCAACGAGATCGGGCACGTGCAAAGAGTCCAGCACAGGATGAGAGTGATGCTCATCATTCCGAGGACGAGCCTATATCTTCTCCTGTGGCAATGGACAAATCGGGATCTGTTCGAAGAAGCAAACGTCTTGCCGAAAGTCACGGAACCAAAACGAAAGGGATCAACGCAAAGACACGTTCTTCAAGCCGACCTCGTTCCACGCGTCGAGCCCAAACAAGCCCTCCCGAGTCAGCTCCCGAAGAGTCTCCAACCCAGAACACACTGAAGGCTAGGCGATTAAGCACCACGACAAGAACGCCCTCGTTGCCCCCACCACGATGGAGGGCTGGCTCTGTCGGCCGTGACGAGGCAACACGCATCATTGGTCCCAAGCCGCCGAAAATGGAGGACATTGTCTTCAGAAGCCCAGGAAGTTTGTTCAAGAGTGAAGCACAGCATGTCGTGCGAGAGAGTGGTGACCCCTTTACAGACCTCGTCTCACGAAAGAAGGATCAGAAGCGAGGAGCGCGAGCCTCGTCGGAATGGTTGGGCATAAGTACCACACCCATCCCTCTACCTGTGCTCCCATACAAATTTTCAAGCCCAGCCGTGAAAAGGAAGTTCATGTCAAAGCCAATTTCGACTCGAGAGCAGCTAGGATCCTCCCCAGCCCGTTTCCTACGAGCTGGCACCGAGCCGCCCAGATCAGACGGACCTCAGCACAGAGCAGGTTTAATGGGCACCAAGCACACGGGCTTCGATACTCCATCCACGAGGTCCTCTTTATCATCCACGCCCTCCTCTCGAAGTCTACTTCAGCCTCTTCCCGGAAATTTGCGAGATGATCGCACAGCTCTGGAGGAAGAGAAACGGCGCTGGAGGAGCATGCTTGACCTATGAATGGATTAATGAGCTCGACTTTTCCTAGATTGCGTTGTTCGGCTATGGCGATGCCGTATTTGAGCATAATCAATCTTTCTCGGCACTTGTAGCAAATAGTCGTTAGATGCCATGTTATTTGAGCACTGCAACTGAATTGCTACCTGTCAAGCATTTCATGTTTTTATTTGCTTGGCAAGAGAGGGGAGAGATTCGGAAAGATTCAACGGATTCTTCTGGAGATTTAGTCTGCTTTCATGGGTATCCGGATCGTATCCGAGTTGCGCCTCATTATACCAAGGCTAATTGACATATTTGCTGAGACATGCCTTGTTTGCCGATAACGTCACAGCAAGGGGAGAGGCCTAGGTAGTGTACATACCCCATGCCAGGTAGTTGAGATTGCACTTTGCCCAAAAACTACCGAATGGAGTGAATTGCCTGTAATTGTAATGCCCCAAGCCTTATTCGCGTGCCTATCACTGACTATATTGTACGGATCCTGACTAAAAACCATAACCTGGGGTAATTATTATAAACTTGTACGTTGGAAAACGACCCGATCGCGGAGTATTTGAATCGTGCCAAGTGATGTCTGGCCCAGATCAGGTCCAGATCGCCGAGTCTATCCGCTTTAACGCAAACTTGGACTCGATCCAGTCTCAATAACCCCCGAGAACGACCCGTTGCGACAGTGGACCAGTAATAGCGTCGTTAATTGCTTGGTATCACCACTATCGATTCTCCTACCTAGCCAAGTCCGCGGGGTAAAACACGCCGAAAGGTGTGGAAACTTGGGCGGGTCCGAGATGTGGTTCCCTTGAGATAAAGTCCCAATTCGATTGCCAATGAGATCATTCTTGATTCTCATCAATTGTGTTTTGTGTTTTTTGTTGTCTCTTGTCTACAATTACAATAATTTTTGCGAATAGTGTAGTGGTGTTGTGTGTGCAAGATGGCGGCAGACAAGCTAATTAGTGCCGAGGAAGGTATGTCTCTCAATTATCCTTTAGAAGTATAATTTGCCCTCAGTCGCGAAGCAACCAAACAGACAAATGTCATGACAATCATACGAAAGGTCCCAGATTGGCTAACCTTTGAATTCTTCAGTGCTCAAGCACAACACCCGCGACAGTTGCTGGGTCGTGCTATACGACCATGTCTACGACGTGACGGATTTCCTGTCCGAGCACCCGGGCGGCGCAAAGGTGATCCTTCAGCTCGCCGGTCGCGATGCCACCGAAGAGTACGACCCTATCCACCCGCCGGGCATCCTCGAGGAGAACCTCAAGCCCGAGGCCAAGCTCGGCAAGATCGATCCCCAGACCATTGTCAGCACCACGCCGACGACCACGTCAGAGAGCAGCAGCGCAAAGTTGGAACAAGAGGCGGACCCGCCGCTCGAGAGCCTCTTGAATCTCGACGAGCTCGAGACGCTGGCTACCAAGAAGATGCCCCACAAGGCCTGGGCATACTACTATTCGTCAAGCGACGATACGTTTTCAAAGAGCTACAACAACCAAGTCTATAGAAATATCCTACTCCGGCCACGAGTATTCCTCGATTGCGTCAAGTGCGACTCGTCTACTACTTTATTAGGGCACAATGTGGGACTGCCGCTGTTTGTGGCACCGGCGGCCATGGCGAGACTGGGCCATCCCGATGGCGAGGCCGGCATTGCCCGGGCGGCGGGCAAGTTTGGTGCCCTGCAGATCATCTCGAATAATGCGTCCATGACGCCGGAACAGATTGTGGCGGACGCGGCGCCGGGGCAAATGTTTGGCTGGCAATTATACGTGCAAAACGACAGGAAAAAGAGCGAGGCCATGCTGGCGCGCATCAACAAGATGTCGGACAGGTTCAAGTGCATTATCCTGACCTTGGACGCGCCGGTCCCGGGCAAGAGAGAGTTGGACGAGAAGCAGAGTTTCGTCAACGCGGCCCCCGTGGCCGCTGCCGCAAAAACATCCGACGAGCCGAGCCGGCCGGGCGGAGGCGGCGTCGGCCAACAGCTGTTCTTTGGTACGGCGGCGGACTTGACGTGGAAGGTGACCCTGCCTTGGTTGGCCCAGCACACGAACCTGCCGATTGTACTCAAGGGGTTGCAGACACACGAGGACGCCTATATCGCGACCAAGTATGCGCCACAGGTTCAGGCCATCATCTTGTCGAACCACGGAGGACGTGCTCTAGACACGGCACCTCCTGCAATCCACACGCTCCTCGAGATCCGCAAGTACTGTCCCGACGTCCTCAAGAAGATTGAGGTTTGGGTCGATGGCGGCATCAAGCGTGGAACCGATATTGTCAAGGCATTATGCCTTGGTGCCAAGGGCGTAGGTATTGGCAGAGCGGCTCTGTTTGGCTTGGGTGCCGGTGGTCAGGCAGGAGTCGAGCGGACGTTTGAAAGTAAGTCGAAGGCGTCAGTGCAAAGTGATTGTGTCAGTGGCTAATTCCCGTGGTGCAGTTCTCAAAGGGGAGATGGAAACGTGCATGAGGCTCCTGGGTGCCCCAGATGTCAAATCGCTTGGTCCACAACATGTGAGTTTATTCCCATCATCATCAACATTGACAAAAAAGTCATGGTCTGACAGACGATATCTCTCCAGATCAACACACGCATGGTTGAGCGTGATATTTACGACGGTGACTCCAATTTGGAGAATGGCCTATGGGCCCCAAAGGCAAAGCTGTAGATGCACCAAGTGCATCTAGACCAGAAGAGTCACTGACTCTCCTGACGATACCTACCTAGAACGCTTTTGTATAGATGGTTGCATAGCGCAAGGACTGTTTCTACACGTTCAATGGATACTGTTGAATAATTTGTGGTTTCGTGTTCTTGTTCGTGTTCCAAACGGTGTAAGATTAGCCAAAGAGTGATTGCTGCACTTGAGAGGAAGCACGCACGTGCTCTGCAATGGGCGTATCTGCTTGTCTGCCTCTCGAGGGATGGCTACCAGTTGTAACCAATAGCTGGCCGATGCATCCCACCAAGATCGCCTATCGATCCGGATACTACATGCTCCTCACCCATGACAGGTCAAGTGAATGGCAGGTTCTGGTCCCTGGCGTCATGACTACATGTCAGAATCTCCGAGATGCAAGAAGTAAGCAAGACCCAAACGGATCCGAGAGGGCTGTCAATATCTCCCAGACTCTGGCCTCAAGTCGTGCATGGTGTTGATGGTGTGCCAAAAGGAACCGAGGCAAACGTAGATCTGTAATGTTTCAACAAATTTCCACAGCGTGTTGCGAGGCGCACATGCTTTCGCTTGAAGATGATTTGCCGCTGGCTCGCGTATGCCAGCCACTGTTATCCCTGTCCCCGGAGGAAGCGGACGGTCGGAACAATTAAGCTGACCCAAGTTGGCCATATAATTGACCAGGTAAGCATGAACATGATAATCATGAAAAGAGAGCCAAGTGCAAAGCACATGTCCACATTTTTTTTTTGGCTGGGCTACATAACGATGGGGTTTGCGACTTGTTGGTCGAGCGCTCCCGACAAGTTTTTGGTGGAGGGTGCCAAAAAAGGAAATAACTTGAAAAGGCCGAAACAACAAAAATCGCAATTGCTCAGTCATGTTTCTTGGTGTCTTCTGGTGCCATTGCCAATCGCAACAGTAGTCGGCCAAAGGGTTTAATTCTTTTTCTTTGTATGTTCACATGCCGACGATGATCGATCCACTCGGTAAGTGAGAAAATGGTCAGGTCAGGGACCAGGTACTTAAAACAAAAGAAAGTTATGGGGAAGGGAAGGGGCGGAAAATATGGGGGGAATAGGGCAAGGGACACTTGGCGTGTGGGGAGAGACCAAGAGGAAATCTGGGGTAAAATCAAGTCAAGACAAGAGAAAATGTTCAAGCTTTTCTCTGGGCTATTGATTTAATTATATTGACCTCTACAACCACATGTACACGCGCAAAAGAACATCTTCATGACGTTGAACTGGTCAAATATATTATTCATTCATCCAAATATATTTCCGTGATATCCTTTGTGTTATATTAGAAAAACTAAACCTAAAAGCCAGCCGTCTTCATGGCGGTCGGGCTGGTAGTCATCTCTTGTTTTTGACGCCTCTGTGCGATCGACGCGCTCATTTGATCATAGCCGCCACCTAGCAGCCGAGCTAGACGAAAAGAACTATTGAAGCTCTCTCTACCTTGGACAGGTTTGGCAGGTTGCACTGATTCCATTACTAACGTGAACCCCCTTCTCAGCTCCCGCCTCTACATACACACTCACAAAAAAAGTCTCTCGTCCCTTTGCGACGACCGCCGCCTGGCATGTGCTGCTCCATCTTGCCTCGGGAGGAGCCATTTGGAGACTTCGATTGGCCCCTTGACCCCGGAGGCTCATATAACGCCCCCCCTTGAACAGACGATCCGGTTCTGCGGGGGATGATCTCGGCTCGTCCCAAATGGGAATTACATCCGAGCCCTTTTACTCGTCTCTCCATGAAAGTTTACGAACATCGAATCTCGACTATGCACCTGGCATCTGGATCGGGGCAAGGACTGGGAGGTAGGCCAACTGGGCCAAGAGGTAACCTCGCGCCCCGGGCACAACAAGCAGCAAGAGTCGAGTTGCTCATTCATCATCTGATCTGCTTTTTCTTACCTAGTAGGTGGGTGTGGGTGTGTATCACAATCGTATCACGATTATTCGTCGCGAACCTGCTCCTGTCTTTACTTTTCTGTCCAGTCACGGGCTCATTCGTAGTTGCCAGTCTCTAGCTTTCTTTGGCCGTTTGGTGTGAGAGATCAGGATTCTCCTCAGGGAAACTGCCGTGAACCTCTACGCATCTTTATCCTACCAGTCGCTCGTTTTCTGGTCTTGTTCGTTTCTAGTTCTTCTTTGCTTTTCTTCTCTCCCTCCTCGTTTCTCGTAGCCCTCGCTCAGTATTTGGCTCGCTCGGCTTGCCTTGTGCTGGCTAGGTCAACGACCAAAAGCCCTCGGACGTCAACGCTAAAACTCCTTCAACTTGGCACGGATCTTGAGCAACCACGCTTTATACATGATATACTGAGCTGCCAAAGTGGACAAGATGTCGGACTACAAGAACGGTACAGCGGGCGGCTCCAAGGCCAAGCGTGGCCATTGCAAGAGGTTTTGGTGGGTGTACCTGTTGGTCTTGATTGTCATTATTGTTATTGTTGTTCCTTGCATGTAAGTGGCTTCCGTGACTGCCATGATGGCTATAACCGGTCACTGATTGTTTTTTTCTTTTTTGGCAGAATCCTCATTGCGGTGCCAAAGATGGCTCAATCCAAGGTCAACGATGCCAAATTGACCATCGATGGTGTTGCTGTCACTCAGACGGAGGCGGGCTCCTTTAATTTGGCCATCAACTCTACGATAACCACCGACGGCAGCGCACATGCCACGATAGCTGGCTTCAACGGAACCATGTGGCTGTTGGACACTGACGGTCCGGTTGCCTTTACCTCTATCGAGTTTCCCGAGACGTCTTCCGATGCCGTGGTTCCTGTGAATATTAGCCAGATCGTGACCATCGACCACCTCGACGAGCTCACCACGTTCAACCAGAGACTACTGACCAATGAAACGGTCAATGTCCGAGTGAATGGCAGCACCACGGTCCGCGTGTCTGGAATTGCGCGTGATTATCCCATCACATTCTCCAAGGACATTGCTTTCGCCGGGTTCAAGTCGTTTGCCGGCATCAATGTCACCAACCCGAAAGTGGGATTGACTCAGACAAAGAACTTTAATGCAACGGCAATCATTCCCAACCCCACATTGTGGAGCGTCGACGTGGTAAGTCTATACATACTTTTCAGCCTCTGTATACTCTGACAGCAGCTAACAATGATGGTAACCAGGGCAACACTTCCTTTAGCACCTACTTCAACAACACCAAGATTGGTGTCACCAACATCACCAACATGGTTCTCCAGCCCGGCGACAATGAGTTTCCCATTGAAGGAGACATTTCTCAGCTGGTGATTGTCAATGCGCTTATACAACAACCATACTGCAGCAACGGGGGTGTTCTCCCCTTTGCCATTACTGGTGATTCGGTGGTGAACAACAACGAGTCCATTCCGTGGCTTGCAAACGCCCTATCTGCTTTCAATGTCAGCCTCAATATAGAGATTGGCGCTGCCGTCAAGAGTGCTGGCATCCCACTCTCTTGTGCTGATGCCACAAACTCGACAAAGCTGAGGGTCTAGTCTGGTTAGACATGTAGTTTATGAGCACAATTTGTACAACAGCAATCGAGGGTGGAATCACCACGTCGGAATACTTGCGCCACCACATGACATTTGTGAAATATCAGATGGAAGAGGATGACGTAACGAGGGATCAAAATGTTGTGAGGGAAGAAGCATGACTGTGGACAAACAAAGTGAGGTAGCATGAGCCAGCATTTGGAACCACGGTCTCTGATTTGCGCCATGAGATTCATCGAGTAATGAGACTGATTTTCCACGCCACCTTATTCCACGCTGTCTGCTGTGCTGACAAGGACGATTTGAACGTGATCAATCCTAACAACTGCTTTGAAGCCTCCTCTACACTCATGGCTAGCACGCATCAGATTTCAGCGACGTGTCAACATGTGGCCTGCTTCTCTACCACCATGGTCATGTGCGTACATGATGTCAATCCACACTGTTGATGGGCAAGTCTCCATTCATGTCCAGCTCCCCCAACAAACTCCTCCCAGAGCACATCTGTGACGTGACGAGCAAGGACAGTCCATGGATGCCGGAAAAGGGCACTAGACGGTCCTAACCACTCCCTGTAACGAGGCAGCCACTATGGATGCTTTACCACACTTTCAAGGCGCATCCTCGGCCCACGAATTCTGCACCACGAGAAGGAAAAAACGTCTCCGGTGGGAATTGGTCTCGTGACACTTTCAACCTCCTCGTTGAACTTACTCTTTAGATCTTCCGGTAGTAAGGCCGTTGAGAGTTTTCCCGGGATTGGAGAGAACTGCAGTTTATGTAAAAATTCGGAGAGGATCTGGCATCTTGACGAGAGTTAGTGGAATCCATTCCGACCTCGTCACGCCATCGTCATTGCACAGACGCATGGCCCGGCAAAAGAGTCTTTTTAATGGAGCAAAACATTGGAGAGTACCGAGTTTTCATGCACCGTTGTTGTGTGGTAATTCACATTTTCGGTGAGAGTTCAGTTCGGTCAGGATGGTTTACATGGGATGGCGTCCGGGCATCATGGCTTCACTTTTTGTCTAGTGGCGCCGTTAACCTGCATGGCCGGCCCGGAATGAATGCCAAGCCGGGGGGAGGCAAGAAAGAAAGACGCCAACATGGCCCTCCATGGCCTCCATGTTGTAGGAAGTCCGAAAACAACACTGAGAGTTTGCCGATGCATCGAGAATTCGATCCATGGACATCCCTCGTGACCAAAAACTGAGCTAATTGATGAATTTGTTACATCAGCAAATACACACCTAATCCACGAGACTTTGTCATCAACGCGAGATAAACTTCTATACGGAAAACTTTCATGGAATTACACTTTGTTTTGTAATGAATGGCGTTATTTCAAGCTTTTATATGGACTCAAGGTAACTCCAAATCCGGTAATGCTCCATAGACTTTGCGAAATTCGAGTCAACTGGGGCTACTCGTCAACTCTATAAGAAAATAATAAAGACCGACGATATACATGGTGACTTGTCATGTCTTCTGTAGTCCTTTCGCTCCTTTTCTTGCGCATCTTTATGCCCTAAAGGACCGAGTTTCCTTGCTCCATTCCCTACCCCGAGTCTCCTTCTCGGTGAGCAAGAAAAACATACAAGGATTTTGAACAGACAAAAACCTTGGTGTTCAACGCTACGGCACCTACAAGGCCCGGATGGTGCAGGGCGTTGACAACAAATATCCATAATATCGGCCTTGTCTTTCCCCAACCTCTCTCGATCTTGAGCATACATCACATCAGAGAGAGAGAAAATCGAACCATTGATCAGCGCCGGGGATCCACGATATCGAGAAAAAGAAAATTCGGTCTTGACATTTGGTCTAATGTGGCTTTCGGTGTCAACTCTGGCATGCTCGTCACGGGCTCACAAGCAGAGTTGGACCCTTGTTCTTTCAACCAAGTGTTGTAATGGCTATTGTTTGCCAGAACATGTTCGTATTCCCCATTTGTAGATACACACCCTACACATGGAGTTCTACAGAGAGTTACACATTTTGATTTTAGGACAGCGGCTGGACCGATGGGAATGATTTCTTTAGACTTTGGGGATACAGTCGCCCATAAAAGAAAAAAGGAGGGGGAAAAAGAAAGAGAGAGAAAAGAAATACAGTTGATTTTCTTTTCCTTCTTGATTAGTGATACGAGTTCCTGTACCACGGCCCGCGTCTCTTGTCAAGCCCGTCTGTCGGTGGGCTTTTCGGCGCTACACATATATATACTCATGGGACAATAGACAGAAGCAAGCCCTCTTTTCTTTGGGTAGATTGGCCTGGTGGCTGGCCGCCATGTATGATCAGGGGGCTTGATGCCAAGTGCATACCTTTTCCCATGTGTAACTTGAACTCGTTGTTCTTGTCTAGATTCAGCAGGCACGCGGGCTAGTCTATAAGATACACATTGGAAAAAAAAAAACCCCCTCCCCTTTTCGGTCAGTGGCTGCGAATGGCAGGGCAAGTGTATAACCAAGCTACCGAGCAGTGTTCTCCATCAAGCTTGTGCATCATAGATGGATGGGTGTCAAGATAGAGGGGCGAACTTGTCGAAATAAATCCGATTAAACGAATATAAAATAAAATAGAATGCAAGTAAATGAACCCCCCCGAGTTGTACTATCTTGCCCTCATGATTCAAAGTTTTTCACTTAAGCTTTGGTTAACAACAGATCACCCAACCCAAAGTATAATAAAGAATAAACAAAGAAAAAGGAGAGAGAGAAAAAAAAAAGGGCCGAGCTAAGCTAAAGTCAGGGGTAGACAGAGTCAGGGTACCGTCTTGTCTTTGCGGGAGTCAGCCCGTCAGTCACACGTGGGATTTCGCAAATCACCCGAAAGATCCAATCAGCCCATCAAAGCACCCAACGAGGCACGAGACAAGTTTGTGCCTGTCTCAGAAATTCTCCAAAGAGTATGGGTGAGCCCCTGGAGAGACCGCAGTATTTTAGAGAACTGTAACGAGAACAGGTTACACTGAAAAGGACGGCTCGTCTTTTGTGCTCGCAATTATGTGCCCCCCAGGCGATAAAATCTTTTGAGTGACAGCAGCAAATAGAAGTCAAGGTAAACAAGGAGAGAAAAGGGGGAACAAAAAAGAAAGACGATATTAGCTCCCCACAAATGTAGAGTACTTGACCTCGTGCAACTTTGCCTGCCGTCTCAACACCGGCTCCAGATCTATGCCGTATACTGAAAATCGTGTACGACGCAGGAAAAATGTTGGACGACCGGTACCGAGCGAATCCACAACAGAGTGACACCTGCATTGTGCCACAACCCCATGGATTCGCTGGGCACCAAGCAAACACTATTCAATGCATCCAGTACAACAAAAACAACAAGCCATTGGGATACTTGACCCACAGGCCGCCGTATTGGGAACGACCGACGGGAGCTGAGATCATGGAGACTATTGCGCTGATCAATGGCAACGATGAAACCCAACTCTAGATTAGGTGCTGTAGACGGCGACGGATCATGAATTGTTGCGTCCAAGGACATTACCTGACTAATGGAGGTCCGGACGGACTCGAGGACGGACTCGGGTTGCACACGCAACAAAAGGAATTGGGCCACAATTTTCGGCCTTTGATCCGCCGGGTGGTTTCGTGTTTTGTGGTTGATTGACACGACGTTTTGCAGGCTTCAAGCTGGCTCGGTCGGCCAACAATTGTTTGCACGTGCATATAGAGTGTGGCTTACCTCAGGATGTCAAACAGCTGAAGGTTGACACATACTGATGAGATGCATGTACGTGGACCTGCCTCATGTCCATAATTCAGTAGGCAGGAAAGGCAGGCAGGGTTGGCAGGTGTGCGTGCCACCACTCGGCCGACGTGCCTGAGTACACATTTCGGCGTGTGATTTTGCGCTTTTCGTCATCATGACCCTGAGCGGTGGTTAGACTTTGTCATTGGATTCTGAGTACCCGAGGGTTTGACTTGGCTGGATGACGGAGATATTGAGCAACGCAATTCGGCCATTGCACCAAAAAAAAAAAAAAAAAAAGGCATGTTGATAGAATGGGTATTGGTATTGGATTGATCGACGATTCAAAGGTACGACAATTGCACAGAAGCCATGTCTTGGAGACATTTCTGCCGCGAGCCTCACGCCATGTGAGACATACAAGTAACGGCCTGGCTTTTCGTCGACCCGAAGCAATCAGATGCAGTAATCTGTTTGTTGTTGTGCCTAGTGGTTTGTGGATTTTGACCGTAACTGTACGTTTGTAGCCTTTTCTTCTGGACGCAGTCTATACAAGGAAATACCTGGACTTTAGGTAATGATGCTTCAAGGCGTCTCTGTTGATGCAGCCTCGAGGGTTTCCATCTTCAGAATTGGCCAGACTCCAAGACGACTCTGCGTATGCCGCATAACCGCGCCTACATGATGTAGGGCAAGCCTACCATCGGACCCTCCAAGGGGGATTTTTGTTGCGTTTCGTTCTGCCCGGATGAAATTAAGTTTCCATGAAGAGGCGACTGATGACTGTTCGGATGCTGAGAGATCGCGAGATGCTCTGCTTTTTGCACTCCCCGCGCTGCTCTTCTGCAACTTCCCGCTGATGGGATATGGGCTGCATTCTTTTCATGCAGTTGCTTACCTAGCCGCAAGGATTGCGGCCAATCCAAGTCAGACCTTCCAGACTGGTGGATATATAGGGTTCGGACCATAGAGAGTCTCTTTCCTTTTTTCTTTTCTTTTTGGGGGCCAGCCACACCGAAGGCCCCAGCTAACGAAGAAAAGCTTATATTTGAGAGAAGAAAAAAAGAGGTATTATGTAAATATCCGGAAGCTCAGCAGCTATGAGGCAACGAGGCTTCGATCAACCACTGCGACCGACGAGTGGGTGTTCTCTTTGGTTGCTTCTCAGTGGGTAGAGACAGATGATGGGCAGAGCCAGGGGGCCCAGAGACAGGGGGGCCATTGGGGGGCCTTCTCGCGTCTAGCCTGACAGCAGAAAAGAAGGGCCTCTGGGTCCTCTCCAAGAGACTCTCGAC